CCCCCCCCCCCTCAATCTTTTGGGAAATTTTTAGGGGGGGTGGGGCCCCCCCCCCTATGAATTGGGAAAACAGGGGGGGGGGCGGGCCCCCCCCCTATGTGGGGGGGGGGCCCCCCCCCAAGCTTTTGGGAAGGCCCCCCCCCCCCCCCCCCCGGGAAGCTCCCCACTCACCACCACCACCACCACTTCACCACCACCACACACACAGGCACGCCACCCCGCACCCCAGGATCCCCTGTCGCTGTTGTTTTGTGTGTCACCGTGTGTATCATTCAAGAGGGAAATTCGCGACCGAGATGAAAAAAGAAAATGATATGCGAACCCACATAAACACAGAGTACAATGCGGCGGTCTCACACACGTATATACTTCATTATGAATCTTCATTATGAATGCGGAACGAACTCCACCAAAACATGACATGTGAAGGACCCCTCCCCCAGCAAGCAGCATGTGGTGACACCACGAGTCTCTGGGGGGGGCGGGACCCCCCCCCTAGCATGTGGTGAAGGTGCTGGGGGGGGCGGGCCCCCCCCCCTAGCATGTCTGCATGTCGTGGTGAAGCCTCTGGGGGGGGTCGGACACCCCCCCGCCCCCCCCTAGCTGGTGTGGGCAGAAGCCCCCCCTGGAAGCGATGTCCGCCTGCTCCGGTGAGAGGACCTGAGTTTTGCAGGGACGGGTATGATCAGAATGGCTGGAATGCGTTCTAAAAACGTGTTCAGAACACACCGGCCCGGCGCTTGCGCCGATATAACAGCCTCACCGGAGGGGAGTGGCCACACTACCAGCGCTGTGACGGAGGCACAGACTAAGGTTGAGGTAAGTGGTAAACGTCACAAAGTAGCCACAAGACCCCCATCCCCTCGCCCCCCTCTCGATCGAGAACGCAAAGCAACACCGGCGCTCTAATCGGCGGAGCTCTGCCCGAGCCAGCTGGCGGTGTGCTCGCCCCTCTCCAGCCTCTGTACCCCAACCTCTGTCCATGTGGGACATGGCGAGGCAAGCGCTCACCCAGCCATGAAGTAATTGGGGCGACTTGGAGCGTAATGGTGGTCAGAGCCCTCGCATTTCTTCCAGTTTGGAAGGAACCAGCCGACAGCTGACGTCACAATGTCCTCTTCGCACGGCGGGCGCCGAGGCGGGGGAGGCGAGGCCGGCTGCAGAGGGGGAAAGGGAGGCAGGGGGGGCTTGAAGTCGATCTTGGGGCAGCCCGTCCCGACAGACGGCCAGTTACATTGACCCCAAAATTTGTGATCCCAGCTTTCTTCCCACGCCTCTCTCGCCGCTCTGCGTAACTCCGCCAGCCTTCTCTCGGCATATTTTGGCCCCTCGAGTTTATCGAGCTCTCCTCGCGCAAGGACCACATTTCTGACTCCCACTCCGATCATTTGCCTCCAAGTCATGTCGAAATGTCGTTGCTCAGGTCCACTCTCGTTTCGAGCACTTGTACCTCCAACGGTCGGTGTTGGCACTGGGGTTCCCTTCGGGTATATCGTGCGCGCCAGTCCCGTGCCCAGTTTGTAACGCCAATTCTTTTCTTGTCACTTGTGTGCCGGTGTGTGAGAGATTTTTAGCAATACCAAACAATAATCACACTGTTGTTTGTTTTGTTGTGTGTGTGCCAGTCCGCGCCAGTCTGAGAGAGAGATTTTATTATCTTCTCTCTTCCAGTCTGTCTGCGCCCTTGTCGTGCGTGTGCAGCAAGAGAGGCTTCATGTGAAGATTCTTTTCTTGGTGTACCTGTGTTAGTGCCAGTGCGCGCCAGTCCCGTGCCTAGTGTCGTGCCAGCGCGTCAGATGCGGAAATAAAATTCTTTTCTGTGGGAACTTCCACCAGCTTCCCGCGGGAGCCCGACTTGCGGCGGCGGCGGCGGCTTTGGGCCCTCGGCAACATTGCCCTGGCGCAGCGCTCGGCTGCCCTTGGGCACTGCAGCCCTTCCCACCTCCCATCGCACGCAGCCAGATATGTCCAACCACCTCACCGGCGAGGTGCACCTGCACAAGGGCCCGCCGTTTGTGCACGTCAAGCAGAATTCCACTCCCGGCAGCCGCGCTGAGTCCTCCTGTGAGTCTGGCGATGAGTCCGGCGACTCTCCGCCGAGACTTTCTCGGGACCCCACGCACCTCAACCTGCGTGCGCTGGACGGGACGCCTCTCCGGAGGCGCCGCAAGCCCGAGGCCGAGGCCGCCGCACCGCAGGCCAAATCAGGCACAGCCGACGCAGCGCCTTGGGTGCTGGTAGACGCCAGTGCCGTTGCCGCCGACCGAGCGCTGCCGCACATCCTGAGCTCGTACCGCCCCGAGGGCTGCACGTCAGTGCTGCGCGCCCTCTTCACCCTCCACAACCAGAGCCTCAACATCTACACGCACCTACTCGGCCTCCCGTACGTCGCCTCCTTTGTCATCGCTCCGCCGCCCTCCTCCGCCGCCGCCGGGCCCTTCGTGGCTGCCCTGCGCGCGCACGCCGCCGTCGCTCTCCTCGTCGGCGTGGCCTCGGTCGCCTACCACGCCGGAGAGGCGGCTCCGCTCCGCGCGCGGCAGCTGCTCCTAGATGCTGAAGACGGAGGTACTGGACCTCTGTGTTCCGACGGGCGGGGCGCTCGAGAGACGACTCGACTTCCGCTCGAGACTTCCGCTGTATTCCGCTGTAATGACAGCCCGCGTATTCGCGCAATTCCTGGATGCACGGGAGCCCTATTCAGGACCTGACTCTGGTGTCTTCATGCGGCAGGCAGCTGCTTCTTGCGATTGACCAAGGGTGCGCCTTTCTCTCTTGCGCTGCGCACGCTGCACTCATCGCATTCTTCGAGCTCCACGCCGCCGGGAGGCCCCTCCTCGCCCGCCGCCTCCTTATCGCCCTCGCCGCCGCCGCCCTCGCCGGCTTTTGGAGCTTTGTGAGCGGCGTGCTTCAACTCGCGCCTGAGGCGGGACCGTCACGAAACTTCTTTCAAGCCGCTTGGAACTTCCCCATAGGCGCGCTCAACTCGCGCCCAAAGGCGGTCGTGGCCGGCGTCATGGGTCTGCCGCTCGTGATCGGCCTCGCCGGCCTCGCCGCCGCCTCGCCGACGCCGACCGCGCCTGCCCTCGCCGTTTGGGCTGCCCTCTTTGCCGTCACGGTCGCGATATGGGTCCTGCAGATCCCGGAGCGGTGGTTTGCCCCAGGCACGCTCGATTTGGTGGCCAACTCGCACAATTGGATGCACGTCCTCGTGATTGTGGTCTTTGCCAAGTTGCAGCGGATCTACACTGACCGTCTCTCCGGGGACGAGCACCCGTGAGGCTCCGCGCCTTGGCGCGAGCTTCCATCTTTGTTTCGGTGACGCAGAACGAGCGAGTAACGGGTCACTGTTCTTCGCTTGTCCCCTTGTGTGTGTTAGCGCGAAAGTTCAGTTTCCATCGACAAAATATCGCCGCCGCGGGGTCTCGTGTGTGGCTCGGTCTTACTCATATATCGTACTGCTCTATCTCCTGTTTTGCTGGTTGACGTTTTTGGCGTCCGGGCTAGGGGGCCAACAGCAACACCCCCGGCCCCCGCCCGACGCGCGCTCGCACAACGCGGACATCGGACTCGCACCGCGCAAAAGCCGGAACGCAACTACGTGCCAAGGCCATGGTCAACCCGACTCGCACCTCATCTCCACCCACCCTGCATGCCTCCGCCACCCATGCTGCCTCCGCCACCCATCCAGCCGCCACCCATACTGCCACCGCAGCCGCCCCCGCCCCCGCCCGGGAAGCACCCACCTGGCCCTCCTCCGCAGCAGCCCGGCCCGCCGCAGCAGCCCGGCCCGCCCATTCCAAGCCCGCCCATTCCGGGGCCGCACATTCCGGGGCCGGTCATCCCGCCACATCCGCCCCCGTAGCACTGCCCCATCGCGCCCATCGCGCCCATGTTCCCCATGCCGCCTCCGGCTCCGGCCGCACTGCCCATGCCCATGCCGCAGCCGCCTGACGGAGGGAGAGAACCGTCAGGACAAGAGGAGCTGCTGTCACTGTCTGTCCTCTCTAGGCGGGGGGGTGGAGAGGGGGGGTTCACCCATCTCGCCGCCGCCTCCCAAGCCGCTGCTGCCCATGCCGCCGCCGCCGCCGAACGTCGGCTCGAACGCGCTCCCCAACTGCATGAGCAGCGACTGCTGCGACGCGGTGCCGCCCCCACCCTCGTGCGGCGCCTCGTATGGCCGCGAGCCTGCGCCTCCGCCGCCGCAGCCTCCACCGCCACCAAGGACGCCGCCGCCGCCTCCTCCGTGGCTCTGCGCCAGGCCCTGGCTCTTTGCCACCCTCATCAGAGCGCCGCGCACCTACACGAGACGAGCCGCACACAGGGTGGGCGGGTGGGCCGCCACACCGGGTCCTCTCTCCGGGCAACTTGGCGGGGAGGCGGCGAGGGTGAGGGGGGCGGCGGAGGCGGCGAGGGTGGTGGGCTGGGCGGGGGTGGGCTTGGAGGCGGGGGCGAGGGCGGAAGCGGCGAGGGCGGAAGCGGCGAGGGCGGAGGCGGCGAGGGTGAGGCGGTGACGGCGGCGGCGGGCTCGGTGGCGGCGGGGACGGAGGTGGCGCGCCGCATCGAGATCCACTTTGCCCGACGGCGGCGGCGGCGGTGGCGGCGGTGGCGGCGCCCGGGGCTGTCGCCCTGCGGACCACTGGGCGCTGCCGCCGCAACCTCCACCGCCGCACTGGCCGCCATACGCTCCTCCACCGCCACCACCACCACCGCCGCCACCATAGCTGCCGCCGCCACCATAGCTGCCGCCGCCGCCACCATAGCTGCCGCCGCCGCCACCATAGCCGCCGCTGCCGCCGCCATAGCCGCCGCCATCGCCACCAAAGCTGCCACCGCCGCCGCCACCGCCACAATAGTTGCCACAGCTGCCGCGGCGGCCGCTGCCGCCGCCACGGCCGCTGCCGCCGCCACGGCCGCTGCCATAGCCGCCAGCAAAGCTGCCGCCGCCTCCTCCTCCTTCGCCACCGCCACAGCCGTAGTAGTCGCCGCCCCGCGGGCTCATGGGCACGCGAGTCCCGTACCTAGAGTTGGAGCACGGCGAGTTGAGGGCGTGAGTACGGTCTCGTGCAGTGTATTGTGCGGTGTTGCAGTGTATTGTACTCGGAGCAGCGCGTGTGCACGCGGCTGCGAACACAGCGGACACGGCGGAAGGGTAGCAGAGTGCCACACCCTCAAGAGTGCGCGTCTTCTCGAGTGCGTGTCGGAATACAGGGATCTGTCCTCCCGCATCTCGGATCTGTTCGCCCGTGTGTTGTGCCGCGCCTCCCGTCGAACCCGTCAGCATGCCGCGGCGGAAGCGGCGCTCCTCCTCGACCCGGCTGCTGCGGCTGCTGCGGCTGCTGCGGCTGCTGCGGCGGCGGCGGCGGCGGGTGAAGTGGCGGGGCGGGAAGAGGCGCCTTCTTGCGGATGCGGTAGGATGGTACTTGCGCGCCTCCCGGCCCTCCTGCACTCACGCTCCCTTCCTCGCCGGGCCGCTCGGGCTTGGCCTCGCCGGGCCGCTCGGGCTTGGCCGGAGCGCCGGCGGCGGACGCGTTGGCGGCGGGCGCGGCAGCGCGCCGCGTCGCCGCGCCCACTGCAGAAGCGCCTCCGCCTCGTGGACGGTCGTCGAGGCTCTCGTCCTCCTCCTCCTCCTCCTCGTCCTCGTCGTCGTCCTCCTTCTCCTCCACCCTGTCGCCCCCCCCCAACCGCCCGCCCTGTGCAGGGCTGCGCGCGTGGGCGGCAGCGCCCTGGCCCGCCTCGTTGGCCTCGTTGGCCTGCGCCGAGAGTGCGCGCTGGAGTCACGGCGCTGCAGCATCGCGTGAGTACACGGAGTACGAGCACAGCGGAGCACGTACGTGTGAGTGCCAGCCTCCGTACGCCCCGCATCTAGGCTCGCGCGCCGCTACGACCGCCGCCATTCGCTGCCGCCGAGCCAGCGTCGCTGCTGACACCGCCGCAGCGGCGGCGGGCCCTCCTCCCGCGGGGCCCTTGCCGAGGGGTCCGGCGCGGGCCTTGCCTACGGCAGGAGCACACCGCAGTCGAGGAGTGGACTAGGGCGGCGTCTTCTTCGTCGCTCCTTCGTCGCCCTCGGTGCGTGCAAGGGGCGTCTGTGTGCACAAAGACTTGCGGTGTGTGAGGGACGAGGGCGTGAAGCACCCGAGCGCTACTTTGGGATACAAGGACCCGTGTTCAGCATGATGAGCGCATACTCCAACTAGAATCACGCGACGTGCATATTGAGTACTCTCGCTGCGAATACCAAAGTCAACACCGTGGACTCCAGTTGAACGCAGCTGAATACGTGTCTGCCCCCTCTCGAGTGCCAGCCGGAAGACAGGGATGCGTATTCCGCATCTAGGGCCTCGCCGCCGAGAGCGGTGAGCCCCGCCGCCGGCGGCGGCGCCCCCCCCGAGGGAGAGGCGGGGAGCGGCACCCCCAGCCGCTCCCTCTTTTGCTCCACCTTTGCAGGCTTGGCTACGGGGCGGCCCTACGCCCGGAACACACAAAAGTGAGGTCGTGAGCAGGAAGCTTGCTGCGTCTCCGGATCGCGTGATCTAACGGGCTGCGAGTGCAGTGCATTCCGCTGAATGCGGCTGCTTACGGATGAGCACGGGGCCGCCTCTCGGATCGCCGACCTGTGTTGAAGCAGCCGACGCGCCGCCTCTGGCCAGGCCCTTGGCAGCCGGCGCCTGCGCGGAGGAGGCGCCTCCCTGCGGCCGCTTGCGCGGCGGGAGCGAGGCGTGCGTCGCCTCCTTCCTGCCGCGCTTGGAGGGCGGCGCCTCCTCCTCCTCCTCCTCCTCCGTCTCGTCGTCCGTCGTCTCAGCTATGCGCCGCTTCGCTGCTGACTCGGCGCGCGCCCGGGCGTCGTCGGCGGACCACGAGCTAGCGGGCCTCTGGCTGGCACCCTTGACCAGCCGCCCGCGACGTTCGCTGCCACTTTTCGCTGCCGCTTTTGCTCCCCGCGCCGCCGCCGCCGCCGCCGCCGCCGCCGCGCGCTTCTCCTCATCAGCCGCGCGCTGCGCGGCGTCGCGCTCGCGCCACTCGGCGATGAGGTCGTCCGACACGTTCTCGACCGGCTCCCACGTGTTCTCTTCCGAGGCGTAGCCCTCCCACTTGATCAGATACTCGATGCCTCCAGACCGGCCCCTCCGCCGGCCGCGCACCTGCTCCACCCGGAAGGCGCCGTCCCCCAGGTAGTTTTCGTCTTCGCCCGCGCGCTCGTCCCAGTACGTGACCTCGTTCTCGCTCTCTCCCTCGCTCTCGTCGTCGGCCATCGCAACTCACAATGGCAAGTTGCTCCACGCGCGTGCTGGGGCAAGAAGAGCTAATTCTTTTTCGGACGCTTGGGCAGTTTGTCTGGGGCGCGTGTTTTATTAGTGCATCGATGGTCACACCCAAGGTGCGGGCGCGGGGTGCGGTGCAGTGTGTGTGTGACTGCGGCAAGGGCAGGCTTCGCAAACACACAAAAAAGAACAGGAACTCTCGCGGCGCGCTGGCACTATTAAAGGAGCAAATAAACTGCTCGGACGCGGCTTCGCCGAGGCGCCCGCCGAGCGAAGCACAGAACACCAGCGCCGGCCCCCCGTTTCGCGGCATTGCCATGCGCGAGGAGCACGGCTCACCGTCCCCGCGAGAGAGAGCAGAACCGGGCGTGCGTGCGCACCTCACTGTGCGTATGCACGCGCTGCGGCTGGCCTCTGCACCACCGGCCTCGGCGAGCATGGCGCTCCGCCTCACGCTATCCGGTCAGCTTGGCTCGACGCCGCCAGCGGTAGCTGGCGGCAGCGGTTTCGTCTTCGACGGACTCGTAGAGACGTCGATGGATTCACTACACGTGGAGCTCCTTTCTGACGGCATCGCCGCATACGCCGCCTCTCTGCCGCTCAACACCCTGCTGCCTGGACGCCGTTGGTGGTGCGGCCTTGACCCGCTGTCTTCAAAGGCGGCGGCGGGCCCTGCGCTCGTCGCAGCTTTGCAGATGAGCTTCGACTGGGACCCTCACCCTGTTTCACGGATGGTTGGCGTTATGGCGTCAACGGGGTTCTGCGACGGAGCTGCGGCCAGGGAGGTTGACGCCGGCGTGACTGCGCAATCTCCGCCGCTGGCCGCCGCCGGCGCGGTTGCGCGCCCCCCGCCACTGGACGCCAGCCGCTTCGCAGAGTCAGCCGGGGACAGGCCGCCGAGCGTAACGTCTCGCTCGGCAGAGCACGACGCGCTGAGCTTTGAGCGCTTCTGCGAGCTGGAGCGGCGGCGAGACGCCTCTGCACTCACGGAGGAGGACCTGCGGGAACGCTTCGACGCTTTTGGCGCGGAAAACGGCGCGCCGCTTAGCTTTCAGGACTACGTGATGTCGTACAAGAGATGACGCCCAGTCAGTCTCGTCTGTTCCTTCCCGGGGTGGGGTGCGGGTTTTACTTCGATTCGACGGCAACACGTCGGTCCAGCTGTGAGAGGCACAAGCGCCAGAGGAGGGCGCGACTTTCCCGCTACGTTCCTTCGTGAGAGCGGAAGCGCGCGGAAATTCTCCTTTGCGGAAACAGTAGGGGGAGGGCTCTCTGGCTTCGAGGTTTTTCAGTTGTTTTTTGCGCTGCTCACTCCGCACTATATACAGAACAGACTTTACACTCTGACGAGTGGAGAGAGAGCGCGTACACACCACACACACAAACACTACTCCCCAACACGCGGCTAGCCAGGCCTGCCTGCTACACGATGGCGACGTTCTCAGGGTTCTGTCTGCGTGCTTTTGCTGCCTCCCGCTTGGAGTCGGCAGTAAAGCAAGTGTGGGTGGAAGCGGGGGCGACAGGGAGAGGGCTCGAGAGGGCGGCGGCGGAGGCAGGGGGAGGGGGGTCGGCGATGCCGAGGTGTGTGCCCATGTTTGTGCGTGGGGGGCGTTGCACGCCGCGGATCAGGCCGGGCGGCGGGGAGGAATCGGACGGCGACGGCGGCGGCAGGGACAGGGGCAGTGGCGGTGACCCAGGGATGGTGGCGACCGCCGCGAGCGGGATGCAGCCGGCGAGGCGAGGTGACAGGTGGGCGCGACCGTTGCGCGCTGCTCGAGTGCGCACGACAAAGCAGCTCTGCAGCCATGGTGACCTGCGTGCGCGGGGACGGCAAGGGTCGCGCCGCAGCCCGTGCTCACCGGGGGCTCAGTCTCGATGGGGAGTGGGGGGGGGGGGGGGGGGGAAAACATACCGGCGATGCGAGACGACACTTTGACAGTTGGAGCCGCCCGCGGCTTGCAGAGCGTTTGAAAGTTGTGTCGGGCCGCTACGTGCGCATGTCGGTTGTCGCGGGCGACGCCCGTCCGCAGCTGACACGTCGTTTTAGGTTTGTTGTTGGCAAATCAAGACACAGAGCTCACACAGAATCACAGTGGGAGGAAAGCGTCGTGGTGACGATGATGGCGAGGAGCATCACGGTGGAGAGGAGCGTCCCGGGCCTGCCTGGGCTCGCTCGAGTTTCCGGTCTGGGCAAAGAAAGAAAAGAAAGAAAGAAAACGGACAAGGGATGGGAGGACGGCACGCCGCCACCGCACAGGGATTTTAAGGAGAGGGGTGTGATGCGCTAGCCGTCGCCCACCCTTGGGCGTCCGCCTCTTCCTATCTCCCTTCGCAGTCTCTCGCCGATTCTCGCCGCGACCTTCGTGCCACCTCGCGGTCGCCCCCTTCTCGTCGTGCTCTCCCTTGTCGCTTCTTCCTCTGTCGCGTCGCTCTCCCCTGTCTCGTTCTGCGACGCCGCCGCCGCCTGCCGGTCCCTTGTTCTCGCGGCTTCTTTCGCCTTTCGGCGCAACTCCGTCCTCCTCGCGGCGTATCCTGGCCCCTCGAGTCTATCGAGCTCTCCTCGCGCAAGGACAAGTCTTCTGACGCCCACTGCGATCATTTGCCACCCAGTCATGTCGTTGCTCAGGTCCACTCTCTCTTCGAACACTTGTGCCTTCACGGATGATGCTGGCGCTGGGGTCCCCTTCGGGTGCATCGTGACAGCTGACGACGGGATCTCCACTGGTTCATCCTCCTCTGAGTCGTCTTCCCCGGCTTCCTTCCGCTCGGCTCTACGTTCGGTACGTTCGGTGTGGCTCACCTTCCATGCCGTGAACAGTCGCTTTATCCACCCTATATTCTTCTCTCGTTCCTCTGCTCGTGCCTGGGTCGTGTCGTTGTTTCGCCCAGGTCTGTATACGCAAAATCTTGCCCTTCGGAATTCTTCTTCGCATCGGACGAGTAGGGTTGCAGGCCGACGCGGAGGAGCCAGCAGGGTCCTCGCGGCAGGAAGGCACGCGGGTGAAGGTCGGAGTTTCCGAGGAGCCGCGGGCCTCCACGCCTAGGCTAGGCATTCTCGCGGCTGGTTCACTCCCGGGCTGAAACTCTAGGCTGAGTCTCTAGGACGCGGGCAGATTAGATCTCCTGAGACTCTTAGCCGACGCGGGGAGGTACTGCTCCGCCTGGTACGTCGAGGTCACCTCGACGCGGTAGACGCTAAAAGTACGTACACTGAGAATACACTGGAAAAACGTAAAAGGCATTTCAAAACATGCAAAAACGAATCAATGATAATCAATGAGAATTAATGAGATTCAATTCGACGACTACCGACCGGGCCCGTCGGCGCAGGCGCCCCAATGGACCTCAGCACTCAGTCGGACCCCTCATTCAGCTCGGACGAGGAGGAGGCGGGCGCGTCGGTGGAGAACCCGAGCGCCTCGCCCGCCTCCGGGTCGAGCGACAAGAAGCGGAAGCGGTCCGGCAAGAGCCGGAGGCGGAGGAACCAGCGGGGCGGCTTCACGACGCTCTTCCACAGGGGCGCCACAGGCTGCTCCGCAGCTGCACGGCAACCTGAGCCGCCGATCATATTCTTTCACGCGCGCCGTTGTGGCCCCGGGCGGTGTGCTCGTGAATGAGGACGGGTTCGTGCTGCAGCCGGCGCAGCAAACCGGATTCTTTACCCTCTATGAGCTGACACAGCTCACGTATGACGAGGTGTGTTCAATCTCTAGCCACGAAATGTCCTCTTCGCTGGCGCAAGCGTGTCGCGTCGTCTGCCGCGCCCTGCCGCTGCGGCTCCACCGCCGCACCATGGCGGCGGCTCCGCCGAGCCTCGATGATATAGTCACGCGGCTCGCCGACCCGCGCAGTCGGCCGTGTCCAGTCTCGCACCACGAGCTGCTGCCTGCTGCTGGCGACGCCCCGCCGTTTGTGCTCTCCAACGTGCAGCTGACAGCACAGTTGCTCCGGTTTGCGAGCGGTTTGCGATCGCCGCAGACGCTCAATCGCACGAGGCCGCGCCCGATGGTGCATCACGAGCGCAAGAAGACCAAGTTTCGGCTGGTGGAGCGCATGCAGATGATGTACGAGGGGCCGTCGTCCTCGACCTTCCGATGGCACCTGCTGCACGCGGTTGCGCCGTTACCCACGCTGCGCGCCGCCATGCACGAAGCTGTGCTCGAGCACGCGGCCGGCGCTGCCGGTTGCGAGGGGGTGGATGACGAGGCGGAGCCGGCGAGGCCCCTCTCTCGTAGCGGCGGCGCTGCAAGCATCGAGGCGCTCCTCGCCGCTTACCCCGCGGCGCTTCAGGCGCAGGGGGGTGCGATGAAGGTCGTGGCAGCGGCCGCGGCCGCGGCGGCAGCAGCGGAGGCGGAGGCGGAGGCGGAAGCGGGGGCACGCTTGCCGCCGACCTCGCCTCGCGCCGCCGAGACGAGCTGGACGTGCAGCAGCTGTGGCACGGTCAATGCGCCCGGCGTCGAGGCCTGCGGCGGTCCGGGCTGTCGCGAGTACCGGTGCGGCCGGTGCGGTCGGCTCGGCCACGCTTCGATCTTTTGCGACCGCGGTGGCGGCGCGATGAGGCGGCGCGTGCCGGCGGCGCCCGCGCTCTCGCTGCCGCCTTTCTCAGGCCCCATCATGGGCGCGCTCGGCTGGGCGGAGGACGTGTGTGACGTCTTTGTCAAGGGTGCGAACTCACATTGGCTCTCGGCTCGTCGAGCCAGCCTCGCAGTGGAGGTGCTGCTCGCGCTAGGGCGCGACGGCAGGGTCCCTTGACGGAGTGCTACTAAGATTAAACGAAGACAACGCCTCACTTGATGTGATTGAAGCGCAGAAAAAAGAATTTCATTTTCAACGGGTGCGACGGTGTATCGGATATGCAACGGTGGCATAAAGTGAATGATACACCGTCGCAACGGGAATACGGGGGAAATAAATGATTGTGCCCGCGCGTAACGACCCTGGTAACGACCATACCTCACGAACGTGTGTGTCTACTGTGCCTCCCGCCGGTCCACCGCCATGATGCGGTCGACATCAAGCGAGACGACGGCCGCGATGAAGGCGGACGTCCTCCTCATGGAGAAGCGGCTAGTCGCGCTCCGTGAGCGAATGGCCTCTGCACGGCACCCTCAAAACCCTGTATCTGCCTCTCCCTGCGCTTCAAACCCCACGCTGACCCATCCCACGAAACTTCTGTCTCGCAGGTCGCGCAGCGAGGCTGCGAGGAGCTGCAATCCGACCGGGGCAACCTGGGCAAGTGCACGGACTGACCGACCGCTCAACTCCAAGGCATATGCCTCGGCCGTGCTCGCGGCCGGGCCGAGCGGACACGAACGAGAGGATTCCTCGTCAGGAGCCCCGCCAGCACGCGCGTGGGACCTTCAAACCGCTGCCGATGGCGGCGCCGGCGGCAGGCCGCAGACCCTCGTCGTCGAGGGGGCCCTCGGCTCATCAACCCTGACTCTTGAAGGTGAGGACGGTCGCGATGGCGTGAACCAGAATCGTACCCCAAGCGAGGCTTTGTACTCTTGGAATCCCGGGTCGGCCATTGTTTCCGATTGCGTCGATGACACGCGCGATGAGCTGCTTGCTCCGCCCGACCCCGGGAGGGGTGGTTCCAGTTCGCGTGCGTCCGCTGCAGCTCGCACTCTTGCAAACAGAGCCGAGGCTGGGGGCGGTGGCGGAGCGCTCCTCGAGGGCTCCTACGATGAGGCAGCTGCGGCGGCGTCCTTTCAAGCTGCCGTCGCGGAGTGGAGGAGCGGGGGCGCTGCGGCGGCAGTCCCTCCCTCAGCCGCCAGCCCGACCCTGGCTGCCAGCATTGAGCTCCTGACGAGAGAGCTCCATCTGCCTGCCGAACTCCCGCTCGCGCAGGCGGTGAGCGCCGCGAACGCTGCCGTCGGCCTCTCCGCCGGCGGCGCCACGCTCACGCAGCAAGTGAGCGCGCTACTGGAGGCGACCGGCCTCCGGCCCACCGCGCACGCCTCGATGACCCCGCGGAGCTGCTTGTCGACGCAGACGAGGCCGGACTACTACAAGCTGCTGCTCGAGCAGAAGCGGCGCGATGGGATCCTTTGATAGCTTTACTGTAACACCTAATTTTAGACACTGTTTGCGCTGTGGTGCGCATTGGCTCAGCGCGCGTTTCTGTTGTACACAAAACGAGAGGCCTAGTGTCGTGGTAGGGATGTTGCGCTGGGCAGTGGTCCCCGACGTCGTCGAATGTCGCCCGCGTGTCTTTGCTGGAGCGCATGTCGGAGGTAAAATTCTTGTGCCTGCCATCGCTTGTGTGCGACGACGATCGCCTCCCACGGGCTCGCCTCTCTCGCTCCCCGCATGCACATGCGCCGCCTCCTCTCGCTGGCGATTCCCTCGCCACCCGCGCCGCGGCTGCTGTCCACGCGAGTCACTAGATCGGGTCGCTTCTTGAGCAGCGTCAACGCGCAGGCAGCCTCGCCGTCGTCAGCAGCCAGCTTCCCTCGGCATCCAAAGCAGCTGACGGTGGCGCTGCAGCGGGCGCGTACCACCGAGGAGGTGCTGACGCTGCACGCGCGCTACGGCCGCGCCTTCAACCAGGTGAATCTCGCCGCTTGCTGGAGCCGCCTCGGACGTATCGGGCGCGCGGAGCCGGACTTTGAGGAGCAGCTCGCCGAGCTGCGGCTGCAGACGCTCGAGTCGGTCGGCGAGTGGGGAGACCATGGCCTGTCGAATCTGGTCCATGCGCTGGCCAAGCTGCGCCTCTCCGGCGCCGAGTGGCAGCCTCTCTGGCTGGCGGCCGAGCGGACTGCACTGGCGCAGGTCTCGTCGTTTGAGGCGCAAGCGACCTCAAACACGGCTTGGAGCTACGCAAAGGCGCGGCGGCGTGCGCCGGAGCTCTTCGACGCAATCGCGGCGGCGGCGCCCGCCCGCGTCCGCGCGATGAGCCCACAGGCGCTCTCTAACACCGCGTGGGCCTACGCGACGGCGAGGCACCCAGCTCCCGCCCTGCTTGAGGCCATCGCGGTAGAGGCGGCGCCGCGGCTGGGCGAGTTCAACACGCAGGCGCTGTCCAACACGGCGTGGGCGTACGCGTCAGCGGGCCACGCGGCGCCGCGCCTCTTCGACGCCCTCGCCGCCGAGGCGACGAGGCGGCTGCCGGACTTTAGCCCGCAAGGCGTCGCAAACATTGCGTGGGCGTTTGCGACGGCGCGGCACCCTGCGAGGCCGCTCTTCGACGCGATCGCGCGCGAGGCGCCGGCGCGGCTGTCCAGCTTCCGCGAGCAGCATCTCTCCAACCTGGCTTGGTCGTTTGCGATCGCGCCGACCAGCGCCGTCTCGACAGCGCCTGCGCTTTTCGATGCGATCGCGACGGCGGCGGTGCCACGGCTCGGCGAGTTCACGCCGCAGGGGCTGACCAACTTGGCGTGGGCGTACGCGGAGGTGGCGCACCCTGCACCGGAGCTGTACGAGGCGATCGGGCACCGGATCGGCAGTGCGCCGGAGAGGCACCCCACCTCGTGCCTCACCACCGTCCTCTGGGCCATCGCTGCGGCGGGAGGGGCGCCGCGGGCGGAGCGGCTCGACGCCGTGGCAGAGGCGCTCGCAGCGCGGCTCGACGAGTGCGCCGACCAGGAGCTGTGCAACGCCGCGTGGGCCTTCGCCGTCTTCGACCACGTCCCGCGGAGCGAGCTCTTCGGCGCGCACTTCGGCGCGCGCTGCGAGGCGCTCTCGGCGCGCTTTAGCAGGAGCGGCTTGTGCCAGCTCCACCAGTGGCGCATTTGGGCGGCCGAGCGGGCGCTGCACGAGGGGATGCCGAGCCCGCGCCTCCTCGAGCGCTGCCACTCCGCCTTCGAGGACGGCAGCGCCACGGCATCTTCGCTGCAGCGTGCCGTCGGCGATGGTCTCGCTGCGCTCGGGCTGCGGGTCGAGGAGGAGGTGCAGCTGAGCAGCGGCTACTCGCTCGACTTCGTCGTCGACTGGCGCGGCCAGCGGCTGGGCGTCGAGGTGGAGATTGCCCGAGATTTCACGTGATTGCCCGAGATTTCACGAGATTGCCGAAGATGATCCGAGGGTCGTCGATTGGCACGGCGCGACGAACTTATTCTTCACACACTCCTCTCTTCGCAGCACGCTCTGTTCACCTCCGCTCGCTGTCTCCACACCTGCACCTACACCTAGCTCCCCTCAAACCCAGCTGTCTCCACACTTGCTCTCCGCGCCTCGCAGGTCGACGGGCCGTCGCACTTTGTGGGCGAGGCGCCGTCGGGCAGGACGATGCTCAAGCGGCGCCAGCTGCGCTCTCTCGGTTGGCGCGTGGCGCCCGTGCCGTACCTCGAGTGGAATGGCCTCGCCCAGGCCGGCTCACCCACGCCCTCGCCCGATCTCGAGGTGGCGCGGCAGCAGCAGCCACAGCAGCAGCAGCGGCTTGCGTACCTCGCGGCCGTCCTTGATAAGGCGGCCGACAGTACGTGAAAAGTGTGTGCATACGGTGTGAGTTGTGACGCTCGCGGACGGTGGGGGTGACTGCCAGTGACATGGCTCCGGTGTACGTACGGTCAGTCTCAGAGTTTGGTGCTCCGCGCGAGACGCGGGGAGTTCATTTGGGTGTATTTTCATTGTGATGTCATGCAATTCACAATCTCACAGACTGCAATTCGTAATTATTGACACTCAAATTGCAGGAGCAACCATTCTTTTTTTCATTCGACCCCCGACGTGGCCGGATGCAATCGGTCTGCAATCGATGTCACGCACCACACCAATCCATATGGGACGTACGCACACTCCCCCTGAGAAAAAGAAACACACTGAAAGAAGAAATCCAGGGTCCCCTACCTTCACACTGGTGTGTTGGGACATAAACATATGCTACTTTTCTGAAATGTGCGCATCGGCTAGTGCGCACAGATCTGCCACACAGATATGCGCGCTTGGCCTTGGGCCTGTATGATGCGCGCGACACCACATCACAGCGACCAAGAGCTCCGCTACTCTAGCGCGACGATCCTCTGCAGAGGGATGAGCGTGATGGGGTGGTAAAAGTTCTCATTCTCCGCCAGCCACGCTGCGGCCAGCTCCTCGTTGCCCGTGTCCATGAGCGCTTGGTAGATGGGCCGGATGTATTTCCCCCGTCCAACACTAGACGCAAAGAGATGGGCTTCGTTGATGATGCAGGTGCCCGGGGCCGCGCCTTCACCGCAGGATGCCGTTTCGGCGCAAGAGCCCTCATACCCTATCTTCATCGAGAAGGGGTACCAGCGGCTCTTGACCTCTGGGTCGAGGGCGGCCGTCAGGCCGTACGCCTTGTCGATCTTTGCGAGAATTGCCCGTGTCACCTCGTCCTTCTTGAGGTTCAGGCGGTCGAGGAACATCTGCCTGAGCGCACTCATCCAAGAGTTGTAGCTCTCCCACTCCTTGGGCAGGGAGAGGCCCTCGAGGGCGATGAACTCATCTGCTAACTCTATGGCCAGGTTGCCCGACTTGGTGGTGAAATTGTTGAGTTCTGCGGGTGGCATGCCGGGCTGGTACAGCCAGCGGTTCCAGTCGATTGTCGCGAGCTTGGCGCTGGCCTCCTCCGGTGGGAAGGTCTCCACAACAAAGGCTTCGTACTGATCAACCACATTCTGTGGCGAGGGTAAATTCGGGTTGAGTGAGAGGACATGCTGTAGAGCTAACCACGGCGGGCGGGCGATTGCATTGCCGTGCCTGCGTCACAATCGCAGTTTGAGAGTTGGCCTTGACGAACTTGCGAAGGAAGGCCTGGAACGACGTTGGGCCGACGACGCTCTCGAGGTACTTGACGAGCTGATAGCCGGATTCGTAGCACACCTACGAAGCGGCGGCTCTGTTTGAGGGTGCGAGGCGAGTCAAGCGGGAGGGCGGCACAAGTCACCGTCGAGAAGGCGTCGTCTGGGTTCACGTCGTCCAGGACCGGCACCAGGGCGTTGTACGGGTGGTCGAGGGCTTCGGGCGGCGAGCCCTCGGCCGACCCGTAGTCTTGCATGGTCTCAAGCAGCGACTGGTTCCCGACGGTCGCGTCGACCTTCTCCACCTCCATGTCTCCCCCCGCGAGCAGGGTGGGAACCTAGCGGCAAGCGCAGGGTGTGACGCGCGGCAAGCGCAGGGTGTGACATAACACGAAAGTGGCCACTCCCACCGCCACCGCCCCCCGCCGGTGGCGCTGTCGTGGGAACCTTGCGCTCCACAAAGACGGTGAAGCCCTCGGCGATCCAGAGGTCCTCCCAGCGAGCAAAGCCCAGCTCGTTGCCGAACCAGCTGTGGCCGATCTCGTGAATGGCAACGGAGACCTGCGACTTGTCACCCACGATGAGGGTCGGCGAGGCAAACGTCAGCAGCGGGTTCTCCATGCCGCCAAAGGGGAAGGAGGGCGGCAGGATGGCGACGGTGTACGTGCCTATTTACAATACCACACCAGGTCCCGTGGGTCTCTCCTCAACCTTCCTGCACAGCCGCGAGCGGGTACCCCAGATGTAAGGCGTCAGGTACTCCTCCGCAGCGGCGAAGAACTTGGGAAGGTCGCTCATTTCCTCCGCGACAGCGTCCATGAACCCGGGCTCGGTGACCACGCCCACTCGTCCGACATCGTCCAGCGCGCGGTACTCGACGTCTCCGACGATGATGGTGATGAGGTACGACGGCACCTTGATGCTGCAAATGAAGTAGTACGTCTTGGTGTCGGCCTCGGTCACAGAGCCGGTGGAGTTGGCACTCATCATCGCCGTGAGCGCCTTGGGAACCGTCACCGAGGCGTCGTATGTCACCTACACGATGGCATGGCGCACACCCTCCACCCAGCTCCCCGCGCGGAGCCGCTCCGTGACGACCGGGGGGGCCTGCGACCAAACTGCACTACTACTCTCTCTCTTAACACCTTGATGGCAGGGGTGTCCTGCAGCGGCGCGAACGACCGGCAATAGATGCTCTCGCACTGCGTGAGCACGTACGGCTGCCTCTTGCCGACGGTCTGGTCGGGTGTCAGCCACATGGCAGCCTGCTGGTCGTCGTTGGTTTCGAATTCGAGTGTGATCAGGAACTCGTCGCCCGTGTGGCAGGGGGCGTCGAGGTGAACAAGTACAGCGCTGCCGATGTCGGGATTCAGATTGGTATTAAGCTCGGCGACGGGCCAGTAGCATCCCTCAGTTTTCGCCTGGAGTGTAACCATGTTGTCGCCTGGGGTGTAGCCCTTGAGCTTGCACACCTTCGTCTTCTCGGCGTACACCTAGCACCATGTCGACGGGCGCCATGCGACCAACGTGCCTTTGTCCTCGGACGTGTGTGTGTGTGCATGCGTGCGTGTGCGTGCCTGCGTGCGTGCGTGTGTGCGCCGTGTGGTGGTGGTTGTGGTGGTGGTGGTGGCGGCGGCGGCGGGGGGGGGGGGGGGTGCTCCACAAACGAGGCAACACACCTCCATCCCCTGGTAGTCAAATATCGCCATCGTGGAGCCGGGCTTGACACACGCCATGCTGTGGCTGACCGAGCCGCGAAAAGTCTGCGAGTCGAAGTCGACCGTGATATCGAGAGAGACGTGCGTCGCGGTGATCTCGTCAAAGTTGGCGTAGCTGCCCTCGTCAATCGGGTTGCGGTGGATGGCTCCAGCGGGGCCAATAAGCGGAGGTGCCGATGAGGGCAGCGAGCGGGCGGCAGGCGACACGACAGGCTGGTTCAGTAGCTCGACGACCTTGGTCGCGATCGATTGCGCAAACGACGCCAGAGAAGCCAGCCATGGCGCCCCGGGCTCTTCTTCGGGCGCCTCCGCCTCGTACACCTCCTTGGTTCGTAGGGATGCCGGCGGTGGCGAGGTGGAGGACGAGGCAATGACTAGGATGCCCGCGGTGGCGACGGCGGCCAGCACGATCAACGGCATGCGACTGGACCTGACACGATCGCGGGCGACGAGCGCGGCGCTGTCTGTGTCGAGCGGCAACATGGCCCCCACTGACTTGGTCCACGGTGTCGGCAATCTGCGAATGGATGGACGCGCGGGTCGGGGGGCGGATTAGCGGATTAGATTATTTATGAATACTAGAAGTTCCCTGCGCGGGCCCCGCCCCCAGCTCTGGGGGGGGCGGGGCCCTTGCGACGGAGAAGAGGCCAGAGTACAGTACAGCAGCGGACAATGGGCAACGAAGCATTATGCTTGATAGGAAAGGTCACACACACACAGTCACAGACGATACTCGTAACTCGAGAGACTAACCCGGATCCTGCTGAACAAGTTCCTCTTGTAGCTCGATCGGTCACACCGCCATCGCCGTCGGGGAGAGGGGGGACGACACTGCTTCGGCAGCGTGCACCTCGATCCTGTACCGTGTAGCGTGTTTGTTATGACCCCCCCCAATGAACACGCCAGAGAGGGAGGGCGAGACGATCGAGGGGTCCCGTACCACGCGGAATCGGCCCTATCCAGTGCTCAAGTGCTCAAGCACAAACGATATCGAATCGCCACACTTTTCCCGAGGGGTAATGATGGAGTTGCGCGACACTCGTCCTGCCTATCTCCCCCCGTCTAATATGCGTATATGCTACGGGTCCCAAGTGTGGGTTCGGGGACTGTTCACAGCCAGTGCGGGGTAGGGGACCCCCCCGGAGTACCCGTATGGATTTCTTTTTCGGGGAAGAATTCCAGGGCTGGAATTCTTCTTTTCGGGCGGGCGAAAAAAAACTCGCGGCGGGGGCAATCCCGAGAGTCAATCCGATTGCAATCCAGTGGAATTGCAATTTGCAAATCGCAATCCAAATTTAATCAGGTCTCAGCTCGGGAGGTGAGCTCTGCTAGTCGTCCTTGCGCGAGGATCTCCTCGGACGCGCAAGGACGACTCTTCTGACGCCCACTGCGATCATTTGCCGCCAAGTCATATTGTTGCTCAGGTCCACTCTCTTTTCGAACACTTGTGCCTTCACGGCTGATGCTGGCGCTGGGGTCCCCTTCGGGTGCATCGTGACAGTTGTGCGAGACGGAGAGGGTTTCAAACACGTAAAATTCTTTTTCGCACAATACTGGGTAGGTACGGGACTGGAACACTCTGGTCCGAACACGGCTGGCAAATTCCCCTCGTCAAATTCTTTTCGTGTCGGATTGCGTTAAATTCTTTTCGGTGCCCAGTGTAAAAAAAGAAAGAAAACGGACAACCCAAGGGAGGGATGGGGAGGACGGCACGCCGCCACCACACAGGGATTTTAAGGAGAGGGGTGTGGTGCGCTAGCCGTCGCCCACCCTTGGGCGTCCGCCTCTTCCTATCTCTCTTCGCAGTCTCTCGCCGATTCTCGCTGCAACCTTCATGCCACCTCGCGGTCGTCCCACTCTCGTCGTTCTCTCCCTTGTCATTTCCTCCTCTGTCGCGTCGTTCTCTTCTGCCTCGTCCTGCGCCGCCGCCGCCTGTCGTTCCCTTGTTCTCTCGGCTTCTTTCGCCTTTCGGCGCAATTGTCAGTATGCTCTCAGGGGCCACACACGAATTCTTTCTTTTTCCGCGCGGTCGGTAGAGAAAACAGAGAACACGGCTCTCCCTTGTCGCTTCTTCTTCTGTCGCGTCGCTCTCCTCTGCCTCGTTCTGCGACGCCGCCGCCGCCTGCCGGTCCCTTGTTCTCGCTGCTTCTTGCGCCTTTCGGCGCAGCTCCGTCCTCCTGCTCCTCGCTGCATATCCTGGCCCCTCGATCGAGTCTATCGAGCTCTCCTCGAAGAAAGAAAGAAAAGAAAGAAAACAGACAACCCAAGGGAGGGATGGGAGGACGGCACGCCGCCACCACACAGGGATTTTAAAAAGAAAGAAAGAAAGAAAACAGACAACCCAAGGGAGGGATGGGAGGACGGCACGCCGCCACCACACAGGCTCTCCTCGCGCACTCGTAAAATTCTTTTCGACCGCCCGGCTGGGAAACCGGCGCCCAGCCTGGGTGCTTCCACATTCCGAGTCGGTGAGTCGCTGCGAACTGCGGGCTCCGCTCTCACACTAAGCACAATCGTGAGCTTTTCGCGGTCAGCCAATGGCGCACAAGCCCCGCAAACGCTTCTCGCTCCTCATGCTCGCGTACGGCGAGCGGTACCTGGAGGACCGTGCCGTCATCCTCGAGCCTGCGCCACCGCTCTCGGACCGGCGGCTGAAGGGTCGGCTCAAGGTCGCGACGTGGTCCCTGACCTTTGAGCCCGACGACCCGGAGGCGCCGTTGATGCGAATCATGCTGCGCGATTGCGACGGCCCGCCGCAGCCGCACTCCTTCGAAGAGGATGGGGTGGAGGCGGCCGGCACCGCGGACGCAGACGGCCTCAGCCTCGCACCGCGTTTGGTGCTGCACAAGCGGTCGGCGCACCAGCCCTTCGCGTCGCTCAGCCGGGCGCCGGGCGAGCGGCTCGCCTTTGCGCTGCTCCACGCGCCGCTGCGGCCCCTCCTCGCCCTCGTGGGAGCTCTGCACGGCGCGACGCAGCTGCCCGAGCCACTGGGCGAGGAGCGGCTCCGCTCGATCGGCGCAGGCGAAAGGGCGCCGGCGTTCGACCTGACGGCGCTGGTCGACCCGCTCGAGGAGCACGCGCCGCCGGTGGACGTGACGCGGATCAGCCCGATGATGCTCACCCCGGCGACGCTCGTCCTCTCCGACTCGCAGCTCTACCTGCACTCGGACGCCGCCGCCGCCGCGTCGGCCGCCGCCGTGTCGCACTGGCCGCTCGCGCACCTTCGGCGGGCGGTGCGGCGGAGGCACCTGATGCGGAGCACGGCCGTCGAGCTCCCGCAGACAAAGAGAGCGTGCCGCCCCATGAAAAGCTTTCCGTGAACAGGCACACCGCTCTCGAGCTGCGCTTCTCGCCGGCGGAGCGGTCGGCGGAGGCGGAGCAGTCGGAGCCGCCGCCGCCCGGCCGGATCCTTCTGCCGGATCCCGACCCTCTGAGCCTCCTTCGGACCTCGCCGCAGGCGTCAGACCCGCTGCTGCTGCTGCCGGGGGCCGGGATCGAGTCGACGCTGGTCTCCTTCTCGTCGCACGCCGCGCGGGAGGCGTTCCTGCAGGCGCCCTCACCACTCCTAGACCTCTCAAACTTCCCACACACCTCGCACACACCTTCGAGGCACCTCTAGACTGCGGAACAGCCTTCCTGCAGGCGCTGGCTGCCGCGCGCGAAAAGCTCGGCTTGCCGCCGCTGCCGCCGCCGCCCGAGGCGCCGGCTGGCGGAGATGGGGGCAGCGACACGTCCAGGACACTTCCGCGACGCGTGCATGCGATGCCCCACAGGCGCGGCTGCCGGAGATGGTGCAGCGCTGGCGGCACGGCATGCTCTCAAGCTGCGAGTGCCTCAATCAATCGATTCATCGAGTGTCGTTGATTGGTCAGTGAGTGACTAGGCTCCTCTCCACCTGCGAGCACCTCCAATCGTCCCTCCACTCCTCGACGAGCGGCCAGTCCGCGGACTAGGCCTCCTCTCAAACTACGAGTACCTCTGCCACCTCAACGATGCGGCCGGCCGCTCGTGCGCCGACCTCGCGCAGTACCCGGTGATGCCGTGGGTGCTGCAGGACTACACCTCCCACACCCTCGACCTGGCCGACCCGGCCGTCTACCGCGACCTCTCCAAGCCGGTCGGCGCGCTCGACGCCTCGCGCCTCGCCCTCTTCCGAGAGCGGTGCGCGTCGGTGCCGCCCGGCGACGCCTGTGCCGTGATGAAGATGTACCTACGGACGACTCATTCCTTCATAGGTACGCCTCGATGCCGCCCGGCGACGCTTGTGTGCGGCAGGCGCTGCTCGGAGCCGTCTCTGAGCTGAGCCGTCTCTAGACTCTCCCGCAGGCGACGCCTTTATGTACGACACGCACTATTTATTATTATCATCATTATTATTATTATTATAGCTCTCCCACAGGCGACGCCTTTATGTACGGCACGCACTACTCGGCCCCCGCCTTCGTCGCCTACTTCCTTGTCCGCCAGAGGCCCGCGCTCGAAACTGCACTAGCACGCCGGCCGCTGCATCTCCTTCCGCAGTGACTCACCCCTCACAGGCCCGAGCTCAACCTGCATCTGCACGCCGGCCGCTTCGACGAGCCCGACCGGCTCTTCTTCTCCGTGCGCGAGGCGTGGGCGTCAGTCTCCCTCGTCTCATTAGTGACATCGTCGCCCAATGAACGAGTTCCTCGCCACAGGCGTGGGCGTCGGTCCTTCGCTCCACCTCCGACGTCAAGGAGCTGTTGCCGCACTCGTCTTGCCTGACGTCGGCCGCAATCGATTGATGATTCATGACACATCATCAACAGGAGCTGCTGCCGCACTTTTACTGCCCTGAGCTGCACGCGCCGCCCGCGGCCTCGTTCCTCGTCAACTCGCTCCGCCTGCAGCTCGGCTGCCGCCACTCGGGCGAGCAGGCCGGCGACGAATCAACCCACCGACCAGCTAGACTGCCCGAGTGGCGGCAGCTGACCAACTAGATGGGCTGACTTCTTCCTCAAGCAGTCGATCCACTCATTAGCCGCCGCCACTCGGGCAGGTCGGCGACGTCGAGCTGCCGCCGTGGGCCGGGTCGCCGCACGAGTTCGCCTCGAAGTGCCGCCAGGCCCTCGAGTCAGAGGCGGAGAAGGACACGTCCGAGACACCTCCGAGACACGGCACCGGCATGTGCACAGGCCCTCGAGTCGGAGGCGGTCTCGGCGGCGCTGCACAAGTGGGTCGACCTCATCTTCGGGCACAAGCAGCGCGGCGCCGCCGCCGTCGGCGCGGACAACGTCTTTTGCCCGAGCGCGTACGAGGGGGCGGTCGAGCTGGAGGGGCTCCCTCCCGACGACCGGCGCAGATCACCCGAGAGCACCCGAGAGCACCCGAGAGCACCCGAGAGCACCCGAGATCACTCAAGATCATCGGAGAGCACCCGAGAGCACCCGAGAGCTCCCTCCCTCCCGGCGCAGACTCGAGCTGCGGCCGCGTGACGTGAGCACGTCGCGCCCATGACATGCGGACGGCATGTCGTCGCAGGCGCGTGCTCGAGCTGCAGATCAACGAGTTTGGCCAGATCCCGCTCCAGCTCTTCGCGGCGCCGCACCCGCGCCGCTTGCCGGGCGCCGCGAGCCGGCCGCTGCTGCGAGAGGAGGAGTTGCCCGCCGCGATCGCCGTGGCTGCCGCAGCGGCGGTGAGCGCCGAGTGGGGCGACCGTGACGGGTTCGAGAGCGGCGGAGCCGGGGCGGGCAGCGACGGAGGCGGAGGCGGGGCAGCGCTCGGACTTGAGGCGTCGGCGCTATCTTCGCCGCGACTCGTCCGCCGGTTCGACTTGGGTGCGACGCCGCTGACTTGCGTGGTGGGTCGGCCGAGACGGGGCGAGGCGCTCGACGCGGTCACCCCTCGCTAGAACCGGGCGCCTCTGCTGGGTAGGTGCTGGCGGAGGACGGCGAGACCATCTGTGCGGCGGGCGGCGCCGGAGTGCGGGTCTACTGCCAGCGGCGGCGGCGGATGCTGCGCCGGTCGGAGGTTGGCACGGCGCCTCTGACCTCGTGCGCCCAGCTGCGCGGCTTCGACCTCCTCTGCCTCGGCTCGACGGACGCAGCTCTCCACCTCTACTCGGTGGGGCGCGGCCAGACGGTGCAGTCGCTCCCTGCCGGCGGCAGCGTGGCGGCTCTGGCGCTGGGCGAGGCCGGGCTCTTGTGTTGCTCCGCCGCCGGCGCTCGGCTCCACCGCCTAGTGCCATCGGGCCTCTCCGCCTACGGAGACCAGCTCTCGCTCCCGGCTGCTCTGCCGCCTGGAAGCGGGCTGGCGAGTGCCGCGCTCCACCCAGGGTTGCCCTTGGCCGCTGCCGGCGCGCTGGACGGCGGCGTCGTGCTGTGGGACTTGCGGTCGGGGGGGCCTCCCGTGCGGACGTGGCGAGAGGAGCAGCCGCCGGGTTGCCTCCTCCAGACTCCCCCTGGGAGCTCTCTCGGAACCCTCCCGTAGGCGGCACCCGGGTGGGGCGTCGGTCAGCGGCGTCGCTTTCTCGGCGGGCGGGTGGCTCGCCCTTTGTGGTTCGCGCCCTCCCACTCTGCTGTCGCCCAAAGGCCTCACTTGCACTCGGTAGGCTCGTCTCGTGCTCGCTCGACGGCAGCGTGTTGTGCGCGCGCCAGCCTCACGAGACCGATGTATCGCCCATCGAGCTGAGCGCGGCTGGCTGTGGGCCACCTCAGCGGTGCATCACCGCGTTCGGGTCGGCCGCGGTCAGCGCGGGCGATGGCGGCGTCGCGCATGTCTGGGACGTACAACGTGGCCGTCTTGAGACGACCGTGTGCTCCCCCTCCGCTATCGGTGCTGTGGCGGGCCCGGCCGTCCGCAGCGCGAGCCTCGGGGCGGCTGGGGGCGGGCAGCTCATCCTCGGGCTCGAGAACGGCTGGTGTGAGGTGTGGGGAGCTTTGCAATAACGACACACAGTTTCTCGAAAAATGCAGATGGCAGATCGGAGTGTGCGTGCTGGCTGCTGCGTCGTGTGTGGTGTCTCGAGATCGCATGTGATCGAGATCCACTCGCTTGCTTTTTTTTCGCTTCAGCCCTGCGGATCTTCAGTAGACCGGAGGGCTACGACGCCTTCACACTCCATAGACCATACTCCAAGGGGCTGATCGAGATCGATGACATGGGAGAGACACCGGACAAGTCACCGGACCAACTAGGCGACAAGTCAACGAGCTAGGTGAAGGCTCCCCTGTTCTAAATCACATATCAATCTCAGCGAGCCTCCCAGACGGCATGCGGAGTGCGGCACTGCGTGGAGCTGTGGAGGCCGAGCGGAACGGCCATGGGGAGCGAGCGCATGGTGCCTGGGTGCTTAGGCAGTCAGTGCATCGTCAGCCGCGGGTTGACCACCTGCGCTAAGCTCGAGCTGGCCCCTAGGCTGGAGAATTGCTCCTCGGTGAGCATCTCCTCCAGTCCGGACATGAGGCTGCGCAGCTCCTTCACCTCCTCTCGCAGCGCCTCGAGCTCCTCTCTCTCAGTCGGCGTCAGCGGGCCGTCCTCGGCGGTCTCGACGTCCTCCTTCTCGCTCACAGCAGCGGCCCCCGGCTTGGGCAACGTGTTTTCGGGAAGTCGTCTGTGCATGACGAGCACGCGGCATATGAGCAGCATCGCAAGGAAGTTGCAGCCGGACGTGAGCAGGGGGAGCAGCTCCCAGTTCCAGTTCTCGTAGAGCCAGCCGCCGAGCAGCGGCCCCGTGAAGCCGGCGATCGCCTGGATGGACGTGGATCGGCCCTGCCACTTGCCTTGCTCCGCCTTGTCAGCATACATCGAGACCATGACGGCCTGCGCTGTGTTGTAGAAGGTGAAGCCCACCGAGTGGCCAAAAGAGAGCGCGAGAATCACGACAAGCCCGCCGTCGAGCGTGAACTTTCCGTCGCACGGGCCCGACTTTTGCGTGGCGGTCACACCGAGCCAGCCCACGACGTTGAGGACCGTGCCGAGGATTGCTACCTTGTGCATCCCCCCCAGCCACCTGGCTATACGCGCGAAGAAGCCGAGATTAGCGATGATGCCGACCGTGCCTAGATCGTGAGGAGAACGGCTCAGACAAATCTGGACAGGTGTTCCCGCGCCGGCTGGCAGGGCGCCCGTGGCTGTCGTGACAAAGCCAAACTCACCGGGCCCCCAGCCGAGCTTATCGAGGAGCCAGAAGCCAAACATCGCGATGAACATCTGGAAGCCAAAGAAGACCAGAAATGTGGCGCAGTAGATGGTGTAGATGAGAGGCAATCTCGAGCGGTACACCGCGGACTTGCGCATGCCGGTGCCTTCCATGACGCTGCTTTGCTTCCCCTCGCGCTTTGGCGGCTTTTGCGGCTCGTCGAGGAAGAAGAGCGAGAGCAGGAAGCCCATGAAAGCCATGCCGCTCGAGGCGAAGAAGGGGACGGTGTTGCCAAACTGCGCTAGGCCGCCGCCGAAGCCAGGGCCGAAAACTAGCGCCGCTTGAAAGCACGACATGAGTCGAGCTCGGTAGGCCGGCGCCCGCTCGGGAGGGACCGAGTCCGAGATGTAAGCCTGCGCTAGAGGTGGCGACGCCGAGAAGAAGCCGCCAATGAAGCGGCCGACAAGCAAGCCGATGTTCGAGCCCGCGACGGCGATTATCATAAAGCCGATCGATGAGCCCATGAAGCCGATGATGAAGAAGCGTCGTCGGCCATACTTGTCGCTCAGCTGCGTGGTCAGCGGCGTGGCGAAGAACATTGCAAACTGATAGAGCGCCGCCGCCAGCGCGCCGTAGAAGGAGGCGCCTTCGCACTTGTCAGCTTCGCTCTCGTCTGCGATCAGCTGCTCTGGCGCGTCACAATCGAGGGGCGGCGGTGGCGGTAGCATTAGGGCGCTGTCAGAGGAGCCACCCCCGGTGCAGCCTGTTAGAAGAAAAGCTACGAGTGGGAGAATGCAAAGGGGGGAGGGAGGAGAGGGGAGTGGGGGCCGGCTCGCACCCAAGTTCTCCTGAATAAGGTAGGGAATCACAGGTACAGCCATGAGCATGCCAAACCTGGAGGCGACGCGATTCAGTGGGTGGGAGCAGAGCGCGCGGGAAAAGAGGAGGAGTAGGCTGGCCGGCTTCAACTCTCAGGCGGAGGTGGCGGTTCGCTGCGGGCTGGATGGCTTCATTCAAGGCCGCAGGACATGGCCAACACGGTGTGGGCGTATGCAACGGCGGGCGTTGCTGCCGGGCCACTCTCTCACATGTCAATGAAGACCGAGAGGTATACCACCGCGAGGCCCGCCCGTTTCACCATTGTCGCCGGAGCGCGGACGAGCTCTGCCGATTTGTGCCCGGGCGGAGGAAGGGACGACCGTTTTGGGATTCATTTCTTGGGGTCGAGAAAGGCAGCGGCGCAACTGCGGGAATTCCTGCGGGGAGCAACGTAGACGGGCGAGGATACGGAGTAACATTACGGCACCGATGCGGCGACGGAGTGGTCTCATCACGGCATGGCGGGCGGACGCTCCGTCGATGCGCGGGTACGATGGGGTCATTGGATGCAGTAAATAAATAAATAGAGCAGTCATCTCCAGGGATGCAGTAAAGAAAGAAAGAAAGAAAACAGACAACCCAAGGGAGGGATGGGAGGACGGCACGCCGCCACCACACAGGGATTTTAAGGAGAGGAGTGTGATGCGCTAGCCGTCGCCCACCCTAGGGAGTCTGCCTCTTCCTATCTCTTTTCGCAGTCTCTCGCCGATTCTCGCTGCAACCTTCAGGGATGCAAAGAAAGAAAGAAAGAAAGAAACCACACAACCCAAGGGAGGGATGGGAGGACGGCACGCCGCCACCACACAGGGATTTTAAGGAGAGGAGTGTGATGCGCTAGCCGTCGCCCACCCTAGGGAGTCTGCCTCTTCCTATCTCTTTTCGCAGTCTCTCGCCGATTCTCGCTGCAACCTTCAGGGATGCAAAGAAAGAAAGAAAGAAAGAAACCACACAACCCAAGGGAGGGATGGGAGAACGGCACGCCGCCACCACACAGGGATTTTAAGGAGAGGAGTGTGATGCGCTAGCCGTCGCCCACCCTGGGGAGTCTGCCTCTTCGTATCTCTTTTCGCAGTCTCTCGCCGCTTCTCGCTGCAACCTTCATGCCACCTCGCGGCCGTCCCACTCTCGTCGGTCTCTCCCTTGTCACTTCCTCCTCTGTCGCGTCGTTCTCTTCTGCCTCGTCCTGCGACGCCGCCGCCTGCCGGTCCCTTGTTCTCGCGGCTTCTTTCGCCTTGCGCAACTCCGTCCTCCTCGCGGCGTATCCTGGCCCCTCGAGTCTATCAAGCTCCCCTCGCGCAAGGACCACATTTCTGACTCCCACTCCGATCATTTGCCTACACGTCATGTTGTTGCTCAGGTCCACTCTCTCTTCGAACACTCGTGCCTCTACGGATGATGCCGGCGCTGGGGTCCCCTTCGGATGCATCGTGACATCTGACAACTGGGATGCAGTCGCGAGCCCAGTGCGCGCAGAAAATTCTTTTTCTCGCGGTATACAAAAATGTGCATAATGCGGCGCCGCTCGTGCCGCCTCGCCGCCGCCGCCGCCGCCGCCGCACACTGCCCCCTCACCGACCTGCCCCTTGAGCTCCTCGCGCGCGTCATCTCCCGCTGCGACCCCGCCGACATCGCTCGTTTCGCGGCCGTCTCGCTGCTCTTCCACGCCTCGCTCGCGCTAGAGGGCATTCGCTTGTGGGCGCAAGAGCGCGGCTTCGAGCTGCCGGCGCAGCCAGAGGGCGAGAGCTGCGCCGTGCGGTGGCTGTGCTATTCGGCGTTGCTGCGCGAGTCCAACCCGCCGGCGAGGGCGGCTGCAGGCTATACGCACAGCCTCTTCATTGATGGCGAGGGGCGGCTCTCGTCGTGCGGCTCTGCGCCGGATCACGCCCTCCTTGGGCACGGCGAGGGCGTGACGCGGCTCAACACGCCGACACGCCTCCCTTCCCCGCTGGGCGGCGAGCGCGCCGTGAGCGTGTCGGCTGGACTTATGCATAGCCTCGCCCTCACCGCCGACGGAGTTGTCTGGAGCTGGGGCCGTGGAGACTTTGGCAGCCTGGGCCACGGCGACCATCAGTCTCAGCTGCTGCCCAAGAACGTCGAGGCCTTTGATGGCCAGCGCGTCGTCGCTGTGTCGGCGGGACCCTTTCACAGCCTCGCCCTCACCGCCGACGGCGCCGTCTGGAGCTGGGGCGGTGGAGTCTCTGGCCAGCTGGGCCACGGCAACCAGCAGAACCAGCTGCTGCCCAAGAAGGTCGAGGGCTTTGCTGACCAGCGCGTCGTCGCTGTCTCGGCGGGAGGGGCTCACAGCCTCGCCCTCACCGCCGACGGAGCCGTCTGGAGCTGGGGCGGTGGAAACTTTGGCCAGCCGGGCCACGGCGACGAGCAGAACCAGTGGCAGCCGAAGAAGATCGAGGCCTTTGCTGGCCAGCGCGTCGTCGCTGTGTCGGCTGGATGTCTGCACAGCCTCGCCATCACCGCCGACGGCGCTGTCTGGAGCTGGGGCTATGGAGCCGGGGGCCAGCTAGGCCACGGCGACCAGCAGAACCAGCTGCTGCCCGAGAAGGTCGACGCCTTTGACCAGTGTGTCGTTGCTCTGTCGGCTGGAGATATGCACAGCCTCGCCCTCACCGCCGACGGCGCCCTCTGGAGCTGGGGCGGTGGACGCCTTGGCAAGTTGGGCCACGGCGACGAGCAGCTGCAGCTGCTGCCGAAGAAGGTCGAGGCCTTTGCTAGGCAGCGCGTCGCCGCTGTCCTGGCGGGAGAGGACCACAGCCTCGCCATCACCGCCGACGGCGCCGTCTTCACGTGGGGCAAGGGCGAGGACGGCTTCCTAGGCCACGGAGAGGACCTGACGAACCAGCTGCTGCCCAAGAAGATCGAGGCGCGCAACGCCAGCGCAGAGTGAACTAAGCCGTCTACGAGTCGTCTCGAATGAGATCGTCTCGACTCCTCTCGACTCCCGTGAGGTATCGGCGACACGTGTCGCGGGCGACGTGGTGATTTCAAGCTGTGTGCTGTGGGCGGCGACTCTGCTGACGGCCGCCTCAGCTCAGTCGAGCGGTACGATCCGGCGCTGAACGCGTGGGAGACGGTTGCGCCAATGGGGGCGGGGCGGATCGGCGGCATTGCCCTGGTGTAAGTCGATTCAGCACATAGGCGCGCGGGCTGGGGGGCGCTGAGTGTAGCTGTAGGGCTGGGGGTGAGTGTCTGAGGCGGTGCTGGAGGCATACGGTACTCTGTCAAGGGCGAGGGTGCGCGTTGGCCCATATTTTTCTTGCTTTTTGGGCGCGGTGAAGGTCGACGGCACGCTGGCGAGTAGAGGGCCCCGCCCACTTACGCTTTTTGCTATTTGCTCTTTCGAGGTCTCGAAAGCTCTGTGCTCCGTACATACATGCTCCCTCTCGCAGCCGCCGCCCTGCTCTCGACGGCAGCAGTCGCTTGGCCGGACGGCTCACCGGCTCCAAAGTGCGGCCCAAAGGCAGCTCGGCCGATCACGCCGACCAAGACAGCTGCGTATGAGGCCGCCGTTGCGCGTGGGAGCGCGGTGCCTAGCGTGCTGCTGTGCCGCCCTTTTGACGATGGCAATGTTGGTGCCGCCGCGCGCGCCATGCTCAACTTTGGGCTCTCCGACCTCCGGCTGGTTGATCCGACGGCACACGCACAGAGCGACGAGGCTGTGCTGCGCGCCTCGGGTGCAGCTCCGATCTTGCGCCGCTGCGAGACGCACGAGACGGCCGCCGACGCGGTCGCTGACCTGCAGCTGGTCCTCGCGACGACAGCGCGGCCGCGCGAGAGCCGCATTCCCGTCTACGCGCCTCGAGAGGCGATGGCGCTGGCCGCCGCGGCGATAGCGCGCGGCGAGCGGGTCGGGCTCATGTTTGGGAGCGAGAAGAATGGGCTGAGCAACGCGGAGCTCGACGCGGCGAACGCCATCGTCACGATCCCCACTTTCCCCGGCTTCTCGTCCCTCAACCTCGCGCAGGCTCCGCCACTCCGAGCGGGGGCAGCGCGGAGCAGCGTCCTCGAGCTCGGTCTCTGTGCATGTCCACAGGCGGTGCTGCTGGTCTGCTACGAGTGGGGCGCGATCGCCGAGGGCGAGAACCAGTACGAGGTGGCGCGGCAAGCCTACGACGCCGACGAGGCCGCGGCAGAGGCGGAGGGCGGCAGCGGTGCGCGTGCGCCTCTCGGGCAGGTTCCCTCGCACGCACGCCACACGACACACGCCACACACGCCACACACACGCCACACACACACACACACACACACACACACACACGCGCGCCACACACACACACACACACACACACACACACACACACACACACACACACACACACACAAAGCACAACACAATACACCTCACCCACGTGCACTGTCCTCTCAATGCCGCGGGGCTCCGGCCTTGGGACATGGAGAGGGGGTGGACTGCACGGCTCTCGCGCGGAGAAGTGTCCCCCACCTTACCTCACCTAGGTCGACTCGCTGCTCCGCTTCTGGGAGGAGAGGCTGTGGGAGGCGAACTTCTTCGGGGGCAACCGTGCGCTGCACTCGCAGTACGGGCCGGAGGAGGGGAGGGCGCAGGAGCGCTCTCGCGCGGCGGCGGCGATGGCGAAGTTGCGGCGGCTCGTGCTGCGCGCACAGCCGAGCAAGGGCGAGGCCTCGCTGCTGCGCGGCTCGCTGCAGGCGCTGGTGGTGCCAAAGGGAGGAGGTAGAGGCGCCGTCGAGGATGGTGGAGGGGACAGCGAGAGGGAGCAGGAGAGGGAGGGGTGACGGTAGTGACCACATCCACAATTGGCCGCGGCGGCTGGTGGATGGCGTGCGGTGAGGACCGCCGCGCTCTCACACTCAGCGGGGCGCACTGACAGCAGTTCAGACTCCAGTGCTGCGCCCAGCGGCTGCTGGCCGATGTGCGCTAAATTAGCGCAGCTGCTAGAGGTAGAGCTCGCGTGTCGCGAGAAACGATGTGGACGATGTAAATCCGCCATTACTGGCTCTACTGCCAAGTGCCACTTGAGGCGGTCGCGTAATAAAAAACAGAAGGAAGAAAGGAAAAGGAGACGAGCTCGGGCGAGGCGCGCTACATGAGAAATGCGTGGTGGGTGGTGCGCTCGGCTCTCAGCGCCGCCTCGGCCGCGCCCGGCGCTCTTCGCGCCTGCGGCGCTGCGGGTCGCCCTCGCATTGGCCCCAGCGCGGAAGGGCATCCATTGGGCGCAGTCAGCTGCGCGCAAAGGCGCAGAAGCGCTCGAGGAGGCCCTCCTCGGAGAAGGCGAGCAGGTGGAGGCCTTGCGCGTGCTCGACGGCGACGGTGGAGGTGCCGCTCGCCGCGTGCATCTGCTCGACCGCGAGCGGCGGGCTCTGCGCGACGAGCGCCTCGAGGGCCGGCCGCTCCTGCGCCGCCAGCGAGGGCGTGCAGAGGGGCAGCACCGACTCGACGCTTCGCGTGGCGCACGCGGCGTACACCTGCGGACGAGTGGAGGGGGCACGAGTCCGCCTCAGCTGCTCGTGTGAGCGCGAGGCACACCCCTCGAGGCGAGGCGAGGCGGCGAGGCGGAGGCGGCCGGTGTGCGGGGCGGCAGTGCCGGGGCTCGAGTGCGGGCTGTCGAGGCTTGGCTCAGTCGGGGGATTGCGCCTTGAAGGCGAGGTCGGGCAGCGGTGGGCAATCTCGGGCAATCTCGGGCAATCTCGGGCAATCTCGGGGGATTGCGCCTTGGAGGCGAGGTCAGGCAGCGGCAGCCGGGCGGCCGACGAGGAGCGCGCCCGCTTGAGCCCTGGCGCGCCGCTCTCGCGCAGCGCCTCGTGCACCTGCGGGGCAAGTCTCGGACATGTCCAGGACGTGTCCCGGACACGTCGCTCGCAGCGCCTCGCGCGCCTCCCGCGAGCCCGTCAGGTCCGCAGCGGTCTTGCCAGCGAGCGAGGGGAGGGAGCGGTCTGCGGCGGCAGCGAGGAGCGCGCGGACGCAGCCGACCCCGCCGGCGCGCGCGGCGTAGTGCAGGGCGGAGAGGCCGTCGGCGTCGGTCGCGTCGACGCTCACGCCGTCGGCCGCGAGGAGGGCGGCGAGGCACTCCTGTTGAGTTAGTGATCAATCGCTAACGGTGTATGAACTAGTCGGCCGCGAGGAGGGCGGAGAGACACTCCTCGTCATTCCGCTCGGCGGCGCGGTGCAGCGCGGTGCGCTGGTGGTGGTCTGCCGCCTGTGGCGGCAAGAGCGGGAGTGAGGAGGATCCAAACAAGGAGGGTCGCTGGTGGTGATCGGCCGCCTGTGCGGCGGCGCCGGCGGCGAGGAGGGCGCGCACGTTCTTCGCCGCGCCTGTGGGACGGTTCCGAGAAGGCTCAGGCAAGGTTCCGAGGAAGGGGGCGCGCGCGTTCTTCGGCGCGCCGAGAAGGCGGCCCAGAGGAAAGTGTGATACTACACTACACTATACGGCGCGCCGAGAAAGGCGGCCCAGTGGAGGGGTGTGAGGCCGGCCCAGTCCTTTTGGTCGACGGCGGCGCCGGCGGAGAGGAGGGCCTGGTTGGGGGGGGGGGGGGGAACGTTGCTGGGAGTGGTTGAGAGGGCTGGGAGGGTGGCGGGAGGGTGGCGGGAGGGTGGCGGGAGGGTGGCGGGAGGGTGGCGGGAGGGTGGCGGGGAAGGTGGCGGGAGGGTGGCGGGGAGGGGTGTTTGCAAGTCTCGGGTAGTCTCGCCTGGACGGAGGGGAGCAGCTCGTCGTTGACGACGGCGTAGTGCAACGCAGTCCGCTTCTCTCCGTCGGTGGCGTTGACGTCGGGGCTCTTGTTGAGGAACTGGTGAAGGGGGGGGGGGGGGGGGATGAGGAGGTAGGGAGGGATGCCCAGCCCAATAGGTGCCAACAGGTGGGTGTAGGAGAGGGAGGGAGGGAGGGGGAGGGGGAGGGAGAGGATGTGTGCGAAAGAGAGGGATAGGATGTGTGGCTGAGGCCCAGCAGCTGCCTCGAGGAGCACCGCGTCGGGCCATCTCGGGCCATCTCGGGCCATCTCGGGCCATCTCGGGTCGTCGCTGCCTCGACAAGCATTGCGCTCGCGTCGGCCGCGTCACCGCCCTCTGCGCCGTACTGCATGGCGAAGTGGCACGCGGTCTTGTTGGTGGGGGCGATCGAGCCGACCGAGTCGCGCTCGATGGTCGCGCCCTCGGAGAGCAGCAGCCGCACCGCCGCCGTCCGGCCGTGCTTGGCGGCCAGCAGCAGCGGCGTCTCGACGGCGGCGTTGAGCGCCTCGAGCGGCGCGCCCTTCTCGAGGGCGAGCTTGGCGAGGTCGACGGCGTCGTGCAGGGCGAGCCAGTGCAGCGGCGTGTTCTCGTCCTCGTCGCCCGTGCCGAGCGGCGCGCCCGCCTCGATCAGCGCCCGCGCGGCGTGCCGGCAGTTGCCGACGCAGGCGGCGAGCAGCGGCGTGCGCATCTGGCCATCCTGCATGCCGACCGAGGCACCGTGGGTGAGGAGGAGCTGGACGCACTCGACGTTGTCCAGCTCCGCCGCGAGGTGCAGCGCCGTCTGCTCGCCCTGAACGGCGGGGCGAGAGCGGTGAGGCACATACACACACACGTCATCATCTCGATGGGAGCGGTGGCGTGAGGGAGCGCACTGCGCCAGTCTCGTTGACGTCGCAGCCCTCCTTCGACACGAGATGCTTCACGCGCTTAGCGTCGCGCGCGTGCAGTGCCTCGAAGAGCTTGGAGGGCGGCATTCGGCACCAGTTGGGCAGCACCGAGATGAAGAGGGGGCGGGGAGTGTCAACCAGGTTCGCTGTGAAGAGCTGGGGCGCGCCACCCAAGAGCCTAGGTAGGTGCGGATCGGCAAGAGCGCAATCGATCTTTTTGCCCTCTATCACCTTGGGTTGTAAGAACTTGAAACACACCACGCAGGGGCACAGCAAGCACGGATAGCCGTTGAGGAGAAAGGGTAAGGTGTATGCGCAGCCACGGCCGTGCCGCGGTGGTAGGGTGCCCACAGGACCCAAAAAAAGAAAGAAAAAAGAAATGGGCCGCGCCCGATCGCAGCACTTCGTGTTGGAGAGTCGAGATATTGAGAGTGTGACTAGGAGGGTAGGACGCTGGGGATTCTCAAAGGTATACCCTTGGAATGGCCGGATCCAGCCTTAAAGTACGAGATCGCGCGCGCTTCGCGCACAGCACCGCCTGTTCTCCGCGGCTGTGTGACGACGCGTGCCGTGTGCCAGCAGAATTGGGCGCGCGCGGCGCGACGGCGCCCGCGAGGGAAGGCGCGGGTGCAGCGGCCGCCGGCGGCCGTGCCGCCCGCCAGCCAGCGCAGCAGCGGCCAGCGCAGCGGCCGCCGGCGCAGCAGCCAGAGCAGCCGGTGCGCGCCTTGCGAGGCGAGTACTGCCGCCCGGCAGCCTTGAGGCGGCCGGGCGGCAGTACTCGTTCGAACTTTGCGAGCCGTGCGCGCGCCGAGGCGCCCGCGGCGCGCGCCCGCCCGGCTGCCAGTAGGAGGCGGCGCAATATAGGTCGCGCAGCTGGGCCGCCGGGTTCTCGGGCTCCTCAGAGTAAGTGAGGGTGACCATGAAGGGGCAGTTGCGCTCGCCCCACTGGTCCGCCTTGGAGAGAGGCGGCGCCACCTGGGCGTAATCCAGCCCCGGTCGCAAGGAGTGGAGCTGGGCCGCCGTGGGGTCGGTCACGATGGTGCCGCGGATGCTCCAGACCAGGTGTGTGAAGGTGAGGAACGGGTCCGGCCCGGTCGTTTCGCCGAGGCGGAACGCGGTGTACATGAGAAAGACGTTGAGGCGGCGGAAGATGAAGACGTCGTGGCAGTCGTCGCTCCACACGCGGCCCGCCACTCGCACCGTGGGCGCCGCGCGGTAGATGTCGCGCATCATGGAGAACTTCATGGGCTCTGCGCGCCTCGGGGCGAGGGACCCGGGCCCGTGGTGCGCGAGGTAGGAGCGCATCAGCCCCGCGAAGGCCGCGGCGAGGGCTCGGTACCCTGGCATCTGCACGCCCCAGCGCTTGAAGATGCGGCAAATCGCGAGCGGATACGCGAGCGCGGAGCGCGGCTTGATGAATTGTGCATCTCGGGTGCGGGGGATGCACCAGACATGCGCGTACATCATGAGGCAGGCGAGGAGGTGGGCGTTGCGGTCAGGGTGGTCTCGCGCCTCCGCGGAGCTCCTCAGTGGGGTGGTGCCCTGGGACTCGCACACGTTGACCCAAAACTCCCAGGCGCGCTCGTCCACCTTGAGCGTGGCAGCGTTGACGCCAGACGCTGCGAGTGCGCTTGTTCGCTCCGCTGAACGGAAGAGCGCGCTGGGGGCCGCACGCAAGTGCATGCGCGCGTCCGATCCAGCGCTCGCAAGCCCGAGGACTCGCTCCCGAGTCATGCGCCGGTCCGCCTCTGCCAGCTGGCTGGAGCGTCGCTGCGCCACCGGCGGTCGGGCTTCCGGGAAGGTCGGCGTTTCGGGCGCACGCCCGCCAGCGCGCCCAGCCGGCTCGACGTCGGCGGCCATGCGAGGTGCGGCCGTGGGGCGCCACCCCCATGAGGTGTCATGCCGCTCCCTTGAGGCGCCGGCCGATTGGTCAGATGGCCGCTTGAGGTCGAGGCGCGCCCTGAGCCGGTCAGCGCGAACGTCAACGGGCAAAGAGCGAGAAACTGCGGGTGGCCCGGGGGCTGCTGGCCCGCGGCGCCCTGGCGGCAGCGCGCGAGAAGGGGGGCCGCGGCGGCGCAAGGGGCCGCCTTGCGCGGCATCCCGTCGGAGCCGGCGGTGGTCGCCGTCCACCCCAAGAACTCGGTGGCCTCAAGAAGCGGGGAGCTCTCGGGCATGATCAAAAGCATGGTGGATCCCGTCGGGTCCACCTCGGCGTCAAAAGAGTCGGCCATCGTGGCCTTCGGAAGGGCGCAGAGGGCGACTTTGAGCGCGCTTCAACTCTTCCTCCTCGTTCCCAAGTTCGACGAGGAGAGAGGGAGCGCGCACAGACTGACGTCAGCTCTGCTCCTGAAGTACACCTCTGAAAGACACCTTCAGAGGTGTGGTGCACCTCTGAGGCACCTCAGAGGAAACGCTGCACTTCTTTTATCGATCTCGTCGCCAGACTCCGATTTCTCTTTGTCGGGCCATGTGCCGCTCGCTCGTCCGCCCAAGTGACTCGGACGCGCGGTCGAGGGCACCCCACCGTTCCTGGGGCGCGCTGGCGCTCGCCCACAATCGTCCCCCACCCATCCACCCTTTTGTCTTTGAGGCTGTCGCTCCGAGAAAACTTGTCTCGCAGCTGCGAGAAATTACCTTTCTCATTCTCCTTTCTGCTCTCCCCGGCCCCCTCGGCCCTGGGCGTGAGGGTGTGAGAGCAGAGGTTACCGACCGCACTCCACAAGTCCCCCCCCCCCCCCGGCACGATGACACAACCCACAGGAATAAATACTTGTGTCGCTAATGTTCGAACAAGCGGTCGTGTCGTGCACCTCGGGTGTTTGGGAGGTCGTGGGAGCCGCTCAGGACCATTCTGGGGGCGCAATTCGCCTGGTTTCCCTTGAACACGCGGTTTCGCCCCCTCGGGAGCGCCCAGATAATCGCGCGGCCCCCCTGTGGAGACGGTCTCGCGCACCTGCGCCAGACCCCACCGCACTAGCTACATAGATCGTCAGCAGTAGGCGTGCTCAGAGCCCGGATTTGGGCCCATTCTCCAAAGGGCTCGAGAATGGCGCCCGGCAACGTGCAGCTGCAGGCCAGAGGGCGTGAGGTGAGGCCGAATCCGCAGTCGCACGAGCACCGCTGCCCCCAGTGGTGATCATGCATGGAGTGGCACGGCGGATAGGCCCGCCTGCGAGCGTGGAAGACAGTCGCGGGGCGTGAGGTCTCAATGTATCGCCGGCTAGGACCGGATACGGCGGCAGCGGGAGAGGGAGGGAAGCGTGAGCGGCGGGCGACGAGAGTGATTTCCCCGATCTCGCTAAAAATGGCCTAGTCCCCTCACGGGGGGCCGGGCGAGCACACACCTCGCGTCTGAGCGCGAGTCGACGAGTGGTCGCCGAGAGATCGCCGAACCACTTTCGAGTGCGCGCGCACACAGCACAGCTGCGGGTTGTAACTCGACTGCCGATCGCGCGTGCGGGATGTAAATGCAGCTTTCTGGCGCCAGGTGCACGGTGGCAGGGACTGGAGGCTCGGCCAAAGGGGAAGAGCAGTCCTCAATCCTCACGTAGAGGTCGCTGGGCTGGATCCATCGAACTGCCACACACCTGGAGCGGAGGCACATCAGGTCTTGCGGCACGCTCTCCGACAGATGCATGCCTTTTGAGCAAGCCCACGCGCCTCCACCGTCGCGTAGTATGCCAGCGGCACGCCGGTACGCCTACGTGTCGTGCGCGCTCGGCTGTAATCGGCGTTGAGACTGCCTAGCGCGCACATCGAGAGCGCCGAGTTGCCTTGCCGCGGGGTAACCGGCTCAAAGAGGTGGGGTTCGAGCGGCGCCTGAGCGCGTGGGAATGCGTAGTGGGCTTGGAATGAGACGCCTGGCGTGCATCGGGCTCGGACGGTGTCTGTTGTGAGCTCACCGCTCGACGCACAAACCAGGCGCTTTGGGCGCCCGCCAACTGGCCTCACGGTCGAGAGAGCGGAACGCGGTTCGCCGAACAGCAATACACGTGGCCGCACTACTGTAGAGGTACGAACAGGTATGCAGATCGCGGCGCGCCGACAACTGGCACGGCGTCAGAGCCAATCTTGACCAAGGGCTGCTGGCCTGTGCCGACCCTCGCCGCCTTTCGGGCTCACAGCACGGCTGGCCATCGCGTGAACAGGACGTGCCCTTCCGTTTTAAGGCAGTTCAATACCTTCCCCACGGGACACCAGGTCGATATCCGGCTAAACCACACGACCCCGAGAAACGCATAAGCCGCCCCGGCGCTGCCTCCGATTCCGGCCGTATCGGCCATTTCGCTGGGGCGGCTTATGCGTTTCTCGCCAAAATGGCAAAGATGTCGAGCCAAAGCTGTCGACGCCGAGTTCGGCACCCGATTCGCCTTAAAACTGAAGGAGGGGGCGCGGCTCGGAGATGGCAAGGCACGGCGAGGGCAAACGTGCGGCTATTATGACGCGTTTAGGGGCACACTGGGCAAATCGGCCGATTTCCCTCCCGCTAAATCATCACGGCCCCGTAACACCCTCCGCGCGCGGTCAAAGGCTTCCCAGGGCCGGTCCATGACATGAACCGATAGACACAAGCAAAAAAAACCGCACCTCTAAGCTTATCGGGCACCCCGAGGCCCATACGGCGTCCCGGCGGGCCCCGGCGGAGGTCCGGCGCGGCGCTCCAAATCCGCACTTCGCGAGCTTCTACGGGAGTTCACGCGGCCTCTCCGCCTCGTGAGGCACACCCCACACCAACCACGAGCCCTGGGGCCGTGGGCGGACCTTTGGCCGCGGCGTCCGGAGCTTTAGTCGTCGAACATCGGCCGCCAACTAGGCCGTCGAGCGAACGTGTCCGGAGAGGCTCTCGGATGGGTCCGGCAGCGGTCCCATAGACCCAGAAGCTCGCCCCGGCGGAGCACTCACGGCTCGGCCCCCGCCCCTGGTCACCCAGACGTGCCCTTGGACAGCCGTAGGGGCTCGCATGACGACGTTGGCGCCCGCGACGACGCCCTCCCCGACGACGTCGCATCTGGCAGACTACTCGGGCGCGGCGGCGCGGAGGATCACATGGTTTGGGACTCTGAGCGATGGCAGAGGCCTTTTACTGCAAACGAGGACGCCCCGCGAGGCCCCGTTGGCCGGGAGTGGTGAGTGGGACCATAAACAAGCACTATATCCCCTACCGCGACCAGCCCACACACAGCCCAAACCGCTGCCAAACCGGCCCTGGTCACGCAGGCGGGGAGGCTGCCGGGGCGCCCAAACAGTCCCTCACGAACGCCACACGGGCCACCACGGCCCGTCCGGCGGCCCGAGTGCCGCCCCACACCCGCCCGACGCCCTCGGCCAGCCAGCGCCCACTCTGAGAGGCTTCACCGCCGCCAGCGCGCCGAGCGCGCCGCCCTCTCCTCGCGCCACACGGGCCCCTGGCCGCACGCCCGAGAGGCGGCCCATAATTTGAGTCGAGACGCGCCGCCGGCCAGCCAGCAGCTCGCCCGCCACCCGCAGAGTGCCGCCGCCGCCCCCAGCCCGCACTGGAGAGGCTCTCCCGGCCGCTAGCCGCTGTCGCGTCGCCCGGCGGCTGCGCTGGCAGCGTGGCGGTGAGGGCGGTGGGGGAGATGGCGGCGGCGGGCTGGGCCTGGCGGTGAGGGAAGTGGCGGCGACGGGGGCGGGGGTGACCGTGGCGGCGGGCTCGGTGGCGGCGGCGAGGGCGGCGGCGGCGAGGGCGGCGGCGGTGAGGGCGGAGGGGGAGAGGGCGGGGGAGGGCTCGGCGGTGGCGGAGACGGGGGTGGTGGCGAGGGCGGCGGAGGCGAGGGCGGGGGCGGGCTCGGAGGCGGTGGTGACGGGGGTGGCGGCGAGGGCGGCGGTGGCGAGGGAGGCGGCGGCGATGGCGGGGGCGGGCTTGGGGGCGGAGGGCTGGGCGGTGGTGGTGATGGTGGCGGAGGGCTGGGCGGCGGCGGGGATGGTGGCGGAGGCGACGGCGGCGGCGGCGACGGCGGAGGCGGGCTTGGCGGGGGCGGGGAGGGCGGTGGTGGCGAGGGAGGTGGTGGCGATGGCGGCGGCGGTGATGGCGGCGGCGGCGACGGAGGGGGCGGTGAGGGCGGCGGCGGAGAGGGAGGCGGCGGCGATGGCGGAGGCGGCGAGGCAGGAGGGGGTGAGGGCGGGGGCGGGCTTGGTGGCGGAGGGCTCGGCGGCGGAGGCGACGGAGGAGGCGGGGAAAGCGGAGGGGGCGACGGCGGCGGGGGCGATGGAGGGGGCGGCAAGGGCGGTGGCGGTGACGGGGGCGGCGGCGACGGCGGCGGTGGGGATGGCGGCGGGGGGGAAGGTGGCGGGGGCGAGGGCGGCGTGCTCGCGATGGCGGCGCCGAGTCGCCCCGAGCGGAGCACGGCCAAAGGTCTGAGACGCGGGGAGGGCGGGGCGGGAGGTCGTCGTGGGGGCGTGGGGGCGCGGAGGCGGCGTGCGGGGACGCGCGGAGGGCGTTGGTGGTGTGTGGGAGGTGGGCGAGGGAGAGCTGAGGCGGCCGGCGGTGGTGGCGGGAGCAGCGGAGGCGACGGCGTCGGAGGGGGTGGGGGGGAGGGAAACGGCGGCGGCTGTGGCGGAGACAGCGGCAGCGGCGGTGGCGAGGGCCTAGCCTGAGGGGGAGGGGGTGGGGGAGGGGATGAGGAACGGTGAGGGCGGCTGGGGCAGCCGGGAAGGCAACACAGGCGAGGCGCGGCGCACCTCAAACTCGAGCGAGTAGCGGGAATATCACCCGCTGCTCCGGCGGGAGATTGCTCCCCCGCCGCCCCCTGGGTCACCCCGAGTGACCTCGCAGCCCACGCCGTGAGGCGCTGCTGTCAGAGGGGTTTATAACCGCCGTATCCACCCCACACTGGCCGCCGAGGGGCCCGGCGGGCTGAGGCGCGCGAGGCGGCTTTTGCTCCCGCGGGGCGGCTCTACCCGTCTCAGCACGGCGTCCCGAGGTGTAGCCGTGTACCTGGCGGCAGGGCCATCACTCACGCGCCTACTTGCGGCACGAGGGAAGGTGTGACGCGACCGCGAGAGGCGAGATGGGTGATGGCGAGACAGTCGTTTGGCCCGTTTGAGGCTGAAAGGATGACCGCGGACGATGAGGGCGACGATTCATCGCGGCTACTGAGCAGGCAAGGTCCGGACCTACAGGATGGAGGGGCGAGTAGTGAGACTCGGGACCATATCTTCGCGTCGAGAGACGAAAATCCGGATTGTTGGCGCCAGCCGCCGCCGGCCGCCGAACGTCACTTAAGGGAACTGCGCGACGACGACGACATTTCTGAGGTGGAGCGTTCACCACCGCCCTTCCCATGGTGTTTGCCGGTCGGGGGGGCGTCGGCAGCACCGCCGTTCCGCGCGGATGTTGCAAACGGTGGCTCGGGGCACCTATCTCGGCAGCCCCGGGGCGGGAGCCGAGGAGGGGCAGCCGTTGCGGTGGCGCCATCGCAGCTCGGCGGCGCGTGGGGAGCCGAGCGGCTCCCAGCGATCCCGCGAGAGAAGGGCCCGCATCCGTCCCGGATGCCGCGCCCACGCTGCCCGACGCAAGCGCCCACCTTGCCCGACGCAAGAGAGAACTTGTCGCGCCCTTTGTATTTAAAGGCCTATTTCCAGCTTGGGGATTTGCGCCGACCGTGCGTCATTGGGACTCGTGGCGCCTCCCAGGCCCGCCGCAGCGGTCCCATGGGTACCTGCCGTCCGTACCGGTCCACGGGCTGGCCCTGGGCACATTCGGACCGAACTCGCTGCGCAATCCGGTCTCGGTATTGCTGTCGGCGGCCGGCAGCCCTCGGGGGTCGAGTCGCAGGATGTCGCAAAACTTTGCCACACGTGCTCGAGCGTCGAGCTTCCGGTGTCCCCAGTCGCAACTACCTCCGGCGAGGTGGCTGACGTTGCACAATCACATCGGTGGCGCATGCGGAGAGCACCAGTGCTCTTTCGGTGGGCTGTCGTGGGGTGGTGCACGACACGCATTGAGAGGAAGCCAGGTGGGGTTTAGCCCAATGTGGCCTCCAAAACCTCCTTTTCAGTGGTAAGCGCCACCTGGCACCTCGCGCCGTACCCCCCAGCCGCGTGTGCGATCGCCCACGGATCCGGGGCGGGGGATAGGAGCCCGAAACGTCCACACAAGTATGCTCGGTGGCTCGTCAGAATGGTTCTTCAAGCGTTGTGTCATCGTGCCCCCCTTTCAACATGACGTGCCCCAAACTTCACATTTTACTTCTCTTTGCTCTTTCATCACTCAGCTCACGTTACACTTCAGCAGCACACACACGCACAACGGCGGAGCAGCGCCAATCCTCACCTCCCCAACACCCGAGCGAGGTACTCGTCAACGGTTCCGTCGAACCGCTGCACCGTGCGCTTGGCACCGCTCACGATGTAGACGTCGCGCGCCACCTTTTCAAGGAGGCTCGCGTTGTGGGACACGAGGACGATGCCGCCCGCAAAGCGCTCGAGCGCGTCGCTCAGGGCGTCGATCGAGTAGAGGTCGAGGTGGTTGGTCGGCTCGTCGAGCAGCAGGAGATGCGGCGCCTCCATCGCCAGGCGCGCGATGACGACGCGCACGCGCTGCCCTCCGCTAAGCGCCGAGAGGGGGAGGGAGGCCAGCCCGCTGGCCCCGCTGTTGATGCCAAACGAGCCCAGCTGGCGCCGGAGGTCCTCGTCCTTGGCGTCGGGCAGCTCGTCCTGGCAGAGCGGGGGGGGGGGGAGGGGCTGGCCGTTGGGCAAGTGCAGGGCGAGCGGTGGGCCGGGGGGGGCGAGCCGGCGCCTTGAGCCAGGCAAACCCGCTCCGCGTCTCCTATGGGAAGGGTCCGAGAAGGTTCCGTGAAGGCTCGAGGAGCTGCTGGATGCGCAGCCCGCGCTTCCTTGTCGAGGCTCTCCGCGAGGTGCTGGCTGTAGTGCGCCACGCGCAAGCCGCGGTGGCGCCACACCTCGCCCGCGCTCGGCTCGGCCTCCCCCGTGAGCAGCCGCATCAGCGACGACTTGCCCGTCCCGTTCCGGCCGACGAGCGCGACCTGTGCACAAGCAACGCGTGTGTAGACAAGAGGCGCTCTTCACCGCCCGTCGCGGCGGTGACTTGCGCGACCCGGCAGCGAGAGCCGAGCGACAGCTCGACGCCTGAGAAGAGGGTCGGCTGTCCCCCGCCCGGGTAGGCAAAGCCGACCGACCGCAGCTCCAGCAGCGGCGCGTCGTCCGACAGGCCGAGCGGCGCGCTGTCGCCGAAGCCCCACTTGAGCTCCGGCGCCGACTTCGGCAGCAGCGACGTGCCCACCATCTTGCGCATCGTGCCCGACCCCTTGCTCTCGCCGTCGTTGTGGTTGGCCGCGCCCGCGCGGATGCCGTGTCTGCCCGTAGCAATTAATGTATCAAGGAATCGTTCAAGGAGGCCGTGCCTCCCACCAGAATGCACCAGAGGCAGGAGTGAATGCGGACTCGTGCAGTGTGCGCAAGCAGGTTCCCGGTGCAGCTAAATACAGCCGAGTGCGTGTCCTCTCGAGTGCTGGTCGGAGTGTACACGGATCCCGCATCTGAGGCTGCGCGGGCTTCTGCGCGTTGAACTTTTTGCCGTCGGCCGTCTTCTCGAGGCCCATCCGGCCGAGCTTCTTCTCGCGGGAGGCGACCAGGTCCGACTTCTTCTGGTCGCCGTGCTTCCCGGCGGCCGCCTGCTTCATCTTGTCAACCGACTGCTCGATGTGCTTCTTCTTCCGCTCGAGCGCCGCGACCTGACGCTGCATCGCGGCAGACGAGTCGGCGGTCCGCGTCTCAAACTCCTAGAGAAGCACGTGACGTGGACCTCAGGGGCGTGGACACGGCATCGGGTGTGCAGAGCACCGCGTGAATGCGAGAGCTACGATGCGGTTGCGTGTCGACTCGAGCCGCTGGCTCGAGAGGAGACGGACTCCGCATCTCCTCCGCATCTAGGCCCCTCTCCTCGAGCGTGCCGTGAAAATAGGTGAGCGTCCCCTTGACGCCCTCGAAGAGGATGATGTCGGTCGCCACCGCGTCGAGGAAGGCGCGGTCGTGCGCGACGACCAGCATCGTCCCCCGAAACTCGTCGCGGAGGTACCGCTGCAGCCATCGCAGCCCCCGGAGGTCGAGGTGGTTGGTCGGCTCGTCGAGCAGCAGCAGCTCGGGCTCGACGAAGAGCGCGCTCGCCATCGCCAGCCGCGCCTGCCACCCTCCGCTCAGCTCGCCCACTGCGGCGCCCTGCATCTCCGCCGTGAAGCCGAGGCCGCCGAGGATGGCCTCGACCCGGTGCCGGCGCAGTCCCTCCGACTCTGCGTCGAGCTCCTCGAGCGCCTCGTAGATCTCGCATAGCCGCTCCGTCGCAGACTCCCTCGCCTCGGCGGACTCCCTCTCGAGCCGTGCCGCCTCCGCCTGCAAGTCCGAGACGCGGCTGTCGGCGGAGAGCACCGCCTCTATCACCTGCTGCTCGGGATCGATCCGGTGGTCCTGCTCCACCAGAAACGTGCGGATGGAGCCGGGCCACTCGGGGAGCGTGCCAGAGGCAAGCGCCCGAAGAAGCGTCGACTTGCCGCACCCGTTACGGCCGATCATGGCGTACCGGCCACCGCTGCGGAGCCGCAGACGGTTCTTGAGGTGCCCAAAGTCGGCACCATGGCCACGGTTCCGGCCGCCGTCCGCGGTGAGCAGCGCCTTGTCGCCGTCGCCGGCAGTCAGCTCGTGGACCGGCACGTCGAAGAGCATCGGCTGCGCGTGGTTGCTTGTCGCCGAGAGGAGTACTAGTTATAGTAGTATGAGAAATGTGAAAACCGGCCTCTACACCACTACACCACGCTTGTCTCTACGCACAACCCTTGTCCTGGTGCGGTCCGTTCGCTCGCCTCGCCGACACACTTTTCTTTTTTGCTGGATGTGCGGAAAGCAGGGATTCGGCGCCCTTTTTCTTTTCTAGATGCGGGACGTTCACTACGAGGTCAAGTGCTGGAACCCTCTCATTAAGTCGACGACGTTGGGGAGGGGCTCGTGGGGCAATCGGTCTCGGGCACCGCACCCGTGCTGCCACAAAGCACAATGTGCTGCCACAAAGCACCACTAGCGATTTCGCGCGGAGGGCGTAGTGAAGTGCTGGGGCGCTCACTGTGTGTTATTCGGGTGGGGATCCATCAGTGGTAAGCGGCTTTAGTCACAGATCCAAGCTCAGACGTCACACCAACACCACAAACACGCTCACTTCGCCGCTGCTGTAGATGGGCCTCCGGGGGCCCATGCTACGTCGAAGCACAGACCCGATCTCGGCACTCACGGGCTGCTACGCGCCCGCGCGCGGCGCGGGCCGCACCGCCCATGCCCCCGGGTCACCGACCCCGCCTCTCGGCCCTCTCGGCCCTCAGGAGCGTGCGGGAGACCGGCGAGGGGCGCGCCGCGCGCCGCCTGCAGAGCCGCCAGAGGCATTGCCGCCTCCGCTGGCGGGGTCCCGCGCGTCCGCCCGCGCCCGCGCCCGCCCACGCCGCGCCCGCGGGCTCCGGATCCGCCGCCCTCCTTCTCCTTCTTCTCGATGGCAGTCCACGCGTGCTTGTGGACGGGTCGGCGGCGTGGTCGAGGGGAAGGTCGCCGGCGGCCGCAACTCTGCCGCCGTCGCTCCACCGGCTCTGATCGAGTATCGGGCGTTGGCGGCGGCGCAAAGCGGGTCTGGCGCATCCATCGCCACGAGCCTCGCGGCGGCGGTCGTGGCACACCTGGTGGCGGCTCTCGGGGCCGTCTCTACGGCGCTCGACACCGTGTGAGGTCGCCGGCGGCCGCAGCCACCTTTGCCGCCGTCGCTCCGCCGGCTCTAACCGAGTATCGGGCGTTGAGTGCGGCGGCGCAAAGCGGGTCTGGTGCGCCACACGGCCACCACCCTTGCCACCGCCCTTGCCGCCACCCTTGCCACCCTTTGCCGCCTTGCCTCCGCCGCGGGCGGCGGTGGGAGCGGCCTGCTGGGCTAGCATGTTGTCCGTGGCTGTGGACGGGCACGTGGACCGTCAATTCATGTTCTAACGGCCTCCGGGATTCAAACAAAAAATAGCCGGGGCCCTCTCGCAACCCATCCGACCCCCCGGGACCCGTAACGCGGCTGGTGCTCGTGGAAACTTTGGGAGGCATTGCGCCGCCCACCAAGCAGTTCCTCCACGTGTTCGCCAAAGAGGCGGCGGGCACCAACACGGACCGGACGGTGTACGGGGCGGCGTCGGCGAGCGCCTCCTCCTTCGTCGTCCACCACACGCAGCAGATCTCCAAGGCGGCGGTGGCGGGCGACGCCGACAACATCAAACAATCAGGCGCGCAAGGAGCGTACCGACTGGATCAACAAGCAAAAGAACAAGCAAGCGACGAACGGCTCCTTGTCCTCGGCCCCAGTGGGGGGTGCCCGCGCCGCCTAGCTCTGCAGACGGGCCCCTCCACCCTTCCTGTAATCATGTAGTCCCCACATTCGCAATCGTGGGATCGCTTGTCATGTAGGTGCGCGGTGTGCACTTGGAGCACTTGGAGTGCGGGCATCGGCGTGATTTCTCTTTTCTAACCTTTGCTTACGGCGCCATCTCCGCCCTCTGCCTGCGGGATGGCTGCTGCCACCTGGGCGGACCACGACACGAACGGCCGTCTCACCCGGGCGCTCAACGACGCGCGCGCGCTACTCGATGGCGACGACGACGATGACGCGAGCGTCGGCTCTTCCGGGCTATCGGTCATCCTTCCCGCGCCGGCGGCCGCCGAGCCGCACTTTATGGTCGTGCGCCGCTTCCTGCTGCGGCACATCGGGTGGGTGTACGCGATCCAGGAGACGCTGCTGCTGCTAATGATCGGCGTCTCGGCCAACCTGCTCGCCTTTCTGCTCGACCACCTGATTGAGGCGCTCGTGATGGGCCGCGCGGCGGCGGCGCAGGCGGAGGGCTCCTTCCTGCCGTCGTACGCCGTGTGGACGGGCTCGGCGCTGGTGCTGTGCGCGCTCTCTGCCATGGTCGTCCAGTTCATCGGCCCCGCCTCTGCCGGGTCTGGCATCCCGCAGATGAAGTCTGTGCTGGGCGGCATGCGGATGCACAACTACCTCTCGCTGCGCACGATGGTGGCGAAGATGCTCTCGCTCGTGCTCGCGCTGGCGGGCGGCCTCTCCGTCGGCAAGGAGGGGCCGTACGTCCACATCACCTCCTGCGCCGCCGCGTGTCTGACCCGCCTCCCGGGCTTCCGGCGGCTTGGCCAGGCCTCAAGACTAGCCGTGACGAGACTCCCGGCTGTGCCTCGGCTGCACCTCGCCACCACCTCGCCACCACCTCGCCACCACCTCGCCACCACCTCGCCACCACCTCGCCACCACCTCGGCACCTCGGCTTACCTCGGCTGTCTCTCGCGCAGGACGAGGCGCTGCGACAGCAGATGCTCTCCGCCGCTTGCGCCGCCGGCGTCGCCGCAACCTTTGGCGCGCCGGTCGGCGGGGTGCTCTTCTCGATCGAGGTGACCTCGACGTACTACTCGGTGCAGCACCTCTGGAAGAGCCTCTTCGCCTCCGTCTGCGGTGCGCTCGTCTTTCGAGGCATGCGCGACACCGGATCGCTCGGCCAGGGCTTCCGCAAGACGGACTTTGGCGACATGGACCAGCTGCTGCACAACGGCGAGATCTACGCCTTCGCGCTCCTCGGCTGTGTGTGCGGCCTCGTCGGCGCCGGCTTCGTGCACGCCACCTCGTCGCTCATCTCCCTCGTGCGCGAGCTGCGCGTCGCCCTCGCGCAGCGCCGCACCAGGCGCCGCCACGTCCCGGCGACATCTCCACGACATGCGCACGCACATGCACACGCACACGCACACGTCCATGACATGCACATGCCCGCGTCCCCGACCCGTCCCCGGTCCCGCAGGCACCGCTACGTGCACCACTCGCACCCGCTGCTCCCGCCCGCGCGCCGGCAGGTCGCGTCGCGCATCGAGGCGCTGCTCTAACCCTAACCCTGACCCACCCTAACCCTAACCCTAGGTCGCGTCGCGCATCGAGGCGCTGCTCGGCTTCGACGTCCTCGCGCCTCTGCGCGGCGACTGCTCGTCCGCCACCGCGCTCGAGGCGCTCCTCTCGCGCTACGGCCCCCTTCCTTCTAGATGCGGCATCCGGATCCGTGCATTGCAGCTAGCACTTCGAGAGGACACACACTCGGCCGTACTCGGCCGCGTTCGGCTGTGCTTATAGCCCTTGTCTTCACGACGCAGGCTACACGCTCGTCGTCGCCTTCACCTCCGCGATGCTCACTTTCCCGTTTGGATTCTTCCGCTCCCCGCCGCAAGAGGCGAGCCTCGAGCTCTTATTAACATTATTAGTATTGTATTCTCTTCCGCTCCCCGCCGCAAGCGGCGAGCCTCGAGCTCCGCGGCCAGTGGCGAGCCGCGCCTCCTCACACGTCCGCCGCGCGTGCGACACCGCCAACAGGTGATCAACGAGCTCTTCCGGCCAAACTCGTTCGACATGGCGGCGCGCTGGGCGAACCCGTCCCTCACCGCCAACCTCGCCATCTACGTCGTGTGCAAGTTCGTCTTCACCTGCATCGCCGTCGGCTGCCCCATCTCGTGCGGCGTCTTCACGCCCGTCTTTCTGATTGGCGCGGCGGGCGGCAGACTCTTCGGCGAGCTCCTCAACGACATCACGCCCGTCGACGTGCAGATCACGGCGGGCGGGTACGCCGTCGTCGGCGCAGCGGCGCTCGCCGCGGGCGTGACCCGCACCGTGTCGACGTCGGCGCGCGCCCTCGACTCCAGCGGCCAGCTGTGGGAGAGCCTCGCCACACCCTCTTGACGCGCGTGCACCGCGAGCAGGTGATCGTCTTTGAGCTCACCGGGCAGCTGAGCCACATGCTCCCCGTGCTCGTGGCGGTGCTTCTCGCGTACGGCGTGGGCAACGCGTGCAACACCTCCATCTACGACACGATGATGACCCTCAACAAGCTGCCCTACATCCAGCCGCTCAAGCCGCACCACGCGTCGTCGCGCTGCGCGCACGACGTGATGGGCGCCACCCTCAAGCCGCTCCTGCTCGGACCCTGCTCGGACCCTCCTCTCGGCACCCTCTTCGCAGGTGATGGACGCCACCCTCAAGCCGCTCTGCGTCCCGTGCACCTTCGCCGACGCGCACCGGCTGCTCCTCGAGTCGGAGGCGCTCGAGTTCGCGCTCGTCGACGCGGGCGGCGCGCTGCTCGGCGCGGTGCCTCGCGCCTACCTCGACCTGCAGATCGAGCACATCCTCTGCTCGTCGGACGGAGGGCGCAAGCGGCCCGCGCCGCTGCTCGACAAGATTGCGACAAAGATGACCGAGGCGCTCGGCTCGCCTCGCTCGTGGACAATCACGCGGCACCTCTCCCTCACCTCCCTCGGCGTCGGAGACGGAGACAACCGACGCAGCCGCCGCTCCCTCGCCCGCAGCCGCAGCCTCGACCGCAGCAGCCTCGGCGGCGAGCTCGCCAGACAGCAGCCGCTGGCGCCTGCCCCTGCGGAGCCGTCGGACAGCACAGAGCTGACGGCGATGACGCGCCAGCACCAGCCGCAGCCGCAGCAGACGCAGCCGCAGACGCAGCAGCCGCAGCAGACGCAGCACCAGCCGCCGCAGCACCAGCAGACGCCGCAGCCGCAGCCGCCGCCGCAACAGACGACGACGCAGCAGCCGCTGCCAGCGACGACGACGGCATCGGCGTCGCTGGCTGCCGCCACTCCTGATGCAGCGTGCGCCGTGCAGCCGTCGGGGAGCGCGGACGCGCTCAGCGCGTCGCCGGCGTCCGTCTCTCCGTCGGCGGCGTCGAGCGGCAGCGACACGCAACGCGCGAGCACGGGGAGCACGGCCGCGGGCCGGCCGGGCAACCCCTCGCCCGCGCCGGGGCTCGGCATCGAGCGAGCGCCGTCCAGGATGACGCGCGCTCAGCGGCTGCAGCGGCGCAACTCTGGCCTCGTCTCGCCCTCGTTTGGCGTCCCTCCCTCCGCAGCGAGCTCACCGGGTCGGAGATCCCCCGAGGTGAACCGAGATTCGGCCGAGATTAGGCGGCGAGTTCACAGAGTCGGAGCTCGCGCTGCTCGACCTGCCGCTCGACCTCGGTGTGCTGCCCCTCGGCACGGACGAGTCGATGGGCATCGGCCGCTCGCGCCCCACCGCCGTCAACCACGCGCCCACCGTCGTGCTCGCCGCGACGTCGCTCGCCACGGTGCACATGCAGTTTTCGCTCTTTGCGACGGAGCACGCGTACGTCACGTACGCGGGCCGATACGTTGGCGTGATCCGCCGCTCGCAGCTGACTGGAGAGGAGGGCGGCGTCGTGTGACGACGTGTGCTGCTTTTGAGGCTGTCGTGTGTTCGAGTTCGTCATCGCCGTGTGTATCAGATGTCAGGGGCGGCGGTTTCGGCCAGCCGCGCCGTGCGTCCAGTTTCGCGGCGTGTCCTGTGCTTGCGCCCTCCGGCAGCGGAATGGATCCGCTTGCCGGGGCACGTGCCCCTATTTACATTGAGTCATATCACTAATTTACAATAATAATACAGTACGCGTGCTACGTCCACGATGTGTGGAGGAACACACGTACGCTCTATAATAACACATGCCGCGTGCACACACACACACCCCAGGAAGGCGCTGCTGCGCGCTGGTGGCGCCTTGTCATCACAAAAGGTGCATCAGTACGACGACTACGCGGGCGACTTCTCGAGCCAGGCTTCACTAGCACCCGCCTCCAGTACCCTCCGTCGCGCCGCGGCGCTGTGTGCGGCCAGCGCTGCGAGTGTTTTTGTAGCGAGCGACTGGAGAGTCTGGGTTTCTGGATGCCACTGCATTGCCGCGACGATGGCCTCGGCTCCGTTCGCCTCCAGTACCGCGTCGACGTCCTCTGGCAGCGTCGTCTCTGCCATGTGCAGCAGCGCTGCGACGCCGTGTTCGGCCTGCTGCGGATCCTCTCGGAAGCGGTGCATGTTTTTGACGACCCACTTTGGCTGCTGCAGCTCGATGCCGAAGGACTGCGGCCCGCTCTTTGGCCGCTGAGGCACTGGCTTGTCCGGCGTGAAGACCCTGGCCATTGCAAGCAAGAGAGCCTTCGCTTGCAGAAAGAATTCTTGCAGGAAGAATTTACTCAGGGACCGCCAGTGGAGTTGGGATTCCACCGTGCACCGCGCTGCGAGCCTGTCGTGTCCCTTGTCAGGAGCAGGAGAGCCCCACCTGTGCCCCTGATCGTCCTTCCAAAATCCTGCTCGTGCAGGTGTGGACCCTGTCCTCCTCCCCTATCCCTCGATGTCTGTTTTCTTTCTTTCTCCGCAGAAAAGAAAGCGGACTGGCGCACCGGCCCCCGAACTATCGATAACTAAGTTTTGCAGGGACCCCGAAACACCAGCGCCGGCGCCCTGCACATACATGGGCCTGGCCGGCGACACGTGCATCTTTTGGGATTTCGAGAACGTGGTTGTACCGAACTGGTGCAAAGCCTCGGCGGCCGCCAATGCCATTCGCGAGGTGGTGCTGCCGCACGGGCGCATCACGGAGCGGCGCCTATACTACGACTCTGCAAAGGCCACCAGTAGCACTGATCGCATTGGTCTCGATCTGAGTGGCTTCACACTAGTCGACTGTCCAACACGTGGCACCAAGGAGACACTCGACAAGAAGCTGATTGTCGATGTGATGCATACCGCCTGGGAGAAGCGCGCCCGCGACGCAGCCATCACTGTGGTACTGATCACTAGCGACGGCGACTATGCATACACGATCGCGCGCCTAAGAGATATTGGTGTCAAGACGGTCGTCATCTATGGGCCACTGACACAGACTGCCGACGTGCTTTTGGACTCATGCGATGTCGCGCTGAGTTGGATCCACGACGTGCTTCCTGCCACGCTAAACCCCGCTGTCGATGAACCAGAACCGGCATCCGCCGACTCCATCAGTGCAAGTCCCGACCTGAAGGATCGCGTCAAAAGCGCCACCTCCCGCCACTTAGCCGAGCTGTCGGAGTCTGAGGATACATGTAATTGCCAGCACTTTCAGGCAGAGGCACTTCTTGATGGGATCGATAGGGAGGGCTGCGAAGATGACGTCTCTGTCGTGGACCAGATAGAGACCGAGGAAGGACGACATCTCATCCTTCTGAACTGCGTGCACGGCAGTCAAACCGGGGAGCTACGCAATTTTCCCAATCGGACCTGGCAGAACTGCATGACGCCGGACGCCACGGTTTCCAAAAAGTTCTACAAGAAGCGCGGCTTGCACTGCTTGCCTGAATACAGAGCCGTTCGCAATGCTGCGCTGCGCGCGGGTCTCATACACGCAAGCTTTGGCGCGCCGAGACACGAATCCCACCCCAATCCCCTGGAAGGGCACACGAAGCTGATGTACCTTTGCCTCACCATGAAGGGCCGCTCTCGCCTCGGACTTCCCGAGGCCCTCGACCGGAGTTAATTCTCTAAAAAGAAAGGGCACGCCCCCCGGGGGTGGGGAAAGACGGAAGGCAAAAAAAACAGAGATACTCTAGCACTAGAGAGCATCTGTGGCCGAGGATGGCGCCCACACCGCGACGGCTACGGCTAGCTTAGTGGCTCGCTAAACGCTCGCCTCGCTTTGTGTTTATCGCGAGATATAAAAGAATTTCAAAAGTCTCTCGCACAGACACGCACGATTCACACAACAGGCAAAGTGTGGACGACAGTAATTAGAATTTAGAAGCTCGTCCAGCTCGTCCTCACAGTGGACACAGAAGCCGTCGTCCTCGAAGGCGTCATCGGAATGGCGGTCAGACGGATGGTCAAATCCGCTAGCACCGTGGTGCTCGCCGAAAAGACCATCCCCATCCCACTCCCCTTCATCCCAACCCAGTCCCAACCCCCGTCCCCCCCACCCGGACCCGCGCGCCTCCCCAGCTCCCACCCCGACGTAATCCCGTAAAAGCTAAAAGAACTTCGCGTTTCCTCGACCAGCGTGTTAGATTTCTCTCTCTCTTTTTAATCATTATCACGGAACAGGCAACAAAGCTCTTCATTTCAGCACCCCGCAGTGACTCCTCCACGCCTCAATGCGCTGGCGCCTTGCCTTATGAAACCGAGCCACTGAAGAGTGACTCCTCAGTCAGACGCGCGCGACATGGCGTGCGGCATAACGAAGATGGGCCAAAGGTCCTTGATGGCCTGGACATCTCGCAGCGCGAACGCTGACTCGGCAAACAGGTGGCCGATCAGCAGCACGCCCACAGCGTGCTTGCGGGCGACTTTCGACCACAGGTGGTGCGTCTGCGGCGACCACGGGGAAGCCGCCTGGATGACAAGCGCTGCCGACGCGTGCTTAGCTGAGAGCTGTTGCGCAACCTCAAGCGGTGTGCCCACTCCTGTGACTCGCTCGTGGACGTCGGCGTCGCCGCGCAGTAGCTCCAAGGTCCGCCACGTCGGAAGCCACTTGAGGAAGTGCAGGGGCGACCAGTCTGCGCTGCGGTGGACAAACTCAAACACGTCGTACGCGCCCGGTTCTTCGTCTCGAGAGAGGTCTGCGAGGGGCGGCCAGTACGAGGGAATGGTCGCGCCCATCGCACGCAAAACCTGCGCGCCGATCAGGAGGCCGTTCTCGACAGCCGCCTCCAAAGGCACATCTCCCTGGTCAACGTAATCGTCCTCCTCGTCCTCGTCCTCCTCGTCCTCGCCGCAGAAGGCAGCGGCGTCAACATCAGCTCCCGCCTCGACCAAGAGCCAGACGCACTCTTGCCACTCCTGCTGCTTGCAGTCAGCGTTTTTTGTGTTCATCGCCACTCCCAGCGGTGTCCGTTCGTGAAAGAGGCTGAAGGATGGGAAGTTGAGGAAGGAGTTGACCTCGGCGCAACACGCCTCGTCCGTGAGCAGGTAGCGCATCACATCCGGACGAGCGAACGCCATGGCTGCCGCCACAGCGATGCAGGCCACGTCAGGCTTATCGACCCAGAAGGATTCGCCGTCCGGCGCAAACGTCTCGCTTTCAAGCAGCTTCTGAATATCGTCAACGGGATTACGGCTCAGGATGCCGAGCAACGACATGCGGCCATCTTGCCCCTCCTCCTCGCCGCTCTCTGAGGCGCTTCCATCGCTCATGCTGCGGCGGAGGCACTCACAGCACTGGAAGGGGGCGGCCGCGTTCTTTTTTCGCGCCAATGGCCGACACACCTACCGGCTCTTCGTGCGCCTGCAATGAAGCCCTCCGTCCCGAAATCCGCCGCCCAGGCCAGGACGGAGGACGTGCTCCGGCCGTTTGAGGATCGCAAGTGGGTCGACGTCGGCTTCTCTGGCGACGTGCAGCAGCGGCCAGACGGGCTGCTTGGGCGGCGCGTCTTCGTTCTGCGCAGCCGACCGCTCAAGCCGACCGCGACTCTGGCCGTGCCACGCGAGGGCCGCCCGCCGCTCGGGCTTCCAGGGCGGTACGTTTACATGCAGCTCCGGGTGGCGGGCCGCGGCCGCCCGTTTGCGCTGCACGTGGACGTCCTCGCCGCCGACCGCTCGGCAGTGCGGCTCTCCTTTGCCACGTGCTTTGCGGCGGCGCGGCGGTGCGGCTCCGTGGTGCAGCTCCCGGCCAACGCGCTGGCGGGCACGGCCGGCACCTGGATCGTCCTTGCGCTCGACCTGCCCGCCCTGCTCCGGGCACACGCGCCCGACCTGCCGGCCGGCCGCTGCGCGCTGCGAGGCTTTACTCTGTCAGGCAACCTCTCGTTCGCTCGCTCCTTCACCTCCGACGAGGTCCACTCGCCACTGCGCTTGCCGCCGGAGCGCGCCGGCGAGTGGCCGCTGGCGCTGCCGCTCGAGCCTTCGCAGGCGTCTCACCCGCGATTCGCCGAGACTCCCCGAGATGCCCGGCCGGCCGCTGGAGCCGTCGCAGGCGCGTCGTGCGTCGAGAGGAGCGACGCGGCTGGTGGCACGACCACGACGCGTCCAGGATACGTCCACGACACCTCCCGCAGGTGTGGGTTGACCGGTACGGCTGGCTGTGGGCGCCGTGCGAGCCTGCCGGCGCGCAGGGCGGAGACGTGGCGCAGGGCGAAGACGTCGTCGCCGCGCCTACCTCGCCCTCGCTCTCCGCCTCGCCCTCCACCGTCGAGCGGCGGCGGCGAAGAGCTTCGCTGGCGCCGCGCTCCGCCCCCGGCACAGCCGCGCTCCCGTCGCCGCCCGCCCGGCTCCACCTCCGCCGCGCCGTCGGCTGGACTGCGGAGCCGGGGCTGCTGCTGTGGCTTCCCGAGCCGGAGCGGACCAGCTTGCGCCGTCGGCACCGCCTCGGCACCGTGGTGTGAGCCGTCTCTTCGCCCGCCGTAGGAGCTGATCGCGTACGCCGTCGGCGCGGCGCTCGTCGTGCAGCGTGTGGACACGTCCGAGCAGCGCCACCTCTTCGGCCACACGGCGCCCATCTGCGCCCTCGCGGCGGCGGCGGCCGCGCCGCTCCTCGCCACGGCGCAGGAGGGTCCTCGATGAAGGATCAGGACTCGTTGTTGACGATGACTAATGACCGCCCCCCCCCCCCCCCCCCCGCCGCGGCGCAGGAGGGGCCTCTCGCCATCGTGCGGCTGTGGGAGTGGCGGAGCGGCGCTTGCCTCGCGCTGCTGCAGCAGCACGCCTGCGACATGCACGCGCTCGCCCTCTCGCACGACGGCACGAGGCTCGCCGCCGTCGGCAAGGACCACCGCGCGCGGCAGATGCTCGCGCTGTGGGACATCTCCGCCGCAGACGCGCCCGTGCCCGCCGTCGAGTTGGTCGACGCCAAGGTGACGCTGCACCACGTGCGCCGGCTCGCCTTCGTCCCGCCGGCCGGCGGGTCGGCCGAGGAGCCGCAGCTCGCCTCGTGCGGCTTCGAGTCGGTCCGGTTCTGGCGCGTCAAGCGCGGCAAGCTGCACTGCTGCGGCCTGCCGCTGCAGCACCACGAGGGTGAGATGCTCCTCGACCTCGCCTTCGACCCGCCCCCCGCCTCCCCCGACGAGGAGGCCGCCGCACCCGATCGGCCTCCCGTGCGGATGCTCGTCTCCTCGTCCGGAGGCAAGCTCTTCCAGGTCGACCCGCTCGCGCGCCGACTCGAGTACGTCTTTGCGCTGCACGACGGGCCCATCGACGCGCTGGCGCTCGGGCGCGGCTTCGCCGTCACCGGCGGCGCCGACGGCAAGCTGTGCGCGTGGCGGCTCGACTTCGGCGCCTGCTGGCTCGAGAGGGAGCTTGAGGGCCCCGTCGTCGCGCTGAGCCCCTCGCCAGACGGGCTCAAGCTGCTCGCCGGCACGCGGCGCGGTGCAGTCGGTCTGCTCGACTTCGCGAGCGGTCAGCTCGCGCCGCTGCTGCGCGCGCACACGGACTTCATCTGCGCCGTCGCGTCCGACCCGCACAACCGCGAGCTGGCCACCGCGTCGTGCGACGGGACGGTGCGCGTCTGGGAGCTCGACGGCGCGGCGCCGCAGCTGGTCGAGTTCGAGGTGCCGGGCGGCTGCGCGCGCAGCGTCGCGTACCACCCCGCCGACTATTCGCTCGCGTGCGGCTTCGACGATGGCACGGTCCGCGTCTTCGACATCGGCTCCACCTCCCTCCTGGCGGAGCACCGGCAGCACCGCGGCCGCGTCCTCGCCCTCGCGCACGCACGCGGCGCCCGCCGCCTCTTCTCCGCCGCCTCGGACGGATCCCTCGTCGCGTACGACTCGGCGCACCAGCCCCCGCCCTGCCCGCTCGCACGCGTGTCTCGCCATTCGCAACTCACAGCCACGAGGGGAGCACTCTGCAGGCGCACGAGTACCAGCCTTGCCGCTCGCACGCCGCCTCGCCGGGCGCAGACTCGCCCTGCCTCGCCGTCTCCGCGGACGACACTCTCCTCGTCGCTGGGGGCCTGCAGGCCGACCTGTAGCCGAGAGGTAGCCGAGAGGTAGCCGAGAGATTGCTCCTCGTCGCTAGCCCCCCGTCAGCCCCCCTCTCCGAGGCGGCCAGATGGATCGCTCACGCCCCTCGCCAACCCCTCGCAGGTGGTGGAAGCGGCGGTGGCACGGCTCGCAGAGAGAATGGCGCGGCTCGAGGCGAGTGACCGACTCCCGTCGCATCAGACCGCGCAGGAGGGCGCGGCGACGGCCAGCCAAACGCGTATTGAGGCGGCGGCGAGCTTCCCCGCCGAGGCGGCTGCCTCGTGCTCGTCCCAGAGGTGAGAGGGCCAGGGACACAGTGGGCAGAGTGGGGTCAGAGACGAGAGAGCGGTGGGATGCTACAAGGCGTTGAGGAGGAGACCGCTCAACGGCCCGCGTGTGTGGCCGGGCGCGGTGTGGGGGGCTGGAGGAGAGTGCGTCTGTCAGCGAACGCGGGGACGGGTTAGCGTGGGTGTTCGACTGGGTTCACTTGAGCGACACCACATAAGATAGGTGCACGGGTCAGTACGGGTTACCATATAAATAAAACCGGCACAACGTGACCTATGGCCACCCTAGCATCTCTGCGTCCTCGGGAGACGGGAGACGGGACCTCGCTTCCGTCTGGGTTGTTGCACGAGTATATGGGACAAAAGCGTCGAAAATGTCCCAAAAAGCGTGTCTCGAGTTTGTTGCAGCCCCACAGCTGGCGCGCGCTGCCAGGAAGCACCGCTCGCGTGTCGGCCGCACTCCCTGGCACCCAGGGAGTGCGGCCGACCGACCAGACCGAGTAGGCTCGACGCCGCGCTCGCTGTGGGGCTGCAACAAAGTCGCCGCCGAGCGTGCCACCGACGGCGTCCTGGCGGCGGTGATGGAGTGTGAGACCTGAGGCTGCGGAGGTGACGCCTGAGGTACCGGCCCGTGCACGGCGACTCAGCCGGCGACCGCCACGGGCTCAGGCGAGACTTGTCGACTCGTTCCGGCTCAGCTTCACCGTGGTCATCGGGCGTCTGTCGACGTCAGGACCACCCATACAGCTCGCGGGTTTGAGGTCGCAAGAGTCAAGATGGTGGCGTTTGGACATCCCAACCATCCCACAAGACAGCCTGTAGGTGATGGCGGGACGGCGCAGTGTTTGTGGCACTCGGCAGTAGGCACCTGCGGCACGGCCCCGCTGTCGGCTCTCGCGGGCTGCGGAACCGGCCCCAGAAGGGGACGGTCCGGGCGAGTGTGGCAGCTCCTGCGCTAGTATGGGCACCATCTATCACAACACTACTGACCCTGGCCATTAGAGCTGCCAGGGATAGCGTCAGGAGCCGGTAGGAGTCAAACCCCCTCATATTTGAGACATCGTGTCCCATATACTCGTGCAACAACCCGTCTCACGACGCTTCACGCGTCAAAGCACAAAGGTCAACGAACGGTCTCACGCCCCCTCCTCGGCCACGGCGGTACCAGCCATGTGCTCCTTGTGCACGCGGACTCCCTCTTGCACCTCGTGCTCCTCCAGATCTTCATAGTCGCCATCAGCGTGGTAAAGCTTGTACAGGGCCACGTTCCCTTCAACATCGCAGGCAGGAAGCCAACACATGACCTCGCCGGCGAAGAGCTTGCCATTGTACTCGCGCATCGTAGTCACGCCGACAAGCTCGCTCCCCGCTCGCTGCCACTTGATCTCTGGCTCAGTCAGGAGGGTGTGCTGGTACGGCGTTGCCCCGATGACCTCCCACTGCTCCACTGCGTCGCTCTCGTACCGCACGAGATATGCGACGAGAGCCGGCGCCGTTTTTCATTGCCTGATTCTAACGAGACACAGAGCAGCGGCACGGGCGTTGCCGATCGAACACGGATTGCTGAGGGTCATGCACAATTCGTGCGGTTATGGGCTGCAAAACATGCACACGACAGGCCACGCCACGTGCGCCACCATATCCAGCTGCGCAGCGGCAACGACTGCCGAGGCGCAGGCCGAGCCGCAGCCTACCGATGCCCCGCCGACATGCGGCATTGGCCAAAATGCTGGGCATCTCAGGTTGAGGAAGGCAACTTGAAATAGCAAGGAGCATCCTAGAATGCAAAGGGGTAACTCCAGATGCTAGCGCATTCACGAATGCAGTTCGCATTCCAGGATGGTCGACGCAACTCGGCATTCTGAGTTGAAAAATGCAATCTGAATTGATTTTTTGCAACTCAAAATGCCCTCAGCATCTCAAATTGCGGGTTCCCCGCCCCTGACGCTCCCGAGGTCGATGGTCCGGGATACTCCCCAAGCACGCCAGTGAGTGCATGGAAGTCTTAGCCGACGTGTACGAGAATTGGAGCGCAGCCGAATCACTCAAACGTTTCGACTGTGACCCCGGGTACCACAGTGAGATCACAATGCGCGCATTTGGCGGTACAATTAACGATTCGAGCGTGACGGTGCGACGACGGGACCCACCACATAGCCAACCGATGTGCCTGGGTTGGGTATGTGGTGGCAATACAACCATTTGCTCGTCGAGCATGACGTACGAGAAGCGGTGGACCCCCCCCAAGCAGCACCAAACATTTGAGGCAGCCCCTCTGACCAACGCCTTTTTCTCCGTCCAACGCCAGGAAGGCATCTTTTCATCTCTAGAGCCCTCAGAACAGCACAAGTGGCCCGCGGACAGAGCTTTCAATAGTGCAGAAGACCCAATCAACCTCCGTCCGTGCGCCAACTCGTGGTTGACGACAGGGTGGCGACCAAGTGTTCGTCGTAATGCTGACCCCTCTGCACACCGAACGATTATCGCGCCATTAGCGCAAAGTGTTACCATTCCACGCCACATCACTCTGAAACTGCCATCGGTAATGGACGAGTTGGGTGATAATGGCAAGCCCAAGGGTGGAGGTGCTACGTACGTTCGAAATCGACTCCTCACTCCGAGTTATCGCCTTGACATGACTTCTTCTCACGGGCGAGATCCCTCACGGGCGAGATCCCTGATCCCTAATACGGACGGGACCCCTAACGGGCGAAAACCCTAACGGGCTCTCTACCGGCGAAATCCCTAACAGGCCAGACGCAAAAAAAAAACGTGGTGCGACCTTATTAGGACGGGTCGGGCCGCCGACTTTGTCGGAAGCGAACTTAGGCACAGCGCGCCCCCCTGTCCTGGACGGCCACAGGGGCTGCCAGGCGCGCAATCACTGGTAGTTCGACGCCACGTTCCCTCCGTTAGTGCACGAAAGGCGCGATCGGCAAGGACGAAACATCCCTATTCTGTTGGAGAAGGCGCATCGGAGCCCGACAGCAGCTCGCTGGACGTCGCCGATGCAATCATGCAGCTCTCCTGGGCACGCTCCCTCCATCTTACATCTAAAGCGCCCCCTAGGAGCGTGCGGCGACCTGCCCTGACCGGCCCGAGCGACCCGCTTTAGGTCTCTTCTACTCTGCCTGACGCTGCCCGCAGCTCCGCACCGCAGCGTCCGCCAAGGAAACGGAGGCCAGATTTGGACTCTCAGGCCCCGTACGGGGCCTGAGAGCCCAAAGGGGTATAGCCCTATAGGGGTATAGCCCTATAGGGGTATAGCCCTAAAGGGTTTACTACGAGAACCGAAATCGGGACCTGAAATGACGTACGTCCTAGGACGGCCGACTATGAAAATGAAACCTATGCTGTGCGACGAAACCGAATCAGGTTATCCTGGGGCCAGTTTTGCTGCGAAAGAAAAAGAAAAAATACCAGCGACCAAACCCCTCTCCCTCCCTCCCCAACACCCCCACCCACCCTCCCCATCAACCCGGAGAAAATAGCGCCGCACGCCCCCCTGGAACCAAAATAGTTAGAGGCTGCGCAGGCCGTCCCGTTTGCTGTTTGAAACGCCTGTTGCGCTGGCCGCTGCGCGCGCGCGCTGGCCGCTGCCGGGGCTCTGTCTCACTCTCACGTGCCGCAATATGTGTCACACACGGCGGCTTCTGCCACCTCTCGATTTGGCCTGTATAAGGTTTTCCGGAAAACAAAAAGGAAAACAGAGGGTCCCCAGCACTTTGCGTTTCCGGAAATTTCCAGGGAAAACAGAGGGTGTTTGGTGCTCCATTCTGGAAACTCGCTGTTTTCCCTGCCTGAGTCTGAGAGCTGGTCTGGGGCAAAATCTAAGGCAAAATTGAGGAAATCGACAAAATACCCAGGCGGTCGCAGGGTAAATTCCAGGTATGCACGGGTTCTCCGCAAAATTCCCGGCATTTTGCCGATTTGGCCTAAAATTTGGCTGATTTTGGGCCCAAACCAGCCTCGACTCGGCTCAGAGCCCAAAATTTGACGATTTCCACGGAGTTTTCCCGGGAAAAGAGAGAGGAAAAGAGAGGGTGTTGTAGAGAAAAAAGGAAAGGAAAACAGACGGGGTGCGAGAGGAAAACCTTATACAGCCTAACTCTCGATTGGTTCTACTTTCTCCGCACACCTACCGGGGAAGGGGCGCTTGGGAGCCGGGGCGGGGGCGGGGGCGGGGGCGGGGGCGCGCAGCGCGGCGGCGCGGCGCGCGCAACAGAGGGTAGGGTGGGGAAGACGGCGAGGAGGGGGCGGCGGCGGCGGCGGCGGCGGCAGCGCGCGCGCGGCGCGCGCGACGGGGGGGCGGAGCAGCGACCGCTGGCGCGGCCGCTGCTCCGTCTGTGCCAGGGACGCGCGCTCTGCGCCGCTGCAGAGCGCGCGCGTCAGGGCAAGGGGCATGCGTGGCGGCGCGGGACGCGCGGCGGCGGCGGCGAGCAGCCTCCGTGGGCGGTGAGGCGGCCGGGCGAGGGCGCGGCGGGTGACGGGTCAAGGGAGCAGCCCACACCCGGCGTCGCTTTTTGAGCGACGCTGTGGTACGCCTGCGCAGGGGCCGCAGGGCGGTCAGTTGTGGGGCGAGGCGGTGCCGGCCGCGGGCCGGGTGCAAGGCGCCGGCCTCGGCGCCCCTCGGCGCGCCGCACGGGCGCGGCGAGCCTCTGAGCGGGAGCCGAAGGTTTGCCTGTGGGAGGGAGGTGGGAGGTGGGAGGCGGTGGGGTGATTTGACTTTGCCGCAGAGGCCGTCCCTAGCTGTGAACAGCAAAACGGGACAGTATCCAAATCTCTTAGTCTGTCTCTAAGGCCAGCCCCCACACCGGCAGCAGCAGCCAGCGCGACGCCGCGCTTACCTTCTGGTGGAGGCCGCAGTACCATGGTGAGCCTGCTCTCGCTCCCGCACGAGCTGATTCACCACGCGCTCTCGTTCCTGTCGGCCGCTGATGTCGCTCGTGCGGTTTGCGTCAGCGACGTGCTGCACAATCTCGCTGGCTCACGTGCCGCAGAGCTTGCCGTGCTCGTGAATCAATTTCCACGCATGCCAGCGATTCTGCGTCACGCGGCGACAAACGGACAGCGTCTGCCAACCAACATCATCAATCTGCATAGCGAGCAGCAGGCCATCAATGCCGGTGCGCCGCGCCAGCTGACGCTGAACGCGAACGAGCTGGAGATTGGCGGCGCCGATGAGCTGCTGTTCACGGTGGAGCTGTATAATGGCAACGATTTCGCGGGCGTGTGGAGCGGCGCGCTGACATCGCTCCTCTCCCACCATGGCGCTAACGACGCCGGTGGCTCGCGCCTGTGGTCGGCCCGCCCGGCCTTTATCAACGAGCTGAACGCACTCAACTATACAGACCCGGACGAGGCTATGCGCCGCTGGCATCAGCTGCAGTGTCGCGTGCTCGTCTCTCGTGGCTTGCGAACCTTCAAGATTTACGAGGCTGGCAATGATCTGGGAGATGGCGCGGACTGGTCCTACTTCGAGTACGAGACTTTGGGCGAATGGCAGTCAGCGGGCCAAGAAGCCTCCGCGAACGCGGAAATTTCAGACGACGGCGTGGTCAACTTCTGCCTGACGGCAACGCTCAACTACGACGACGACGACGCACAGCCCATTGCGCTCGCCAACGCAGAGCAGCTCTTCCGATGCCATCTCCCGTGGTGAGCCGAGCGTCGCAATTGAAGCGAAAAAAAGTCTCCCGACAGTGCTCCCGACGCCATATACCTCCCGTGGTGAGCCGAGCGTCGCGTACGTGCGCGCAAGCGTGTCTCGCAAGCGTGATGGTTGTGGTCTGGTGTGCGGGGGGGGGGTTGCCAGCACCCCCCGTTTTTCACAGAAGTGTTCACAGCCGTTTCAGACTGCCAGACCGAGAACCAAAAGGAAAACTGACCCGCTCGGGGCTATAACGGAACTGATCGTGAAAACTCTCGATACTCTTAAGGTCCTTCGGGCCAGTGCTTGCGAGTTGGGGGGGGCAAACCCTGCCCGGCCCCTAGGTGCTAGGACCCCAGGTAAGGCCCAGGTGTGGCCTAGGGCATCAGAAGGGACCAAGAGGAGTCCAGTCTGAGCCATAGAGCCAATGTCTTTGCCCCCGAAGGTCGCGTTCAAATGCCCGGAACGGACGTTACAGTGGTCTCCGGCCGGCGCGATCACCGAGCTGTGACGAGGGAAGCCTGATGAGGTACGCAGGGGAGAATCCCCCGGTCAGATCTTCAGATATACAGAATAACAAAATTCGCCGTGAATTCTTCTGTCTGAAACGCCGCGGTGTTGTGGGATTCGCCCTCTCCGGTGGCGAACACGCTACTCCCGCGCCGCGCCCACTACCACCAACTCTCCCACCATGTACTGGTACACCGCGTCGGGCGGCGGCTTGATCCTCGTCGTCCTGCTCCTGCGCCGGCGGCTGACAGCTTCGTCCGACGGCGCCTCCAAGGCTGCGCTGCCGCAGAGCACGCTGCGCGAGGACGTGGCGAGCGTCAGGCAGTGGTTCGCCAACCTCATCGGCCCCACGCTGCGGGGCCGGCCGGCGTGCAAGCCGACGATGCCCGCCGTGATTCCCACCGTGGTCGAGGAGCTCAAGCAGGTCATGGACGGCGAGCTCAGCTGGACCTTTGTCGACTGCGGCTGCGGGCAGGGCACGATGCTCCAGCCGATGCGGAACGCGACGGTCGACGGGCGGCGGCTCTTCCAGCGCGTGGTGGGCGTGGAGCTCGACCCGGCGACGCATCGCGAGGCGGTCGCCGCGCACAACGACCCGGCCATCGAAGTCGTCTGCGGCGACATGTTTCCGTTTGTCGACAAGCTGTGCGCGGGCGACGACATCCTGGGCGGCTGCGCGGTGTTTTACATCTACGAGCCACTCTGGATGGCGAACCTGCCGGCGGAGGAGATGCGCCGGCTCTACGGCGGCCTGCTCGACGCGGTGGCGAGGCACCCCGGCTCCGTCATCGCCTACTGCTCCGCAGACGCGTACCGCGAGATTGGCGCGTCGCTGCTCGAGGAGAAGGGGCTCGTGCTTCGGCGGGCGGTGAAGGTGGCGCAGAACGGCGCCTTCAACAAGCTGCGCGGCGTGTACAACCCGCTCGAGTTCTGGCAGGTCCCGCGCATCTCCACGCCACCCACGTCCGAGTCGCTGTGAGCGAGTAGAGCTACTCTCCAGCTGCGCCGGTATCAGCGCGCCTGGTCTCTCCAGAGTCGCGGCCAGCGCGAGGCGGGCCGCAACATGTTGCCGCCATCTTGTCTTTGTCACTCTTCATTTGTGGAGCGCCATGAACACATGCGTATTGTGAGAGAGAGTGCTTGAGTGGAGTCTGGAGAGAGACGGCAGCGCGTCCCCCCCCCCCCCGGAGGGGCCCGAGTCTCCGGCCGAGTGAGTGCCAGATGGCCCATGCTATTTCTCCGCGCGTCAATAAATGTATGCAAGTAAACATGCCATATGAACGCACACGACTGATAGAGAGAATAACCTGCTGCAGGAGCCGCAGCCCAGGGACTTGTGTGGTGCACTCGGAGCGAGCACTGCAGCACGAGCAGAGATCAGGGTCCGCTCCTTTCGCCGACACGGCGCTGAGCGGGGAGGCAACTGCTGGGCGGCGCTTTGTGGCCGCCGGAGGGGGGCACCTGCCTGGTCGGCGGCGCGAGGCTCGCGATGCCGCAATGGCAGCCGCACCCGGTTGGGCACTCGGGCTCCCCGCGCGCCGCAGCCGCTGTCACCCACGCGCGCACACACTGCCAGTGGCCGCCATGGCCGCACGCACCGCACGCCCACGCGACGCCGCGCACGGGCAGCGCGCAGATGGAGCACCGCAGCGCCGGCTGCGCAGCCGCGTGCAGCGCCTCTCCGCTGCTGGAGGGGCAAGCCTGCAGCGCGCCGGAGCCCGCCTTTGGGCTCGCCCGCCGCGCGAGCTGCGGCCCGGCCGCCGCCGCGCTCGCAGACGCGCCCGAGGAGCAGAAGCCGAGCAGAGAGCCGAGCCGGCCACACGACGTGCTGCTCGGCATGCCTGGCGGGACGTGTCGGACGTGTCGCGGACGGTGTCGTGGGACGTGTCGCGGACGCGCCGTGGGTGTCATGGACTGTCGCGGACGTGCGATGCAAGACGTGCGGCTCGGCACACCTCCGCCCCCGCCCCCGAGCAGAGAGCCCGAAGCGCTGCTCGCGCCTACAGGACGGCTGCTAGAAGGCTCACGAAGGCCCCCGGAGGAAGAGGAGCCCGAGGCGCTGCTCGCGCCTGGCCCGCCCTCCGCGTCGCGCGGTATGGCGACCTGTGGCATGCGACACGCGGAGCTAACTGAGGGCGTGAGTCGCGTGCAGTGTATTCGGCGCGTCGCGTGAACACGAGGGCTACGAATGCAGTGAATGGCGGCTGCAACACAGGTGGGCCCAGCTGTGTACGTGTCGTCGCGAGCGCCAGTTGGGCTACAGGGATGCCGCATCTGTGCTATGGCGACCGCGCACGCGGTGACTGGCGGCGCGGCGGCGGCGCTCGGCACGAGCGAAGCGTGGCGGCGGGTCGGCGGGTCGGGAGAGGCGGCGCCCGCTGCTCGGCACTGCTGCAGGAGCCCGCACGAGGTCGCCCCGCCCGCCGCGCCGAGCAGCGTGGGCGGGACCGACCCGCCGCCCGAAGCGGCGGGCGACGCCCCGAGGAGGAGCGAGACGTGTCCGTGCGAGCTCGAGCGCCGGTAGCTCTGGCTGAGCGACGAGGAGCCGCTCCGCTGCCCGCCGCTCAGGGGCGGGGGCACGCGGCGGTGTGGCGGCGACCGCGCAGCCGGGATGCAGTCGAGGTGGAGCGGGGCCGCCTGGTCAAACTGCCCTCTGTCACCTCTCGGGCAAAACAGCCGGGCACTCTCCGGCACTCCCAGATGGCGGCCTGGTCGAACGGCCCACCCGGCCGGTTCGCCTCGTCGTCGCCGCCTTGCGCCGGGCCGCCGGGCGGCTCCTCCTATGGAAAGGCTCCGAGCGGGCTTCGAGAGGGATCTTGGCAGCTGCACCGGCGCCGACGCGGCCCGCTCCTCGATGGTCCGCGAGATGCGGTCGTTGGAGGCCCGGCCGCCGCCTGCAGAGGAGGCTGCGGGAAGGCTCAGGGGAGGCTTCACCGCGCGCCACCGCGGCGGAGGGGAGCGCTGCCGCTGCCGGCGGCGTGGGGAGCGCGCCGCCGCAGGGGAGCGACGAGCTTGAGCAGCTGCGCACGCGTGTGGAAGAGCTGCCAGCGAAGCAGCAGATCTGCGTACACGCCCACGCACCACAGGCCCGCCTAGCTCGTCCAACAGTGCGCGAGTCGGACAGGTGTGAGGCCCGGCACGCATCCCCCCCACGCAGCGGGAGGCTCTCGCCTCCGCCTCGCCGCCCAGCAGCGGCAGGGACATGTCGCTTGCCCGTGCGGCCGCCGCCTCGGCAATGAGTGGCACGCCGGCGGTGGCGCAGATGGCGAGGAGAGTGGCGGTGCTCTGCACGTCGGCGGCCCGCACCCGGTCGTGCAGGATCGCGGAAAGGAGGGGCAGCTGCGGGCGGGTCGCGGGCGGGTCAGCGGGCGGGGGGGCGTCAGCGGGCGTGTCATGGACGTGCGAGTCATGGACGTGCGACGCGCCATGGGCAGGTGGGGCGAGTCGCGGGGGAGGGTGGCGAGGGAGCAAGTGTCTCGGGAGTGCCGCCGCACCGCGATCGCATAGTCGCGCGTGTCGGCAGTGGCGTACCTAGTGGATGGGATTCTTGGAGCTGGGATTGAGGACAGAGTCATTACGTTGAACTCGTGGGACACGGCAGGGGCGGGAGTGCGGTTTCGTGCTGGGCATCTTGGGTCATCTCGTGCCATCTCGGGTCATCTCGGGTAATCTCGGGGCATCTCGGGCCATCTCGGGCCATCTCGGGCCATCTCGCGCCATGCATCGCGTGGGTGCAGGGATGTGTGCTCAGCATCTACGTCGGCGTACGGCAGCCGGCTCGCGCTGACGACGAGGCACTCGCCCCGCTCGCTCCGCTGGCACCGGCTGCTCGCGCCCCAGACCTGCGGGCTGCCTACGGTGCCTCCGCCTGCCCCACCCCCGCCCTGGGTCGCGGGGGCGAGGGCCGACAGCGCCGTCGACACGAGCATCCACTGCCTCCACAACTCGCCTCCGCCGCCGCCGCTCGGCCCTCCGTGCGCCAACGCAACCTCGGCGTTGAGCCGGCACAAGGCCGCCGCCTCGGCGCGCGCGGCGGCGAGCAGCGGCCCGCTCCGCACGCTGCGCGCCGGGAAGCGGCGCGCGAGGCTGCCGAGCGCATAGCGCGCGGCGAGCTGCGGCGCCGCCTCGATGGCCGCCGCCACGTCGTGAGTCGTCACGCGCGACGACGGCATCGCGCCGAGGGAGCGGAGGAGGCGGAGGCGGGACTTGGCGGGCCGGCCCCCTCCCGCGCCTGCCGCGCGCCGGCGGCCTCGCGCGCGCCTGCGGGAGGAAGAAATCGAAGAAGGCGGTCCACAAATTCAATCAGGAGAAGGCCGTGAACTCGCCCGGTGCGTGCCTACCGCCCGCCGGCGGCGAGAAGGGGAGCGGCGGCCGCTGCCCTCCGAGAGCGCCCTCCTCGAGCCGGTAAGGCACGAGGCTGGCCAGCCGGCTGCTGCCTGCGGGTGGCAGCGTCGGGGGAGACGTCACGTGGCGGGGAAGGCGCGCCGGCGGACGGGTGGGCGCGGAGCGGGCCGTGCAGGGAGCCGTCCGATCGGCCGCAACCCCGCGCCGCCCCCGCGCCGACTTCGGCCCCCTCCTCCTCGCCCGCCGCGCCAATCTCGCCCCTGCTGTCGGCTCTGCCGCCGCCCATCGCCCGCACGCTCGCGCGAAACTCTCGCTCCTCCTCGTCGAAGTCAGCGTCGGCATCGGCGTCGCGCTCGTCCAAGCCGACGCCCTCCCCGGACGGCGAGTAGATGCCGCCGCCGCCGCCGCCGATCGCGGCGATCCCGGCAGGGCGGAGGAGGGTCGACCCTCCGCCCGACTCGAAGAAAGGAGTAGCCGTCGCCAGCTGCGCACGCACGATGGGGGCGATGTGCATGCCCTGCACCAAGCCTATGCCGGACGGCTGAAGAGACGGCTCAGGGGCGCTTCGAGACGGGTCCGCTCCGCACTACCGGCGCCCGGCCGAGAAAGTCCTCGTACGAGCGCGGCACCTCCGCCTCTGCGAGGCCGGCGTACCTGCGACCGCGTACCTTGATCGTCATGGACACGCCGTGCGGCGACTCCGCCCTCGGGCGAGGCCAGCGTACGGTGACGGCACGTTTGCAAACGCGAGGAGCAGCCCCGAAGGGCAGAACGAGGCGCCCGAAGTGCGCGGCGGCGGCAGTCGCTCAAATGCGCCCGCCGCCGACGCCGACGTCGGGAGAGCGACCGAGGGGCCGGTGGCGACCAAGCCGGCGCCGCTCCCGCGCTCCTCGCGGGGGGTGGCCTGCGCCTGCTCGTCGCGCAAGCGGCGCCAGTCGCGCATCCGGTGCAATGCCACCGCACGCTGCGCCTATGGGAAAGCTCCAGGAAGGTTCCGCAGACTGCTCGTGCGGATGCCACAGAACGCAACCGCACGCTGCGCCGCGCTGAGGATCGCGCCGAGGAGGGGCAGCAGGGCCGCCGCCGCCGCGTCCGCCGCCGCGTCCGCCGCCGCTGCGGCGTCCGCCGCGCCCGCCGCGCCGCCGCGCGAGCTGCCCGCCTCTGGCGCGGCCAGCGCGGCTGCCTCCGCTGCAGCGGCGGCTCTTGCGAGCTCGCGCAGCAGCGAGGGCAGGTCGCGCGCGCCGGCGCTCCTCCACGCGGAGGCGAGCGCCGCCTCCGCCTCCGAGAGGACCGCCGCAGCGAGCGGCCCGCCGGCAGGCACGCGCCCCTCCGCCCGAAGGCCCGCCTTGCTGAGGGCCGCCTCGGGCGCCGCCGTGAGCGAGGGCGGTAGCTCGTGAGGCCAGCGCAGCAGCAGCGGCAGCGCGCCGCCTCCGCCCTCGCCGCCTCCTCCCCCGCCGCCTCCTCTCCCAGCTGTACCGCCCTCTGCTGCGTCGCCCTCTGCTGCAACGCCTTCGGCATCGACCACCTCCGGCAAGGTGCAGCTGATGCGCACCTCAGCGAGAGACTCGGCCGGCACTAGAGACTCGGCCGGCACCAGAGACTCGGCCGGCACTCCTCGACAAGCTGCGGCGGCCTCGCGAGGAGAGGAGGCCGAGAACTGCGCGGGCGGCGCCAGCGAGAGGAGCGGCGGGAAGGGCGGCTGCTCTCTCGCCCACGCCGCCTGCGCGACCCGCACACACCTCTCCAGTGCCCCCCACTCCGCCGCCGCGCCAGCCACCTTTTCGCCAGCCACCTTTTCGCCCTCCAGGCCGGCGGCCAGGGCGGCGCTGGAGGAGGCCTCATCTCCTACGGACATGTCTCGGACATGTCATGCCCGTGTCCTGGACATGTCGTGACCGGCGGAGGCCGGCTCGCCTCGCGAGCCGTGCCGCCCTCCCTCCCCCTCCTGCCCCTCCCCCTCCTGCCCCTCCCCCTCCGGCCCCGCCGCTCGGCAGGACGGCTCGCTGCGGGTGTCTGCGTCGGGCTCCGCCTGGTCGGCTGCCGCCCGCACGACCCGCCACACGCCGAGGAGACGGTCGCTCCCCAGCGAGACGAGGCGCGCCTACCTCGGGTCATCTCGGGTCATCTCGGGTCACCTCTGATGACCTCTGGTCATCTCGGGTCACCTGGATGATCTCGAGTAATCTCGGCTCACCTCTGATGATCTCGAGTCATCTCGGCTCATCCGTCCTCGGGCAATCTCGCCTCTTCGCCCACGCCGCACCCGCACCATGCGACCGAGCAGACCGACGCGTCTCTCACCCCCGCGGCACCCCGCACAAGCCGCAAGCTCTGCCCGCCGCTCTGCCCGCCGCCACCTCTGCCGCTGGCGACGCCCCACAAACGGATGCCCGCGCCCGGGGACGCGCCGTCGTCGCCCTCCGCAGCGGGGGCGCCTACAGCCATTTGGGTGTGTGGCGCAACACCAGCTAAGGGCCAGCCAGCCCACTGCAGCGGCGCCGGTCACGGCGAGGACGTGTCCCGGACATGTCCCGGGCATGACGTGCGGCCCGCGCGGCGCAACCTAGCGAATGCAAACCAGCGGCGAAGCGGTGAGTGGCCACCTCCCTGCGAGATAGCGTGGCGTGCGTGCAGCCGCGCCGCAGCGTCTGCTGCTAGTGCCGCCGCCGCCGCCGCAGGAGGAGAGGCCGTGTCGATGCCTCTTCCGCTGCGAGCCGCCGCCGGCATCCAGAGCGCACAAGTCGGCGGCGCGCGGCTTGCGGCGGTGGCGACACAACGCGCGTCGAAGGGCGCCTGCTGCGAGCCGCCTCCGCCGCCCTCGCCCCCCTCGCCGGTGCCGCCACACAGTCGCACGTCCCACAGCTGCACCACGCCCCCTCCTCCGCCTCCTCCTCCGCCTCCTCCTCCGCCGCCTCCTCCTCCGCCTCCTCCAACCGAGCGGCTGCTCGTAAGGAGCAGAGGCAAGCGGGGAGGAGGGTCGGCGCCAGACTCCGCCTCACCGCGGCGAGGCCCGAGCCCCTCGCCGCCCGCGCAAGGACCGCCGCAGGGACCGCCGCAGGGACCGCCCGCCCAGTCCACCGAGACGGCAACCGAGACGCCCCGCCCGCACGCGACGCCTGCAGGGAGAGGAGCGCGGACTGGGAGGTTCGATCCACGAGTATCGTCCGCCGCGTCTCGAGGTCGAGCCTGTTTACCACGCCAGTGTGCTGAGTACGTGCTCGCTCCTCACGGCCGCCCGCCGCTCCTCGAGGGTTTAGCCTACCCGGGTACTCGTCCACAGCTCCGGAGACGAGGCTCAGGGGAGAGGGTAGAGAAGTACGGAGAGAGGGATCGATGCGACGAGCACGCGCCGAAGGAGCCGAGCGTGGCGGAGGAGGCGCGGTCCGCGAGCCGCCTCACGTCGACGATGTGCACCCTGTCGCCGCACAGAGCAGCGAGCAGGTGCTCCCTCGCGCCGCCGCCTAATCAGTTTCGCCGCCGTCTGTCCGTCAGCTCAGCCGGTGCTAGCCAGCCGCCGCTTGGCGCGGCACCGCCAGCGTCAGCCGGCCCGCCGCACCACGAGACGCGGCCGGCGCCGCCACCCTCTGATGCCGACGGCCCGCCTCCGCCTCCGCCGCCCTCACGCATCGCCAGGTGCCACGCGCTTCCCGCGCGGCAGTCGAAGAATGCGAGGCCGCCGCCGGCAGTGGCGGCGGCAAGCGTGTGCGGCGCGGCCGGTCTCCACGCCACGTGCTGCACCGCGCAGTCGCGAGGGCCCTGCCACCCGCCGCCTGCCGCCCGGCCGCAGAGCGTGACGAGCAGCGACAGCGCGCCTGGCTCAGCGGCGCCGTCGTACAGGCGGAGGGCTCCGTCCGCGGACGCGCACGCGATGGTGCGCCCGGATCCCGCGCCTCGCTGCGGCTGCCACTCCAGCGCCACCGGCGGTGCCAGCTCGGGCGTCGGCAGCACGCGGCACGGCTCCCACGGCCACTCGAGATCGACAATCCATATCTCGCGGCGGACGCCGAGCGCCGCGAGCCGGCCCGTCGAGTCCACGGTCAGAGTGTCGCCCGCGCCGACGGCCTCCTCGAGGCGAGCCGCCGACTGGAGCAGCATGCTCGACGGCTGCCCACGCTGTCTGTGTCAGCTCCGCCTCCAGCGCTGGAGGCGTCGGAACTGTCGGCTGTGCATGAAGCTTGCGACTTGGGCCAGGCTGTGAAGAGCAGTCGTGCCACTGGGCCAGGTGATAGCCCTGGGTGGGCAATCCATACGCCTAGTTGGACCTCAGAACGTCCGACGACCGCGTCCCAGTCCTCTTCGGATTTTTGACGCCACCACACCGCGCCGCGGCCGGAGGCCGAGCGAGAGCGCAGGGGATGGCCGTGACGGACCGGGTCGAGCTCTGGGAGGTGAAGTGTCAGTGTATATATTGTAGAGACTGACCATGTGCACAATATCCATGGAACGCATAATCAGAAGAGAAAAACGTGTATGGCGACAAAGCGAGTAATGGAGAAGTCTGTCCGCGCCTAAGGATTCTGCCATTCCTATTCTGCTCTACTACACAAGGATTCTTGCTATTCTACCTCTCACTAGATTCCCCTTCCCAGGTTCCTCTTCTGCTCAGATATTCTGATTCTCTCCCCAGACTCTCCCATCTTGGCCCCGCTTTCAGCTTCCTGATTCTCCATTCTCGTTTCCTCCGCTTCCTTTCCGATTCTCTAGGGCAGCCAGAGCCAATTCCTGATTCTGCTCCCCCCTCCCGATTCTCCTGTCTCTCTTCCTATTCTTGATGCTCCATTTGATTCCTGATTCCTGATTCCTGATTTGTCGGATCGCCCACATTTTGACCGGGATTCTGATTCCTGATTCCTGATTCCTGATTCCTGATTCCAACATTTTGACCGGGATTCTGATTCCTGATTCCTGATTCCTGATTCCTGATTCCTCGGAGTTACGCATTTCGGCGGGATCCTATGTTGGCCTGACTCTCCGAACTCCTGAGCCGATATTGCGTGTGCGCGGGGCTTCACACAGCTCACTCAAACTTCGCCCGCGGCAGCATGCTCAGGCGCGGGTCTCTCTGGCGCTCCAGCCTCACGTCAGCGCACTCAGCGCTTAGGCCTCGGTCCGGCGTCCGCAAAGGCGCAGTGTGTGGTGCGGGCTCTGCCCGCCCCCCCGAGGAGAGGGGGGGGGGGGGGGGCGCTCCCGCGCGGGGGGGAGCCGAGCGAAGCTCGGCTCGGGTTCAAACTAACCCTCCCCCTTTTCCCTTTTTCTAAAACTGCTCGCCGCGAGCGGCTCGCTTCTTGCGGTAGGTAGACATTCTACCTCCCATCTAACCGCGCCAACCCTTTCTTGGGTAATGGGTAGACCTTTCACACCCACCGAGGTCATATTACCTCTAACTAGTTCGTGCGTCCTGCTATCGCCCGCCTGCTTTCGTCGCATCCTCTCAGTGTGGTTTATGGTTTGCTAGACCCATGAGACCAGCCACGCCGCGCCCTCGGGCGCCTCCACCGCCGCCCTCAGCCACGCCGCTACGACCGTCGGAGACGTCAACTCCGCCGTCACATGGTATCAGCTCTCGCCACCAAGTGCGGCATGGCCTGCCGGAAGTGAGGTGCAGCGTGGAACCCGCACAGCGCCACAATCTGACTCACAATCATGGGGTGGGGCCATAAGGGAACCGGGTGACGCGCTTGGGCGGGCAGTAGCCCAGTTCCTCGCCAAAGTAGGTGCGGTCCACGCCCAGCGCGAACGTGGCGGAGATGCTCACGAAGTAGCCGACAAACAGCAGCGAGAGGGATAGGGCGACGGGCCACAGTAGTGTAGGCTGCGCGCTCTGGCGCGCAGCAAAGTAGAGTGTAGGTAGTGCGCCACCAGCTGCGAGAGCGAGACCGTCTTGAAGACAAGCACGTCGCGCTTGAACGTCGCCCACTGCAGCTCCGTGCGCCAGTAGAAGGTCTTGATGTAGCGGACGTAGTGCACGAAGGACGTGCCGAGCAGCAGCACCAGGGGCTGAGAGCTGGCGACACTGAGGTGCACCAGCAGGGCGAGGTAGGACAGGTTGTTCCAGCCCACGTACTCCTCAGCCTTGTTGAACGCGTGCGTCCAGAAGACCACGTTCCACGCGCCGAACTTCTCCAGCGCAGTCTCCGGCGTGATGGTGCTCACGAAGAGCAGACGGAAGAGCTGATTGTAACACGTGCTCATGAAGGCGAGCAGGCGGCCAAGTGGCATGAGAAGGGTGGGGTACGTGACAAAGTGTAGCTTCAGCACGATGCGCTGCTCCTTGTTCGCCAGGCCAGCGTTGGGGTGGTCCTGGATGAAGTGCGGCTCGCGGTGGAAGTCAAAGGCCACCAGGTTGCCCTGCTGTGCAGTGATGGACGTGGGCACCATGGGGAAGACGGTGGAGACCTGTGTGTTGTTGTCCATGCCCACGATGCAACGGAAGCAGGAGGCGAAGGGGAAGAAGGGGAAGGGCCCGTCGATGTGCTTGGTGTAGAAAACCGTGTCCGAGTTGCCCGTTCGATTCGGGCCGCTCACGTATATCTCATTCATGCCCCACACAGGGATCACCGTGTACCAGCGAGGCGAGAAGATGGAGGCAAACATGCTGGCGACCTCCGGGCTGTGCACCAGCGCGTCGAAGGCGGGCGTCAGCGAACCCAGCTCCGAGTACCACCAGTGGCTGGACGTGTGCTTCGACGGGTTGTGTTCCATCGCCCACTTCCGGATCAGTTGCAGATACTTCTGTTGTTCAGGGCTGCTGAAGTGGGTACGCAGCACGCGGTTGAACCCGGCGTTCCAGGCCCAGCGGAAGCCGCCGTTGTCGATGGGGGCGTGCACCAGGAAGACCAACAGCGTGGGCAGCACATACGTCAGTACGTTTGCGGTGGTCAGCATTGCGCCGAGTGCTTCAGGCTGCAGCAGAGGCCACAGGAGGGCGATGGGGGCAGCCAGGCCAGCCAGCTGGCGCGCTGCGGCGTCGAGGCAAAGAGGCAGCAGGAATTAGGTGTGCTGCGTGAGCAGCGACAGGTAGTCGGCCTCGCCGACGCTCTCGGTCTAGCTTATCCAGGGGAGGCAATGCCGGGGCCGTACAGCAGCTAATGTCGCCGGCGTGCGTCCCGGTGCCGGACGGTAATCTCGTTTTTATCTTGTTGGCACAATCAGTATCCTAGGCAACCGGCACAACCCAACTTCCGCGCGACTTTTCTTTCTTTCGGTGTTGCAGTTTCGCTGCACTAGCGGCTCTTCACCCGGGTCGTCGCCGTCTCGGCACCCGCGTCGCTGCTCTCGGCACGCATGATGATCGCTGTGCTCCCAACTCTTGTCGGCCTCGTGCTCCAGCCCATGCCGCGACGGGAGGCTCTTGCGTCTGCCGCCGCCGCGGTGCTCACCGTCGCGTCGCCCGCGTGTGCCAAGGGTCCAAAGAACAGCGTGTACTTCACAAACGTGAAGGACGGCGATACGGTGCCGAGCACGTTCACGTACAAGTTTGAGGTCACCGGGTACGCGCTCTCGCCTGCTGCCGCTGGGCTCAAGGAAGGCACTGGCCACCACCACATGATCATCGACGCTCCCACAGCCTTCGTAAAGAGCGGCGAGGCAATCCCGATGGATGCCACCCACAAGCACTACGGGAAGGCGCAGTCGGAGGGGGAGCTCGAGCTGGAGCCAGGGAAGCACAAGATCACCCTGCAGTTCGCAAACGCCTACCATGAGTCGTACGGAAAGGAGTTTGCGAAGACAATCACGGTCAACGTCAACGGTGCGTGAGCGCGGGTGGCGCCGCGCCCTCACGCCGTCAGAGATATGCCCGCCCTCTACCTTGCGGAGCGCGCCCGGCCGTCCTCGGCATTGCCCGCGAATATAGAGTACTGTCTGCATGTAGCACCTCGGTCCAATACACAATGCACATGGACATGGACAAGCGGTCGCTAGCTAGTGTCACTACGTAGTGTGCGGCGAGCGCGCGGCTCTGTGTCGCCCTAGGTGCCTGATCTGGGACGTGCTTTGCCATGCACATGCTCTCTCATAACATACGAAGAATCCACACGATGTTCTTAATTCTAACGGAAGGACGCTTTGTCACACGCCGGACACCCGGAGTGCTGCTGCTGGCAGCACGTGCTGGGGCGTGACATGGAGCTAGTGATCTGTGAGATCTGTGAGGGTGTCCGCCCGCAGGCGCATTTTGTATACCGAGGCGGTGCACGGTGCCGACGTGTACCGTTAACCTTTGTCCAGTGGAGAGCCTCATTTGGCGCGCTGGACTCACGCCGAGAAGAGCTCGCATATTTTACATGTTGCGTGCGCTTGTGCCGGACTTGCAGCACCGATTCTGGTCTGTGGCACCGGGGTCGTTCGGCATTGGTGCATTGCCCCGCTCGCCAGTTCATTAGTATGGGCAGGCGCCGTAATGATCGACGTCCCCGCTGGCGACTCCGATGGGTTCACCATCAGAACCAAGGTTCAAGCACCCCCAGCAGCCCGTTAATGCGCGGTAGCACTTTTTCCGGGGTGGCACAAGTCTAGCGCCCGTCCCGTCCACGCGGTAGACCCCGCCAATTCTTTGGTGGCACGGCAGCCCGTTCGGACAGCCGCCATTGTTCACGAGGCAGCTGGGCTCCTCGGTGACGCACCGGGGGTAGTCGTACACGTGTGGTGAGCACTTCTTGTAACCATAATTTGCCGACTGCCACAGCCCTTCGTAGCAGTGGCCGCTGATGCAATCCCCATCGCTGCCGCACAGCGCACCTTCTTTGCCGGTCTGGCATTGTCCATAGTACACCGCTGCTACACCGCCCACTGAATTCCATTGGTAATGGTTCAAGCAAACGCCGTGCCCCCCTCCCCCATATCTCTGCTTCGCGGGGTCGTACCTGGGAACGCTATCGCAATTCTGGTTCTCGGGGTCGCAATCATATACTTCCGGTCGCTGCCTGCACTGTTCGCAGCTTGGTGTCCTTTTCACTTCCCCCAGACCGTTGCCACCGAACTTTAGTTCATACGCCGAACATTCGCACATTGGCAGGCATTGTGTGTCGCCGCCGGTGGTACTGCAGCTGCATCGGTCGTTGACGCAGCGGCGATCCCCGTTGCAGTCGCCGTCGTGTCCGCACTTTGCATAAAAGTTGCCGTCTTGGCATTCGTTGTCGCGGCAGACCCCTTTGTTTTCCCCGTTCTCCTTCACGAGCTTCATGCAGTCATATCCGTTGTTGTTGCCGCAGGAGGCGCCTTTGCCGCCCAGCCAGCAGCGCCCATCACGGTCTGCGACTGGGCCGCTGCCATCTGGACGTGAGTACACACCACACCCCTCGTTGGGCCTGGGGCAATTTCCGGCGTGTTCGAGAATGCCACTCCCGGGGCTCCCGGGGCAGAGCCGCTTCGCCTCCTGTGCGCACCACGTCAGGCCGTCGCAGGTCGGGTCGGCCTTGCTGCAATCGAGCGAGGCCCACGCGTTGAGGAAGGGGTCCCAGAAGGTGCCAGTGTTCACTGTGTAGGTGTACTGCTTTGGACAGCTGGGGGCAGGGGTTGGCGCAGGGGTTGATGCAGGGGCCGGCGCAGGTGCAGGTGCCGGGCCGCCCCCTTTGCGCGCTTCGCGGTCAGAGACGCGGTCTGGAGCGAAGCACGAGGCGCAGCAGTAGTGCGCCATTTCCGATGGGACGCGTGGGCAGTATCCGGCCAGCAAGACTCCCGCGCAGGAGGTGATGTCGTACACGCCGAGAGAGGCGGCAAGAGCGGGGACTTCCCCATCGCTGTCGACGCACGCCGGCCCGTGGGAAGCGAAGCCAAGCCCGCCGGGCAGAGTCGCCGCGATGGTCAGGAGGATGTAGGCGCGCATATACGAGGGGCCGAGCGTAGAGGGATCCGAAGGCGGTGTTGCTACCGGCCGGGTGCCCGCCGTGGCCGGCCAGCGAGGTGTTTTTTGGCCGACCCCCCCCCCCCTTAAGGGGGGGGGGGGAGGGGGGAGCCCGACCCCCGGACGAAGGTTTCTTCTCTGACGAAATTCTTACACGACGAGCATACCGCGTCCGAGCCTGGCTGTTCTCACCTTCCTACCTAACCTAGCCTAAAGCAGGTGCCCCGAGCAGCTTCTACGGATTTGCGTTGAGGAGCGACCCGAGCCGCCGTGTGCCCCGTGCTTCAGCCTTGCCGAGCCTCGCTGAGCCAGATCGGCTCGCGAGGTGGGATGCTAGTGTGAGGCTATGAGCCCGACCCAGGTCGTTGTGCGCTAGCGTTGGCGGTTAGTGTTACTCTCCCAAGGGGAACCTTTCCTCGAAGAAAAGAAATTGGAGCGGGCCCGGTCGGTAACGGCCGTGCGCAATGGCTCCAAGCATGAGCCAGCATGGCGAGCGAGCCCGGCCGCGTGCCGCACTTGGCGCAGGCTAGACTTTCCGCAGCGTGGCGCGGGCACGCAATACGCAGGGCGACACTGACGCAGGTCGCTGCGCTCGTCGCAAAGCCTTCTCTGCAGGTCTCCCGTCAGGTGCAACGGGCCGCGCTGCCTCGCGACCATGAAGGCAAGCTGCTCCCTCTGTCATGTTCGATCGACTGCTTCAAGGTCTTCGGCTCCGGGGTGTACAGTTACATGGAGTGGCAGCGGTTCATGTTTGTCACCTTCTCTCTCGCCTTTGCTGTTGTGCTTCCGAGCATGGTCTCCAATGTCAGCGGCTCGAACCTGGAGAATGCATCTTGGCTGACAAAAGGGTCCTTGGGCGATGTCAAGGCGGCTGCCATCAACGCAAGCTACGGCGCCGTCGAGCTCATCGTTTTGAGCATATTCGTTATATCGCTCTTCCGTGGCCGAGACATCATTGCTGCTGCAAAGGACCAGGTCGACCACTACGACCCAGAGGAGGCGCCCGAGGAGACGACGGTGTGGCTGCGCGGTTTGCCGCCGAGAATCCAAGCAGCGGTGTTGCAATCGCAGCTGGAGTGCTTTGGCGAGTGCACCCAGGTCGTGCTCGCGCGCAAGGACGGGGTTTTGCTCAAGCGTCTCTCGGCACGGCAACACCTACTGGAGAATCTGCAGCACCTGACCGCGCTGCTATACCTCTCGCGGCAGGCTGAACGATGCCGCCAAGGCTCAGCCCGGCGAGAGCTACTTCGGCCGGTGCTTGAGCTCCTCGACCGAGTAGGGCAAACGGCTTCAGCGGATGACTTGCTGGCAAAGGAGGAGGAGGCGCGCCGTGAGCTCGCGGAGCACGACTCAATCACTGCTCGTCTCTCTCGCCAGGCATACGATGGGACTGGCGATGCTTTCGCCACCTTCTCCAAGGCGGAGCAGGCCCGCCGGTGCATCGAAGCGATCGCTATATCGAGCCGCCCCCACCGTCGCGCCCGAGTGCCACGCAAAGCAAAGGTCGGCATCGAGGCTCCCGTGCCGTCGCTGCCGACGCTTCCCTCAGGCGTGACAGCCCAGCGCGCACCTGCACCGTCAGACATTTTGTGGGAAGGGTTGGCTACCCCCGCGCGCGAGCGCCTCTGGCGACAAGTGGTCTCCACGACGATCACGATGCTGATTGCCGGCACCGGCACCGCCATCATCGCCTTTATCACGTGGGCCAACGACAAGAATGGAGGCCTGCTCAGCGACGCGCTTCCCCGAGATCGTGGCGGCTTTAGCGGCTTGATCATGGACCTGCTGGCGGTGCTCCTGTTGCAGGCGCTGCCCTGTATATTCGGGAATCTCATCTTGTTCGCGTCGACCCCCGTCCTTGCTGACGTCCTTGAGCGCCACCCGACCTACTCTGATCGCGAGGCATCCGTGTTCGCGAAGCTGCTCTTCTTCCAGGTCGTCAATACCGTCGCGTCGGCGATGATATTCCTGTCAGTCACGGGTGGAATCTTTGGGCGTTCTTGGTACAGCCTCGGAGGGGCGACCGTCGCGACAGTGATGGGCCCCCTTGGCGATGCGCTTGTTATTCCGACCCTGCTTGACTGGATCTCCCTAAACACTCCGATCCGGCGGTACCTCCTCGCGCCACGCCAAAAGACGCAGCAACGGATGGACCGCCTGTTTATCAAGGACTCGGACCTCTACCTTGCGTTCCGCATCCAGCTCGCTGGGAAGTTTGTGGTCGTATGCCTCGTGTTTGGATCTGCTCTCCCCATCCTCTACCTCTTCGGCGCTCTCTTCTTCTCATACGGTATGCTCATTGATCGGCACAATCTTCTGAGGAATCAGTGCCCTCCACCCCGCACCTTTCCGAAGCTGACCTGGAGAGCTCATACGACTGTCTTCCCGCTCGCCATCGTCGGCCACGTCTGCATGACACCAATATTCTTTCACCACCTTGCTCTCAGCGACGCCCGTGAGCTACTTTCTCTTCCTCCACCGTCGAGCTCTATCCCCGTACACGCCCCCGCACCGCCCCCGCCGGTGCTCGCGACGGACAACTTCTCCACTGCCGTGATCTTTTCCATCGTCCTGGCCGTCGTTGCTGCCCTTGTCATTCTCGTCTACCGCTTCGGGAGAACTCATCTCCACCTGGATGAGTCGACGGTGCAGAGAGCAGTCGACGTGGCAGAGGATGCTGTCGAGCAGACAATCAAGCGCGCGGCAAGCGGTGCCCAGTCGCTCTTTGACCGTGCGCCGCTGTTGGCACAGCACGTCTCTCTCCCTGGTCGTGAGCAATCACCAAAGGGGGGCCGTCTTCCTGATGGTGCTGCGCACCGACGTCCACCTGCACCACAGGACTACCTGCCACCCACCCACCCCCGACTCAGGCTAGCGTAGGACTTGCGTTGTTCTGGCGTTGAACAGAGAGCAATAGTCGGTCAGGTAGCTACGCCCGCCTGCCAGTGGCCTACGCCGGGGCCTAGCCGCCGCGACAAGCGACAAGTGTGCGTGTGTGTATAATAGTAAGAACCAGCACCTGTGATGCTGTGAAGGCTTCGTAGCCATCTCTCCGGTCTACTTCAAGCCTTCACAAGGACGTCGCACACTCACACTCCAAAAGGGGGATGGTGAAGACCAGAGGGCTGTGGAGCGAAAAAAAGCAAGCGCGCGAGTGAGTAAGTCAGGAGGAACGTAATTTGTAGGATTGTAGCTCAGCCTCGCGAGGCGCGCCCTGTCGACCCTTATATAGGTTACATACGCTGTGACGACTACGACGGACCTAGCGCTTCTCGCCTTCTCGGTCTTCGGCGGGGGACGCTAGATTCTAGAGATTACTGACGTAAGGCAGAGGCACAAATGCGGCAAAACTTACTCTTGAGAATAATTGTGCTCAACTTTTGAATCTAGACGAGGGCATACCACTCTTTAAGTGTGCGGCCCAGACGGCAGACGAGAGGCAGCTCGCCCCACGGGGCAAGGGTCTCGCCCGCTCAGCTCGACGGCATCCACTCCTCCTTCACCCACTCCGTCCAGCGGTGCACCACGCCCTCCGCTGGCTCGCCCGCCGCCGCGCTCTCCTCGCGCTGCGCGTAGAAGAGTGCGAGCAGCGAGTCGCGCACTAGCGGCGCGTCCTCGGCCGCGACGCCGTCGACAATCTCGAGGCGGGGCGGCAAGTGCGACGGGTACTCGACGACGAAAGTGACGCGGAGCTGCACTGCGGTCGGCTCGCCGCGCGCCCGCTCGCCCGCGACGGTGAGCCGGAAAGCGGGCGGGGCCGCCTCCTCCTCGCGCTCGAAACCCTCCTCGCCGAGCACCGCCTCGAGAACCATCAGCTCCTGCGGCGGGGAGAAGTGGCGGGGGAGGGGGGGGGGGGGGGAGAGCTTGCTCAGCAGGGGGTTCGCCCGGCAACGCCACGCCGCTTGCGCCGCCCGCGCCTCCTCCTGAGCCGCCTAAGGAGCGACCGAACCCGCGTGAGGCCGCCCTCCCCGCCGCTGCGCCGCCTCCGCACATCCACCCAACCTCGTTCTCCTCCAGCGCCGCGCCTGCCAACCCCGCCGCGCGGTCCGCGTCGAGTCGCGCCTGTCCGACGCGCCACGCGGACGTGTCGCGGACGTGTCGTGGGCGTGTCGTGGGCGTGTCGTGGGCGTGGCGTGGGCGTGTCGAGTACGTGTCGTGGGCGTGTTGTGGGCGTGTCCACCGCCCGGTCTCGAGTCGCGCCTGCGCCGCCCGTGCGCCGCTCGCCGCCGCCTCCGCCGCCTGCTCCCGCTGGCCGTGCAGCTCCCGCCGCTTCGCCTCCACCGCCTCCGCCGCCTTGGCCTCCGCCTCCGCCTTCTTCGCCGCCGCCTCCGCCGCGCGGCTCTTTGCCGCCGCCTTTCGCTCGTGCGCCGCCTCCGTCAGCCTCTCCATTTCGCCGGCAGACTTGCGGCCCGCCTGCAGGGAGGGGCGCAGAGAAGGCTCAGGGGAGGCTCCGCGCCCCTTCCTCTCGACGGCAGAGGACGCGCGGCCAGCCTCCACGCGTGCAACCTCCTCGCCCAGCACGCCGAGCGACGCGTCGCGCCACGTCTGTGCCACCGCCGCCGGCCCTCCAAACCCTTCCCCGGCCGAGGCGGCGGCGGAGGCGGCGGAGGAGGAACCGCCAGAGGGGCCGCTCGACCAAAAGGGGTCCTCCTCGTCGTCGTCGTCGAGCCAGTCGCCTAGAGGAAGGGTCCCGGAAGGGTCCCGGACGCGTCCTCGCCCTGGCTCCTCTCCCGCGTCGAGCCCTTCTCCTCCGCCGCCACCGCCGCCCGGGGAGGCGAGGCAGAGGTCTCCGAACAGGTCGTCCACCTGGGCTCCAGACACGGGGAGCTTGGACCCACCGCAGGGAGGTGAGGGGGTGGGGAGGGGCTCGTGCAGCTTCTTAGCGGCGCGGCAACACGAGGTCTACCAGATCCGGGGACACGGCTGCAGTGCACTTCGATGCAGCCGCGTGCGTGTCGTCGCGAGCGCTAGCTGGACCGCCGCTCTTCCGCATCCAGAGTCACCCACCAAGCTCGCGTCGGCGACGCCGCCTCCCCTCCGCTCGCCCTTCTTCTTCTTCGCCTTTGCGATCTGGCGCTCCGCGTCGGCGTGCCTACCTTGCAGTCTCACTGCTCTTCCCAGGGGGGTCTGCATCGTGAGCGCACGAGAGTCGCCGCGTGCGAGCATGGCGGAGTCAGCATGGCGGAGTCCAGACGAGGGCGTGCACCCGAGCAGTGGTTGCAACCAGCTGTGTCCGCGCATCTAGGTTCGGCGTGCAACGCGGCGGCGCGGGCGGCGCCCAATGACTCGGCGCTGTACAGCGTTCCGGTGGCGCGCGCGAGCGCCGCGGCCGCCTCCTCCTCCGCCCGCTCGCGCCTCGCCGCCTTCTCCTCTGCCGCCACCGCCGCCTTGGACTCCTCGCGCGTTCGGCGCGCCTCAGCCGCCTCCGCCGCGTCGCGCTCGCGCCTAGCGGCAGTTGCGTCGCGCTTCGCGCCGAGAAGCGGCAGCCGAGGAGCAGCCGCCGAGAGGGAGAAGCCGAGGTGCGGCAGCCGAGAGGAGCAGCCGAGGTCAAGGGGAGAGCAGCCGAAGTGGCGCCCGCGCCTGAGGCGCGCGAGCTCGCTCGGGTCGTTGTGCATCTCGACCTTGGTCTTGTTCAGCCGGTTGACCACCGCGTTGACCCGGTGCTCCACCATCGTGTGCCGCACCGCGCCGCGAGAGTGGTAGCCAACCTGTCCGTCGGCCATCCCCTCCGTCTTTTTGAGGTTCGCCCACGGCGTGTAGATCATCCGCACGTGCGAGAGCTTGGAGCCCTCGATCGAGTTGGCCTTGCACAGCTGACTGCACTCCTGCACGATCTCGTCGGGAACGTCGTCAATCGTCTCGCCCTTGGGCAGCCGCAGGTAGACGTGCGCGCTCGAGTGGCTGTCGACGTGGAACCACAGGTCTTCTGGCCAGCCGTACGCGATGAGGTGCTCGTTCTCGTGCTTGTCGCGGCCCATGTAGATGACATAGCGAGGGTCCGAGCACGTGAAGTAAAAGACCATCTGCTTGGCAGCTTGGCAGCGCCACGGCGACGCTCGACGCTCGTGCCGCGACAGCCGCAAAAAAAGAGGAACGCGAAGTTAACCGTGCCTCGTTCGCCGCTTTCATGTGAGTTTTTGTAGAGATCATCCGGCCCGCTGGGTACGCTTCTTAGCTCCCCGGCCCTGGATGTGAGGTTACCGACTGCACTCCAAGTGCTCCAAGTGTCTTGTGCCAAAATCGTGGTGGGGCTCGCTCGTGGGGCCGGATTCGCCTCTCGCAACATACGTCGCAGGTGGCGATAGGCACGTGGGCAACGCGGCAACACAACGCGGCAACACAGGACCTTGCACCCTTTCGCCCTTCTCCTCACTGCCCCGGCGCCCACGTCTCGATCTTCTTGGGCAGCAGTTGGTTCGACAGGTGCTCTCCGTGGCCTAGGCGGCCGCGCTTGCCCTCACCCCAGGCGAAGACGGCGCCGTCGGCGGTGCGGGCGAGGCTGTGCTGCTCTCCAGCCGACACAGCGACGACGCGCTGGCCAGCAAAGGCCTCGATCTTGTTCGGCAGCAGCTGGGCCTGCTGGTCGCCGTGGCCCAGCTGGCCAAAGGCTCCCCAGCCCCAGCTCCAGACGGCGCCGTCGGCGGTGAGGGCGAAGCTGTGCCCCCACCCACCCGACACGGCAACGACGCGCTGATCAGCAAAGGCCCCGATCTTCTTCGGCAGCAGCTGGCTCTGCGTGTCGCCGTGGCCCAACCGGCCAAAGTTTCCACGGCCCCAGCTCCAGACGGCGCCGTCGGCGGTGAGGGTGAAGCTGTGCTCGCCTCCAGCCGATACTGCGACGATGCGCTGCCCAGCAAATGCGTCGACCTTCTTCGGCAGCAGCTGGTTCTGCTCGTCGCCGTGGCCCAACTTGCCATGGCATCCATCGCCCCAGCTCCAGAGGGCGCCGTCGGCGGTGAGGGCGAGGCTGTGCATATCTCCAGCCAACAGAGCAACGACACACTGGTCAAAGGCCTCGACCTTCTTGGGCAGCAGCTGGCGCTGCTGGTCACCGCGGCCCAGCTTGCCGTACATTCCACCGCCCCAGCTCCAGACGGCGCCATCGGCGGTGATGGCGAGGCTGTGGAATGCTCCGGCCGACACGCTCACGGCGCGCTCACCGCCCAGCATCGAGAGGAGGCGGGTCGGCGTGTTGAGCTGCATCACGCCATTGCCGTGCCCGAGCAGTCCTCCAAGGTACGACGGCGCATTGCCGCACGACGAGAGCCGCCCCTCGCCGTCGATGAAGACGCTGTGCCGTTCGCCTGTGGCCAGCCTCGCCGGCGGGTTGGACTCGCACAGCAGCGCCGAATAGCACAGCCACCGCACGGCGCAGCTCTCGCCCTCTGGCTGCGCCGGCAGCTCGAAGCCGCGCTCTTGCGCCAACAAGCGGATGCCCTCCTGAGCGAGCGAGGCGTGGAAGAGCAGCGAGACGGCCCCGAAACGAGCGATGTCGGCGGGGTCGCAGCGAGAGATGACGCGCGCGAGGAGCTCAAGGGGCAGGTCGGTGAGGGGGCAGTGCGCGGCGGCGGCGGCGGCGGCGGCGAGGCGGCGCGAGCGGCGCCGCGGGGTGGACATCGCGAAAAAAAAATTTTTTTCCCGTCCCCAATCTCAGGCGCGAGAAATTTTTTTTCCTCCTGCCAAGTCGATTTCTCCTTGGAATCAAGTCGGCGAATCGCACAGGCGAAGCGCTAGAGCGGTTCAGGGTCTCGGCCGGCGCGGAGGCGGCAGTGAGAGGCAGAGCGGCGAGACTGATGAGTCTCGCCGGCGAGGGACAGCTGCTGGTGGGCCTCTCCGGCGAGGGAGAGCCGCTGATGGGCCTCGCCGGCGAGGGCGGCCGCAAGACGCCGCTCTCGCTCGAGGAGGAGTGGCACCTCCGCCTCATCGTCTTCGTCAGCGCGACGCTATCGCTCGCGGGCACCAGCCTCGTGCTGGTTTCGATGTACCGCTTCCGCGAGCTCTCCAAGCGCTTCTTCGCGATGCGGCTGATCGGCTACCTCGCCGTCGCTGACGGCTTTGCCTCCATCTTCAACATGTGCGGGGTGCTCGTCGACACCGCCTACCCGGCCGCCGACGGCGCGCCCGGCGACAGTCCCTCGCCACTCTGCGAGGTGCAGGCCGTCGGGCTGCTCTACTTCAACCTCGCGTCCATCTTTTGGACCTCTTGCTTCGCGCGCACGCTCTACCGCGACGTGGCCCCGCCCGCCGCCACGGCGCCGCGCATCTCGCTGCGCGACGCCGAGCTCACTTTCCACGCGCTCTGCTGGCCGTTGCCCGCGCTGCTCGCCGGCGGCACGTACGCCCTGGGGTACGTCGGCGACGCCGGCTCGTACTGCGCCGTCGGGCCCGACTTTACGCCGCAGTACCTCCTCGCCTTTTACCTCCCGCTGGTTGGTGCGTTCGCCTTCAACACGGCGACGTATGCGCTCGTCTGCCGCTCTGCCACCGAGGCCCGCGTCTCTCGCTCGACGTCGCTCTACCTGCTCGTCTTCGCCGTCGTCTGGCTCCCCTCCCTGCTGGTGCGGCTGCAGGTGCTGCTCTGCGGTGCGAGGCGAGCCCCCTCGTACGGGCTCGCGGCGCTCGAGGCGATGTGCATGCCGCTGCAGGCCTGCTCCGCCACTGGGCCTTGCACTGTCAATGCCGTGCCGCCTCCTGCCTCGCCTGCCTGGGCGTGGAGATGCGAGGGCTGCCTGGCCCTCGCCCCACCACATTGTGTGCGCAGAGGCCACTGCCTCACCTCCACGCTCTCCCCGCCTGCCGCTGCAGGGCGCACTCAACGCCTTTGTGTACGGCTGGTCGCTTCCTCGGATACGAGACATGCACCGCACTCGCTGCCTGGCGCACACTCGCACGAGCCTCCTCCCCACTCCTCCAGGACCTGGTCCGACAGGTACCGCACCATGCTGCTCGGCACAGACTCGCTCGACGCCGCCGCTGTCCTCGCCGCAGCGTCGCACTACCGGCTCGGCTCGCCGCCGACGTCCGAGTACGCCCCCCCCCCCCCCCCCCCCCCCCCTCCCCCCAACACACACACACACCACCACACACACACACACCTCGGGGCGGCGGGGAGCGAGAGGTCCTCACACGCAGGTACTCCCCCGCCGAGGATGCCCTCCTCGGCCTGACGCCGCGCGACTTCGAGTGCGCCTTGACCCCGCCACCGTCGCCGCTCCTTCACATGGAGGGCTCTGGGACCCCTTCCCGAACCTGGTAGGTACTTGCCGCCCGAGCCGTCGCCGCTGTCCGGACGCTACTCGGACAGGCCCTACTCGCCAGGCAGGTCGGAGCTTTCCCCCTACCCGGCGAGCTTGCCAGAGCGCCTCGGGGGCCCTCGGTTCACCACCTGACAGCGTCGGGCCGCCCGCGCTTCCCCGTCGCCCCGCTGCCGGGCGCCGCATCCCGCCGCTTCTCCGCCGCCGCGCTTTGCATGTGTACCTGCATGTCGTGTGTGTACGGTCGGCGCTCGCGCGGTGGGTCGTCGTGTAAAAATCCCCACACGGCTTTAAACAAATAAAAACGGACACCTCTACTGTGAGATGGGTAAAAAGGAACAGCCCCCCCCCCGTGTGCGGTCATTCGTGGCGGATAAAGCAGACACCAGACCTCGGTGTTTCCCACTGGGTTTCTGAGGCGGTTGCCGGGGTTTCCATGGGCCATGGCGGTTTCCCATAGCCGAAAAACCCACGGGTCGATGTCGGTTTCTGCGGCGCGCTCTGTTTTTTCTGGGATCTGTTTTCTGGGACACCCGTACTTGGCCAAAGTACAGGTTTCGATCCGGGCCATCGCAAATTTTGTGATCAGGGCGCTCGTTGCTCCTCCGTCTCTTTGTATCTTCCATACTGCGTTTATCAGACGTATGGTTCTTGCACTTGTGCAAGATTGGGCGTCTTCTGCCGCAGTCCCTTTGATGGGAGGCCCCAGGGTGGGGGCCGCCTCGAACCCCCAGCCAGGGATTCGAGCGGAGGGTGCCCCGGTAGGGTGCCCACAGGACCCAAAAGAAAATAGCTTTCCGGCTCAAAAAGGGACGCACGAGGCAAATCTGATGTTGGCCAGTTCCAATAGGAGCGAGGCCTCTTCCGTTGGGGGACCGAGTACATAGGAAACGAGGGTTTCCCATTGTGACCCGCTCCAGTGCGAGCGTGACACTGCACTTGGCGCCGAGCGCCCGCGGCTCAGACCTTGTGCAGGCCACCCCTCGGTGGAGGCACCGGTCCGGACCGATGGCGCTCGGTGTGGAGCAAGCAAGACCCCCCCCCCCCCATCGGCGCGCGCTCGCCATTCCAACGGGCGCCAGGAGCACCAAAAGGACTCCTCATGGCTGCCTCCAAGTGGGCTTCGACCGGCCTCGGCAGGGGGGGCGGGTTGTCCCGGCTGCGGACGCATTCTGCAGCCCGCTGGGCGTGGGTCAGCACCCCAAAACTGCCCCTCGGCGGCATACAGCACTGCCAGCCAGCCTCTTCCTCCTCCTCAAGGGCTGTACTATAGGCCATATTGCGCCGCCTCCTACTGGCAGCCGGGCGGACGCGCGCCGCGGGCGCCTCGGCGCGCGCACGGCTCGCAAAGTTCGAACGAGTACTGCCGCCCGGCCGCCTCAAGGCTGCCGGGCGGCAGTACTCGCCTCGCAAGGCGCGCACCGGCTGATCTGGCTGCTGCGCCGGCGGCCGCTGCGCTGGCCGCTGCTGCGCCGGCTGGCGGGCGGTACGGCCGCCGGCGGCCGCTGCACCCGCGCCTTCCCTCGCGGGCGCCGTCGCGCCGCGCGCGCTCAACTCTGCTGGCACACGGCACGCGTCGTCACACAGCCGCGGAGAATAGGCGGTGCAGCGCGCGAAGCGCGCGCGATCTCGTACGTTGAAGGCTGGATCCGGCCATTCCAAGGGTATACCTTTGAGAATCCCCAGCGTCCCACCCTCCTAGTCACACTCTCAATTTCTCGACTGGCCAACACGAAGTGCTGCGATCGGGGGTGCCCCATTTCTTTTTTCCTTTCTTTTTTGGGGCCCTGTGGGCACCCTAGCCCCGGATTCATCTATCCGTCGGGCCCCGGCACGTTCATTAGAACTGATCATATTGCGCAGCTGGTTGCCAAAAGCACCGCCAGAACTTGAAAGTTGTGAGTCAGTGCGCTGCGCTGTCGCTCTGTCGTGCACGCACGCTCTCGTGCTTCGTTGTGACCCACCCTGTCCCACCCGTGTGTGATCAGTGTCTACGGAGGGAGTGTCGTTGGCTCACGCCAGGGCGCTCGTTGCTCCTCCGTCTCTTTGTATCTTCCATACTGCGTTTATCAGAAGACAGCCAAGTACGTACGTGCAAGCCAAAAGCACATGGGGGACGTTCGAGTTTGACTTGTGGCGCGGGAGTGCTCTCACTCATGTTCGCCATCTGCCTCACCCTGAGCACGCCCGTGCTTGGTGTGCGCCCCGGAGCGCTGCGCAGGCGTGCTCGCGCTCGCGCGGCCAGCAGCGTCCTGCCCTCGGCTCATCTCCTCGTCATCGGCGTCATCACTGCGCCGCTCAACTTTGACCAGCGCACCTGGCAGCGCATGCACTACGCACCCTCACTTGGCAGCATGCCGGACGTGGCGGTCCGATACGTGCTCGGCGACATGAGTGGCTGCGGCTTCAGCATGTGCTGCAATCGGGAGCCGCTCGCAGTCGTCCACTGGGAACTGCAGCGCTACGCCGATTGGGTCCGCGTCGAAGCGCCCGAGTGCAGCAAGACGTCTGTGGCGCACAAGACGCTCGCATGGTACCGGCACGCTGCGGGTGATGCGTCGTACGCGTCGTACCAGTGGATCGCCAAGGTGGACGACGACTCGCTTCTGCACCTTCCAAAGCTGCGCGCCGACATGCTGCTCATGGCGGCGCAGGGGCGCAGGGAAGGCGGCCGCCGGCGTCACTCGTCCTACGCCTACTATGGCACGCTCCGCTGGAGGCTCTGGCAGCCGCCCCTGCCGCCTGGCTCCGGCCCGACTGTACAGAATGCAGGCGGCTGTCCGGCCCTTAACGTCGGCTGCGCGTGTGGCAGCCTTCAGGATGCCTGGCTCCCGGACTCGCTCCCCGCGCAGCGTGCCCTCGTGCTGGAGACTGCAGCGTGCAAGGGTGCGGTGGGACCCTTCCCCTTCGCCGACGGCAGCCTGAACGTAATGTCGTCGCGCCTTGCCAGAGAGGCCCTGGAGGAGGGGCAGGGCACCGATCGTCCCACCGCAGACGACTTTCGCGCCGACGCCGGCTGGGACCACGAGGACGTTGGCCTCGCCTACCTGCTGCTGCGGCGGGCGGCTGCCCTGCAGCTGCCAGTCACGTACTTCACTCTCGAGGTGGGGCGGCCTCCGCTCGCGCCATCCCCTAGTGTGCGCCCAAACGCACCCCTCACTCCCACTCCTCACCCCCGCCTCGCTGCCCCGCCCGCCCGCAGAACTGGGTGCACAACATGCGGTGGGTGGATGCGCGCGAGAAGAACCTGTCCAAGTACGCGGCAAAGGTGCTGGTGGTGCACAAGGTGCTCAACTCGATGCACGCGCGCATGGTGGCCGACCTCTTCGACATGTACAATGCCTCGCACGATAGCTTCGATTGCGGCGCATGCGCCGAGTGGGGCTGGAACGCAACGGCGGCGCTCGGTGCGGCGGCGCGGCACCTCCGACCGCCGCAGCACGTGCGGTGCTGCGCGAAGGTGGACAGTGGCGCCCGACCCCGCGAAGCGTGGCGCCGCCGCAAGCCAGGCCGGGCCTCGGTGCCGCGGCGCGTGCAGACGACACCCGGGGGCGATTATGGCCGCAAGCGTTACCATACATGAAGCCTCCTGCGGTTTCTTTTGGCGGCTGTCTCTTGTGGCCGTGTGCCTGGCGAGTACCCCCCACCCAGGGTACCCCTCTCGAGGGACCCATTGCGAAGAGCAACTCTTCCGAGGTCTCGCCCCCCCCCCCTCCCCAAGAGACCGCGAGACAGCGCCGCTGCCATCGCCCGGGGCCGTGTGTGGGTGCGTGCCCTACGTGCAGAAATGCCGCGTGCCGGCAGTGCTCGTGCCGGAAGCGGCCGCGGCCGCGGCCGTGGACGTGGACGTGGACGCAGTGGCGGCAGCTGCAGCGGCGGCAGCGGCGGCGGCGGCAGCAGCGCGACGACACACGCCGAGGCTGGCGCGGAGGAGGAGGGTGAGAGCAGCGAGGAGGAGGAGGATGTGCTCGCCCCGCAGGCAGCGACCACAGGGATGGTGCCCACGGATAGCGAGAGCGAAGAAGGACAGGACGAGGACGCCGGCAGTGGCGACGGCGGCAGCGACAGCGACGACGACTGTGGTGGCGGCAATGAGACGCTGGTGGCGCGGCGTCGCTTCGCGGGCGTCTTGCGGATGTGGGAGTTCAACCAGAATGACTCCAAGCGCGACAGCGGCTCAAAGCTGGTGCGGCTGGGCATGGCCAAGACGCTCAAGGTCGGGCAGAACTACGCGGGCATCGTGCTGAGCAGCGAGGCGCAGACTGTCATTTCGCGCGAGGACCTGGAGACAGTGCGCGTGCACGGCGTGGGCGGCGTCAACTGCTCGTGGAACCAGCTCGACAAGGTGCCGTCGCGCAAGCTCGGCCGCGCCCGGCTCCACCGGATCCTGCCCTACATGGTTGCGGCCAACCCGGTGAACTACGGCCGCCCCTTCAAGATGAACACGGCCGAGGCGATGGCCGCGAGCCTCTACATTGTCGGCCTCCAGCAGGATGCTCACGACCTGATGGCGCAGTTCTCGTTTGGCGCCGAGTTCCTTCGCCTCAACCGCGCGGCTCTCGACGCGTACGCCGCCGCGCCGGACGCCGCGGGGGTGCGCGCGGCGGAGGCCAGCATGCTAGCCGAGAAGGCGGCGGACCAGGCGGAGAGGGAGGCCGCGAAGCGGCGCGCGGTCGCGGCGGGGAGCTACATGGACGACATGGACCTGCCCCCCTCGGAGGAGGAGAGCGACGAGAGCGACGAGGGCGAGGAGGGCCAGACGGAGGAGGGCCGCGGCGAGGGTAGCGCAGGCGCACCCTCTGACGACGACTCCTCCGACGACGGACTCGTATCGTGGAGCAGGCGACGCGGCGCGCCGACGAGCGCCCTCGTCGGCTACGATTACGAGGCGGCGGAGGCGGCCGAGGCGGCGGAGCAGCACGAGCAGGCCGCGGCGAGGGCCGCGGCAGCCGCGGCTGCCGCCGCCGAGGCGGACGCTGCGGCGCTCGACGAGCTGGTCGAGTCGCGCGGGCCGCTCGACAGTGCGACGGTCACGGCCTTGGTGCGCCGTCGTGGGGAGTGGCGCGCGGCGAAGGAGTTTGATCGCTCCGACGCGGCGATGCGACGGCTGGAGTCGGCCCGTGTCGTCGTATGCGACCATGCCGACGGGACGACGACGTGGCACAGAGCCGACGCTGGGGAGGAGCCCGTCGGTGTGTCAAGAGTGTCATGAGAGTTCAGGGGAAACGGAGGGCTCAGGGCATTCTTCGCATGTGCATGCACATGTGCATGTGTGTGTGGACACGAAGAAAACCAAAACAGAACTTACGCTGAGAAAAAAGAAACCGGGGCGAGCGGCGCCGTCCAAGAGCCCGCGCGATCAGCAATACCGCAGAGCCGTGCACGCGGCTCACCACTCACACTTGCTGGGCACCAACCTTTGGGTCCAGATGCCGACCCCTCTGCAAACGAGGGGAGAGGGACGCCTCGCGATACTACGGAGGGCGGCGACCTCGACCGACTATGGAGGACCCGTCGCCAGACGACGCAGGGCAGAAGACGGTGAGGCGGAGCAGACGCGCAGGGCGAGACGAGGGGGGGAGCAGGACTTTGCGGAGATCAGCAGGAGGATGTACGAAGAGATTAGGAGCAGCAGGGACCCGAGGGACCATGTGGAAGACGGCTAGTGCTAGTCCCCCATCGCGGGAGGACGACCCCGGCTAGTCGCCGACCACACCCTCAACCACAAAGAACCCTGCACGAAGATCGTGAGGGCGGGGGCCTGTTCCTTTTTACCCATCTCACAGTAGAGGTGTCCGTTTTTATTTATTTATTTATGCGATACTACGGAGGGCCATAATGAAGAGAGAGGAACACATCGAGTGGCTGAGGAAGCTCTTCACTGGGTGGAAAGAGGCTCGGCCGGCCTTGAGGGAGTCGCAGAGGAGGGATAACGCAGGCAACGCAGGGACGGGCCAACAGCCAGTGGGACGAACGAGGGCCGCGACGGCGGCTCAAGCGGGAGGGAGCGGAGACGGTGGGCAGAGAGCGAAGTGGGTGAGACTGATGATGCTCCTTCGACTTAGGGAGCGGTTCAGATGCTGGGCGGGCTTCAGGCTGGTGCTCACGCGAAAAGGAATCGACGCGATGTACAAAGCATACAAGAAGGGGAGAAGGAAGAGGAGAGACGCCGGTGAGGACGAAGCAGAAACTAGCGCAGACGAGAGCAGGGCAGACCCTCCGCCTTGCGTTTGTTTCATAACATCGAAGGCTCGCAAAAAATACGGGAAAGTAAAGAAGAATTTAATAAGGAAAGAAGAAAACCCGCTGCTTCGCTGTGGTCCGCTTCTCGCCCCCACCCCGCCAGCAAACACTTCCTCTCGCGGGAGCGGCGTCCGAGCCATGCCGATGCCTGGCGAGGCGTCGCACCCGTTCTCGCCTCCGCCGGAGACGAAGGGGCGGTGCGGCCCGCCGCGCACGCTGTCGTAGAACGTAGAGAAGTCGGGGAGGGCCCTCGACGCACGTCCGGCATGCACATCGCCCTCGTCTCCGCGCTGATGCGCTGCATCTCTTGCTGCGAGCCTTCACGATGAGAGCTGCACGCGGCTCCCGCCCGAGCGGAGAGCGGTGCGCGTACCGGCCGCCGATCGGGTAGGACGGGTCCTCCGCGAGGTATATGCCCTTGCCGTAGAAGCCGCCCTTGGAGAAGCGCGGGTCGAGCCCGTTCTGATCCGCCCTACCTACCTATCCCCCCCCCCCCCCCCAGACCGTCCAGAAGGAGAGCTCTCATCGACACGTAGCCACAAAGAAAAACTGTCACGTCCAGCCGCTTCGCGGCTTCGGCCCCCACCACACACGTGTGTATCTATGTATTGCATAGGGTCTAACCGTGCCGCAGACCCCCTATCTGGGTAGGAGCCGAACCCAGTTCGCTGCGACGCCGACGCCGACGCCGCCGCCGGAACGACCGCGGCGGCCGGTCGAGCGGCCGCCCCGGCCAGCGGCCGTATCGAGCCTGCCCGTCGCGAAGTGCGTGCGGACCTCACGCGCCCCACCGGCCGCCCGCGTGTGTGCACGTGTGTACATAAATATATGGACGCCGACGCCCTCGCCGAGAGAGCGGCGGCCACGGCGTCGGTCGCGGCGGCAAAGTTAAGCTCGGCAGTGGGCCGCGTGGACCAGACGGTGAAAGAGGTGCTGGCCGAGCAGGGCGCTCCCTCCCTCGACGACGTTGCCGCGGCCGCTCGGCAGCAACTTGAGTCGGCCGGGATCAGCGTCGATTCATTCCCCAACGCTGCTGTCGCTGCTGTTATGGCACCTGGCGGCGGCGAGTCTGTGCGAGCGGCGCTGGACGCGGTGGCATCGTCGGAGGAGCTGGAGGCGCTCAGACGGGAGGGCAACCGGGTGCTTGGCCACGTGCTGGCTTCCGAGTCTGCCATCTCTGTGCTCGGGTACGTCGAGGAGCAGTCCGTCACGGCGGCCGCGGAGAGCGCGGCGGTCATCGACGGCGCAGTCAGCCGCCTGCGTGGCGCGGTGGACAGCGGCATCGTCGGCAGCGCGGTCAGTGCGGGCGCATCGTTCGTCGCCACAAGCGGCGTCGAGCCGGACGCTCTGCGCAGAGTCCTCGCGCTCGCCACCGGTAGCCTGCAGCCCTCGCCACCGGCGGTGCAGGTGCAGCTCCGCGTCGTCGGCGGGAGCGTCAAGTGCGACGTCTGCGCCGGAAGCAGTCAGGGCGGCGGCGACGGCGGGCAGCCGGGCGACGGCGGGCTGGGCGACGGCGGGCGGCTGGGCGGAGCCGTCCAGTGGGTGCAGGAGCAGAAGCTCGGGCAGCAGGCGCTGGCGCACGGGGTCGCCTTGCAGCGGCTCGGCAGCGGCGGGCAGAGCCCTCGCCGACCCTTCTCGGGACCTTCGCCTAGGTCGCCGCCCTGCAGCGGCTCGACAGCGGCGCAGTGCAGGCGATCTGTTCGGACGGGGAGCGCGCGCTCGTCGACCCGGAAGCGCGCGCCGAGCTGCTGAGCCGCGCCCGCGACGCGCTGCTCTCGTACCTCTCCTCGTACCTGCCGACGGTGGAGGTGCTTTCAACTCCCCCAGTAGTACTAGAGTAGCACCTCTGTACCTGCCGACGGTGGAGGTGCTTGAGGAGTCGAGGAATCAACTCTCTCAGCAGTAGTAATGGATTAGCGGAGGTGCGCCTCTCCTCACGCCCCTCCCTTCACACCCCTCGCTTGACGGTGCGAGGTGCCGCCCGTCTCACGCTGCGCCGAGGGCGAGTCGCTGGCGCGCGAGCTGCTGCTGCCGTGATCAGCGCCCCCCCACGCCTCTGGCCGTGAGTAGGCGAGTCGCTTGCGTACGAGCTGAGCGACATCGACCTGAGCAGCCTGCACATCCCGCCCGACCGCCTCACTCTCGCCGTCGCGGACGGTCCCGCCCTCGTCCTCGAGGCGAGGGGCGTCGCCTTCCGGCGGCGCGGCGTGTTTCTTTTTCGCAAACACAATTCTTTGTTAGGCGAGGGGCGTCTCCTTCCGGCTACGAGGCGTCCGCTGGAAGGTGCAGCACCAGCGGTGGGCGAGGGTGGGCGGCGAAGGCGAGCTCGAGCGCCACTCGGGCGGCTCGGAGCTGTGAACAGCGTCTCTTCACGGCTGTAGCCGCTGCTCAGGCGAGCTCGAGTGCCACTCGGGCGCGTCTGAGATTCGCCTCTCCTTTCGACTCGACCAGACGTCCGCCGCACGGGCGTGGGCGGCGGCGCGGCTCGCAAAGGCGGCCGGCGGCGTGGCGGACGCGGCGGCGCCTCCGAGAGGGGCGGCGGAGGAGGCGGCTGGCGGCGCGGGGCCGGCTCCTCCGCAGCTCGGCATGGACCCGCCCCTGATCAAGCTGCACCACCTCGACCTTACGGTGCCTCGTCAGCCAAGCGGTCCAGCCAGTCAATCCACCCCCGGTGGACCAGAGCTTCCGGCCTCGAGCTGGCGCCGCCGCGGCCCCCGCAGGTGCGCAGCAGCGGGTCCGCCGCGATGGGCTGGCTCGCGACCAAGGCCGCCTCGCTCTTCTCCGAGACGGTCAAGACGCGCATCGAGCAAGCGCTCGCCGCGTCGCTGCAGAAGAACGCCGCGGCGCTCCTCAGCAGGCTCAACAGCCTCGGGGAGGCCTACTGGCCGGCCATCCTCGACGCGGCGGCGGCCAGCGTCGGCAGCGACGGCGCCCTCGCGCTCGGGTCTTCAGGCGGCGGCGGCGGCGGCAGCGGCGGCGGCGGCGGCGCGACCGTGACGGCGGCCCCAGCGGCGGCTCCCGCAGCAGCGGTGGCACCGCCTGTGTTGGACCTGGACTGAAGTGAAAAGCTGCGCTTTAACTAGATACTACTGTCCAAGCCGAAAGTCTGTGCCCAGGTTAGTCAGGACACTGACACGATCCCGGCGGCTAGTGCCATTACCCATTTCACTCTGACACGCTATGTAATCTCTTGAAAACGTCTCCAACGGAGCTCCGTGTTGCTCCCAGCGCCCTCCCCCGCGCTTCCTGCGGCCCTCTGGCCGATGTGTCATGTGATATCAAGTATGGGAGGTCATCTGGCTACCGCGAGAGCGATCCAACTCGTCGACATCGTCCGATGATGGTGCCGCAAAGTCAGCCTTCGGAGGCTATCCGCGTGGGGTCGAGCCGGCAGCAGCCGTGACATGTGGTTCCACCACCCCTCGCAGGCTTTGCCTCTGACCGCCACCGTTCCCAGGCTGCCTAATTGGATGGAAAGGAAGGCTCGGCGAGCGTATAGAGGCGTGCTCGACCTCGTCGTGGCAACCTGTACGGCAGCGCTGGTAGGCGCGATGAGCGTCGTGCCACCTGACCCGAGACGGGACGCAGGCGTCGTACCGAGCGCGTCGAGACCGTGTCCTGATGTGATCTGTACGGGTGAGTCACGTCGGCGTCAAAGGAGCGACGTGCGACCTGTCAGAGCTTGATCTCCGATCTCAGCGGCGTCGAGTCGTCTCCGGCGCGCGACAAAGGTACATCCCCAGGACGCGCAGAGGCAGCTGCGATCGGAGATAGAGCTCTGACAGGTCGCACGTCGCTCCTTTGACGCCGACGTGACTCACCCGTACAGATCACATCAGGACACGGTCTCGACGCGCTCGGTACGACGCCTGCGACCCGTCTCGGGTCAGGTGGCACGACGCTCATCGCGCCTACCAGCGCTGCCGTACAGGTTGCCACGACGAGGTCGAGCACGCCTCTATACGCTCGCCGAGCCTTCCTTTCCATCCCATTAGGCAGCCTGGGAACGGTGGCGGTCAGAGGCA